CAGGCCGCCAGCGCACTTCCCAGCCTCCGCTCGCGACTCCTACACATTCTTCTTCCCCTCCCTCTCGTCAACGCCCTCGTACAATTCCCTCCACAGACATGTCGCCCTCTCCCCACCCCCCATTGCTCCCCTCGCCTCCGCCCCGCCCCCCTCTCGCACCAACAATATCCTCCCATTCTCGCGCAGCCCACCATTTCCTCCCTCATCACCGCCGCCATGCTGACAGACATCTTCCACCCTCGCCTCGCTCCCACTCACCATGCCCACCATCACCCACATCCTCCTCAACGTGCTCATATTCACACTATGCCTCGCAGTCACTCCTCTCTTCCTGCTCACGAAATGGCAATGCCCGCAGCAAGCATGTTGGCTGGCGGCCGCGCAACGTCAGCCGACAGGACCAGCAGCCCTCCCGCTCCCTCGCGTACCCACGAGCGTCCAGGCGCGCCGACCTCCCCGCGCTCCTCCTTCCTCGGGAGCTTTATGCGTGGACGCACACGCGCTGCCAGCGTGACCAACTCCATCACTGGCGCCGTTAGAGGCCGGGTCGCATCCCCAACCGTCGAGGCGCCCAACCCACTAGACCCAGTGGCACGCACAGTCTCGTCGCCTGCTACGCCGCAAACGGTCGATCTGCCCCCTATCGACCCCGCGCTTAGGCGTACTCACCGCATCCGCCTCGTGCCCGTCCTAGAGACCAACCGCTCCTTCTCCTTTGAGCCCGTCCAGCGCGAGTTGGGCGTCATGCACGTGCCCCCAGGCATTGTGCCTTCTGTCGCCGCGGCCAGTGTCTCAACCCCGGGCCCTCTCGTAAACGGGCGCGCGCCCCCGCTTCTCATGAAGATTGGCCGCTTTACCGACCGCGTACAACAGGCAGCCGTTGCTGAGGCACAAGCGGCCGCCGCCGCTGTGAACGCTACGCCCTTGGGCGAGGGGGCGTCTTCAGAGGTAGCAGGGGCGGCGGGCACCAACGTTCTAGCCCCCGCAGCTGCTGCCGCTGCTGCCGCCGCACATGTCCCTATTGTTGGGGGCGGCGGAGGGGACTTGCTCTCCCCTCGCGCCGCATTCCGAAGCAAGGTCGTTTCACGGTCACACGCAGAGATTTGGTGCGAACCTGGAGGCAAGTTCTACATCAGAGACACGGCGAGTTCCTCGGGCACGTTCCTGAACCATATCCGTTTGTCGAGCCCCAACGTCCAGAGTAGACCGCAGCTGCTCAAGGACGGTGATGTGCTTCAGCTGGGCGTCGACTATCAGGGTGGCGCCGAGGAGATGTACCGCTGCGTCAAAATGCGCGTCGAGGTCGGCCGCGAGTGGCAACAGCGTGGCGCATCGGAGTTTAAGTGAGCTTTTCGGTTTCGGCATCGGACCATTGGCTAATCCACAGCAAGAAGGCGATCAAACAGCTCACTGCATTGCGGGGCGAGACCGAGAAGCAAGGCTCGACCAGTCAGGCGGGCCCCTCAGTCGTGCCCAAGGGCCGCGCTGTGACCGACTGCTGTATTTGCCTCTTCTCTGTTGCACCAGCGCAGAGCCTTTTCATTGCGTAAGCAGGGTACTTGGGGCATGCTAACGGCCAGTCCATGTTCGCACGTGTACCATTACAAGTGCATTCGCCCGCTTCTGATGCAACACCACCCCGGCTTTTCATGTCCCCTTTGTGTATGCTTTAGGGTTTGGCTTGGGGCTGACTCCAGCGCACGTACGCGAATTTGGACGAGGACGTTGAGATCGAGGATGCGTGGGATGCCGCGAGCAGGCGACACTCTGTGCGCTCGCGTCGCAACTCGACCAGCTCGCAGCGCCCCGAGCCCGTGGAGGAAGGTGATGTTCTCAGCGAACTGAGCATTAACGGTGTCCTCGCCTCCGCCGAGAGCGATGACCCGATTGACGCATCCTCCTCGCACGCCAGCATGGACGGCACTCCCGCGATGAGCGGGACTGGCACGCCTGCGGAGGTGGACGAGCACACACCGTCGCGCGCCACGGCGACGCCCATGGCGATTGGGGAGCGCCCCACCCTCAGCCGACAGGACACGAGCGTGAGCGCGAGCCTGGCGCAGACCCCGATGAACGACATTTTCCTGTCGACCCTCGTCCTGAGCCCGAACACGCCGACGTCGTCACAAACACACACGCATGAGACGCCGGGTGGAAGCATTGCCGACGCGTCGCTCCGCGTCACCCCCGAGATCCCAGAGGAGCCCGCAGCGGAGGAGCGCTCCGCGCGCACCTCAGCCGATGCGCGCCGCACCGCAGAGATCAACTGATATTTCTTGCTGATTTGCTTGTTGTGTTACCATGTGATGTATGCGAACTGGGTATAGTGGGGTGGTGATGGCAGCAACTAGGGAGGCGGGGCAATCGATGTGGTGACATGACGAGGAGGGAGTGGGCGAGTATTGCGGATGAGGACATCAGCGGGCTGCAAGCAGGAATGTTTGCATTTCCAACGCTGTTGCATTCCTCACTTGAGGCCGGTGAGTTCTCGATCGGACGGAACTCCGCCTCCACCTCCACTCGTTCCCCAGATAAGTTGCTGCTCCTTTCGATCTCTTCCATCTGCCCCATCACCTCCTCTTACCCTCCCCCCATCATCAACATGCGCACCACCCTCCCGCTCCGCCTCTCGCGCACGCTTGCGCCCCGCCTCCTCGCCCCGGCCCAAGCCTGTCCCGGCACATCCTCCAAAACCGTGCCGCAGAAAGACGCCGCCCTCCCCCCCGTGCGGTACCATGTGTTCCGCACGCCGCTGCCCTATCCTCAAGGCCTGGAGCTGCAGCACCGCGTCATCGAAGGTCGGCTGCAGCGGCGGGAGCGCGGCGAGAGCTCGGCGCAAGACGTGATGTTCCTGCTTGGTAAGTGCCGCTGCGGGTGACCTCTGCGGTCCCAGAGCGCCTTGCTCGTCTTCCTCCCCCTCCCCTCGTCCCCTCCCCCCTCCCCCTTTCTCACCCCACGCCGTCCCTCCGACGCGTGCTCCACCCGCTGCGCTCGCTCCGCGCTCACCCCAGAACACACACCAACATATACCACAGGCCGGCGCGACAACTCGCCGAACCCCGACACGCTGCACCCGGAAGAAGAGAAGGTGCAGGACGTCGGCGCGGGCTTCTACATCACGAAGCGCGGGGGCCAGGTGACGTACCACGGTCCCGGGCAGATCGTGGGCTACCCCATCCTCGACCTCACGGCGATGGGCACCCCGACGCGGTGCTACGTCGAGTACCTCCAGTCCCTGCTGCGTGAATACGCCGAAGACCTGGGCTTGCCCGTTGTCGCGCCGCACGAGGACGGGCATGTCGGCGTGTTCCACGGGCGCGATGAGAAGGTATGTGCGACGGCCGGAGGGTCCGGAGGGTCCGGAAGGTCCGGAGCGCGGCGGAAGGCCGGACGCTAACCCCAGCTCGCGTCCATCGGCATACATCTCCGACACCGGATCACGTCGCACGGCTTCGCGATGAACATTACGCCCGAGCCCGTGCCGTGGTTCGACCTCGTGACCGCGTGCGGGTTGACGGACGTGCGGGCCGTGAGCGTCGCGCAGCTTCTCGAGCGGCAGGGGAAGCGCGGGCCGAGCGTCGCGGATTGCGCGGACGCGCTCGTGCCCCGCTTCGCGAAGACGTTTGGGCGCGAGTTTGTGCCCCTCGACGCGGAGGGTGGCGGCGACGAGCTGCGCGCTATTAGGGAGATTGTGGCGGACGTCACGGAGCAGGCGGAGACGGCGCAGAGGGAGGCCGGCGGGTGGCCGACGAGGCCGCGTGTCAAGGCGCAGTAGAGTGGTACCAGGCATGTATGGCGCAGCTCACGTTGTGGTGTGTGTGTCACTCACATTTATGAACACCTCTTCGACGCTCCGCACGTGGCGCCCTGGCAGAAGTGCTACGCCCAAGTAGGTGCGCCCTGCGCATGCAATACACTGGTACAATGTCTAGCGGGTATCGAAGCCTAGCAAACCGGTGGCGCCCGCGCCACCTAGAATCCAAAGATGCGGAAGATGAGGTACAGCGTGCAGCCGATGAAGCGCATTGCGCTGAGGAAGAGGACGGCGTAGAAGATGACGGTCTGGGGTGAGCTGGGCGACGTGCAGCGAGACGCACGAGGTAGGGGTTGAAGGTGCCCGAGGTGGCTTCGGCAAAGTGTTGGGAGATCCAGCCTGTGAACGCGCTGGACGTGAAGAGGAGAATGATGACCATGTTGCTGCCGAGGAACATGAGGACGACGTTTGTGCGGAAGTTGCGGTCGGCTGGGTGTCAGCGATGGCGGCGACGCGCACGTACAGTCTGAGCGCTTGGTTTCCGGGTCGCGCTTTTCCTTGACTTCCTTTGGCGGGATGCGGATCTCGGCGCGCGCCTGCTGCCACAACGCTTCGACGTCCTCCTGCCGCGTGGGCAGGGCGACTTCGAGTGCCTCTTCGCCGTCGTCGTTCTTCACCTTCTTCGCTTGTCCCAAGTCTTTGGCCGCACCGTTGTCGCCCTTGGTGCCCCACGACACATCGTGCAGGTTGCAGAAGGCGTAGATGAGCAGAATGTTGACGTACGATGGAAGCAGGAACAGGTACTGGATGAACGAGGTGAACATGTGCCACGGCTCGAGGTACATGAGCGACGAGATGAGGTAGAGACCGTAGGTCGCCATGAGCGACATGGCGAGGTCGAGGAACGTGCGGTTCGAGAAGAGCTCATCCAGGTTCGTCCAGCCCTCTGCGGTGTGCGGGACGGTCTGGTATACCGTCCAGCCGGCACAGTAGAGCAGGATGCCTTGGCACACTGCGAACAGCAAGATACTGCGGTCAGCGGGGCCTCGCATGTCACGCACCAGCCAGTGTACATCCACTTCGAGCCCTGCGGGCGGTTACCCAGCGAACAGACGAGGACGATAAAGCTGATGTCAGCGAGGCAGATTGCGACACTTACAGAATAGCAATGTACACCTTGTTGAAGACCTGGAAGATCTCGTCACCCGCACCCCAGAAAGGATCCTTCTCGGAGGAAACTGACGACTGGAGCAGGAAGTAGAAGGCGAGGTAGTAGGACGAGATGGAAAGCCAGTTGAACAGGAGATTGACCAAGTTGTAGAACGTGAGGATCATGAGCGCAAACTTGCGAATAATGTTGTGCCCGGACGTCCACACACGCCAGAACGAGTAGAGCGAGAAGAAGGACGCAAAGATCGAACCGTTCAGCCAACGGCGGCGCTGCGAGATGAACTCGGGCACACCCGAGGGCACATCGGTACCGGCCTTGGCGCTCTTGACGTACTGCAGACGCCATTTTGCCTTCTTCTTCGTGACGATCTCGAAAGCGAGAATACGGTCCTCGGCGAGGAACATGTTCCGGTCAAAGATGGACGCCTCAGCGCCGGGCTCGTTCATTTTCTCGCCGTGGAAGTAGGACGCGAGTGGCCCGGTGCCGTCGGGATGGTTGGCCACAGCCGCGTAGCGGTAGGCCGAGAAGGCACCGGGCAGCACCGAGATGAAGCCGAACACGGACTCGAACGGCTTGTCGAGAATGTTGGACATCTTATACTCAAAGTTCTGGCCAGCGACAATCGGGTTGAGCAGGTACCGGCCCCACTTGCCCGAGTCGGCGTAGATCTCTCCACAGGCGCCGCCGACGTTGGCGTGCTTCTCGAAGCACTTGTACAGCTCGTACAGACTGGTGCCGGAGGGTTTCGTACCGACGTCGAGGAGGACGCACACCTGTTGTCAGCCACGGGTCACTTCAAGTGCTCACGTTGGGCTTGACCTGAGGGCCGAAGGCGTTGAAGAACCAGCGGTGCGAGTTGAGCTTCTTCTTGTTTGTTCTGGAGTCAGTGGAACTAACGCACAAACTCACTCCTTGAGACAGAATATGACTTGGATTGGCACGGCGCCAAAGCCAACCTCGCCCGTCTCGCTAACGACAACCTGTGTGGTATACTCGTAAATGTGCGCCTGCACCTCCTTGCCTGCAACCGTGTCTTTGGCGACACCCTCGGCGTACACGCCCATAAGCTGGAGGACCTTGAGGACACGGGGATCACACTTGTTTCGGCCGTCGGCGACGATGCACACGACAACCTTGCGCCACGAGCCCTGCCCCCATGTCTTGGACCGTGTCCTCGAGCACAGGTGCGCAATGTTCTTGATGACCGCGTTGAGCGTGCGCAGCAGCAGGATCGAGTCCTCGTTGTACATGGTCATGACGATCTGGGTGAGCGAAAGTGGCGGCGGGAGAGGCGTAAGGGCTAGATGAGGAGAGTGGAGCGCTGGAATGCAGCCACCGCCACCAATAAAGGCCACAGTGCGCCTTCTTCAACACCGTAACTCACGAACAGCTCAGTCCGGCGCCCGTACAGATATTGGCGGAGGTGGAATTTGCGGCGCGTAAACTCGTCTGGGTCGCATGTCGCGGCGCTGTATCGCAGCTTCTCCATTTCGCCGGGCTCGGCGCCAACGGCACCCGTGCTGGCCGGGACGACACCCTTGGGCACGGGCACGTCCATGACGAGGTTTCCGTTGAAGAGCGGGATTTGCTTGACGACACGGCGGGCGAGCAGCTGGTTACGCACGTTGTGCCAGTGGCTCGAACCCGAAAAGCTCGGCGTCGTCGGCAGCTGGTGGGCGGGAGCAGGGGGCGGGTAGCCCAACAGACTCGGGGACGGAGGGTACTGCTCGCGACCGATGGGGGCTGGCGGGGCAAAGTTGACGCTGGGGACGACAGCGCCGACCCCATACTCCTTGTGCGCGCCGCCCGTGTTGAGGTGTGTATGCGAGTTGTAGCTCTTGGTTTCAAAGTCGTCGTCGTTGCGGCCATGATAGTCGGCCGTGTAGTCATGATAGCCGCTGTCGCTGTAGGACGGGGCGTTCGAAGGGGGGTAAGTAGGCTGTCGCTGAGTGCCGGAGAAGGGAGCGTTAAAGTAGCCACCTGGCTGGACGCCGCCGGAGGGCATCATACTGGGCGACGCGGAGGGGAGGTTGGAGGAAGGGGAGGAGCGGTAGGACGGTGAGGAGGAGGGAGGTGAGGGCCGCTGGCTCGGCGGGTGGGAGGCGTAAGCGTCGCCGGGACGTTGTGAAGGAGTGACTAGGGTGGAACGATTGTGCGGCTCGCGGTTGAGAGAGAGTGAGTTGGCGGAAGAGTAGGAGGAGTGTTGAGGTGGAAGAGGGCGCGAGGACGAGGACGAGTACGACGGTGGGTTGGACTGGAGGCGGGGGTGGGGTTGGCCCTGCTGTCCGGGCTGGGTGAAGGGGTAGGGCTGCATTGTGGACTAGAGTGGTCCGAGCGAAGGGCGGCGGCGGCGGCGGGGCGGGGAATGAGCGTGAGTAGTGTGACAAGGGGAAGAGCGTGTGGAGCGTGTGGAATGGCGGGCCGTAGTGGATCTGGGAGCTGGGAGGGTAGAGTTGCTCGGGGATGTGAGGACGGCAGTCGGGATGGGCCCAAGCGCTAAGAGAGAAAGAGAGACACGAGGGGATGGTGAGGTCAATGCGTTAGTAGATGGAACATCAAGGCCGCCGCCGTCTTGTAGCTTGTAGCTTGTAGCTTGTCGGTGGCATACTGTACAGTATAAGGCTGTGCCAAGGCATACAAGGCGTGCGCCACGCTTGGCTGCTCGGCGTGGGGGACAGAGGAGAGCGAGTGCATGTCGTGAGCATGGAGAGGGATGAAAGAGGGAGACAAGACAAGGGATTGTGAATAGCGTGATGGAAAGAGGACGCAACAAGGCGCGTGCCACGGGTCGTGCCCAGTCTTTTCCCCCGGTCCCCCTGAAACCGGCGCGCCACGGGTTGCCCGGGTCTCCTCCCCCCGCCACTAAATGGCTTCTCCTCATGTGAACTACAGTAGTGAGCCTCAATGATCCAAGAGCCTGCATGAGCCTAGCCCGCTGCGCAGGCGCGCAGACTCGCCCTGACCCAAAACCCGCTATGCGGAATTGCGGAGCGTGTCAGGAATGTTCCTCTCATCCCAAAAACGCAGTTAAGGCGGATGCGCATAAATATCTTTGCCGTCGTAGTCACCTCCAGGCCAGGCCAATTTGGGCAGAGTGGACACGCGTGGACGCCATCGGGATCGCGTTTACTTTCACTTTTGCATGGCTTCCAGCGTCCAGCCTCGGGCCTGCGCTCTGCGCTGCGGCGGACGCTCGGGGCGCTTCAGCGTGCTCGGCGCGCGCCACATGCGCAAGGCGCGCACAGATCGCGTCGAGCAGCGCGAGCCACGAACAGGCTCAGTGCGACTGATTTTTATCCGGGATCGTCTCCGCACTTGACTAAACAACAACACTCATCCTCCCCGCGCTGCTGCTCACTCTCTCCGCATCTTCACGACTCTTCACGACTTCATCTTGACGAGCTCCCCGCGTAACCTGCTGGACAGACGCGGGGTTCACCTCTCATCATTTGACCGACTCCATCAGCGTAAGCCACCGCCTTCGGCCCCGCTGAAACGCAGCCTACTTGCCACTCTCGTAGAAGCACCTATCGACACCCCAGAACCATGCCGATAGGCCTATCGCGCAGCGAGGGGGTGCGCATTGCCTGGGGCAAGAAGGCCGGTAAACAGTCCGGTGGCGCACCGAAGCCCGTCAACAAGGCAGACCAGCAGGGCGGTGCCGGAGTCAACCCAAACCAGACGGATGCCGGCGCCCATGCCCCGGGCAACACTGACGAGAAGAAGGAAAGCACATTACCTGACACGGACAAGCCAGAGCGTAGATTACTCCCCACACCCGAGCCAACGGCGCCGAAACCACTCCCTCTCCCCAAACCCGTCGATGCCTCATGCCATCCTTCACCCACCAGCACACCGCCACCACCCCCTCCACAACTCCGGCGTCGCTCCCTTCTGGCCTGCCTCTTCCCGTGCATGTACGCCCAGCCAATCCACGACACGTGGGACTACAACCCACCCCCATCGCAGAAGACACCTCTTCGAGCTCCATCCCCCGCCTCTGAATGCTCCTGGACGCACCACGACTCGTATTACCCCTCCTTCGAGCCAGACACGCCAAAGCAGACGACGTACTTTCCCAAATTCGACGACTTCAAATCGCGACACCACGCCAAAGCTGATGCGGCTGCCGCATTCCACGCTCAGCTCGTAGGGCATCCTGTGTGCGTACACTACCCCGATCTCCCGGCATTTGAAGAGTACAAGAAAGCTGGGGTCGGGTGGAAGGAGACCCAGTGGGGGACGCAGAACTGGATGGGCTTTGGATGGGATGGAGAACGTCTGCCGAACGCCCAAGGCCAATACTTCTCGGCGCCAATGCCCAAGGGCGTGCCGATCGCTAGACCTAACCAGCAAGGTGGCACTGGAAATAAAAAGAAAGGCAAGGAGGGGGAAGGTGGTGGTGGTGGTGGTGGTGGTGGCGGCGGGAATGGGAAGAAGGGCAAGAACTAGAAGTACAACGGTGACAGCACCGATCGACCGCCAAGACGAAACTCACATCTATAGCCAGTCCGTAGACGACATGCATTAGGATCTTGCAACGCTAGAGCTTGTACACGATCGCGAAACCACTGTGGTCAGCCTACCCAGCGCTTGACTCACTCCCAGCTCTTGTCCCCCACCGTCTGGATCGCGCTCGCAAGCACAGTCTTACCACCGTCCTTCTCTATCCAGTCGTACATCTTGCGCAAGCCCGAACAATCTGGGTCGACCTTGGTGCCATCAGGCACAGCTATGCTGGAATCAGCTTCACCGCGTCCCCCACAAGGCCAAGGAAGACCCACCGTCCATTTCGGATGGCGTTGTCGAACACCATGACGCCGCCCTTCCGTACCAGCCTCAAACATTCTTGGAAGTACTCAAAGTACTCGTCCTTGTTAGCGTCGACGAATGCAAGGTCGTAGCCTGGCTCCGGCATGCCCTCCATAGTTCCAGGCGGGTCCTTGAATGGCCCTGCGGGATCGCGGAGAAGTTTGAGCGCCTTCCCGACATGTGTGGTGGGAAAGGGGCAGGTGTCCATGGCGAGGAAGTTAGCCTGCGCGACTTTGGCGTGGGCTGGAGACGCCTCAATAGTGTCGATCTGGCCGTGTGCCGGCAGGGCAGTGGCGAGGTAGTGTGTGGAGATACTGATGTCAGTATACTCGCTGCTGATGCTCGACGCCGCCTCACCCTGCAAGCGTCCCGATTTCTAGCACACGCTCGGCGCGCATGCTCTTGGCCAAGATTGCCAGCATTTGCCCCAGCATCTTTGGGATGGCGATTCGCGGCATACCTTCCTCGTCTGCGCGCGCCTGCGCCGCATCTAGCGCGGCGTTGGTGTACTCGTGATGCGCGAGCTTGCGGACGAGGTAGGCCTCAGTGCCGGCGGCGGTACGCCCTGGGATCAGCTGACTCCCACGGGGACAGAGACGCGAGATACATGGAGAAGTGAGCAGGGAGGGGAGGGACTCACACACCTCATCCCCGGCCTCCTCTACGCTCAGAGGGGCGTCTAGTCTTCCTGAACCCCTCTTGTGCGTCACGCTCCCATCGGCGTTGTAGGTGTAGGATGTGACGCCGCGGCCGTCGTTTGCTGCCATTGCTGTTGTCGCTAGCCCTCGAAGTGAGGGGCGAAGAGAGCGATATCCGAGACGAAGTGGAAGCATTGTGGGTTGTGAAGACAAGGGAAGACATATGGCTGCTCGAGTTCGTGGTATCTGATCAGCCTCCACCGACCGACGTCATCCATTCTATTCTGACTGTGGCGCAGTCTCAAGTGGCAGTATTTGGAAGTGTCGCTCAAAGCTCGTAGTCACTGCGGGGAGCGCGTCGCCGAGGACCATGCAGATAACAGATACTGGCGCGCTTAATGCGAGAGCGCGCCCAGCAATCTCCCCGCTTCCCCACATAGGGGGCACTGCTTCGCTAAGCGGGGACCAAAAGTGTTCTGAACTCCGAAGAGCTGCTGACAAGCCAACTGTACACTAGAAGGGAGTCGAACCCCTGCCTCATGCATGGCAAGCATGAATGATACCGTTTCACCACTAGTGTTGGTGTTGGTCTTGTTGGTGGAAGGCTGGGCTGGACTATACTGGTGAATGTTAGCATCCTCTAACACCTCGGAGACTTTGAGGGTAGGACCAAGAGTGGATGCTGGGTACAATACATGCGATCTCTATCCGCTAGATATCGCCCCACTTCTGTACAGGCCCCGTGAGCCACTCGGCGCGCAAACGGCCCTGGCCATCCTCGCGAATAACCACGACATCTTCGAGGCGCACGCCGAGCCCGCGCACGTCTTTATCCCCCACCTCGCTCCCCTTGGGAATGTACACGCCGGGCTCGAACGTCAACGTGTGGCCGGGGAGGACGAGGCGGTCACCCGCATCGCCCTGGACGGCGTACGGGCTCTCGTGGCCCTCGAGCCCGATCCCGTGTCCCAGACGGTGCGTGAACGTCGTGTAATCCGGGTCGCGGGCGGGGGGCACGCCGTGCGCCGCCATGCCCTTCTTGATCGTCTCGCGCGCCCGGTCGTCCAGCCACGAGTACTGCGGCCGGTCCGCCAGCTCCAGCAATCGCAAGAGGCTGGCGGGGGCGAGCTGGGCGCGACGCACAATCTCCCACACTTCGCGGTGTTCGTCGCTGATCGCGCTGCCCGGCAGCGCGAAAGTGCGCGTTATGTCGCTGACGTAGCCACCCCACTTGCCGCCTGCGTCGATGAGCACCAGCTCGTCTGCCTGGAGGAAGCGGTCGGTGCCGCTTCCATGTGGGAGAGCGGCATTTTCTGTATCAGCACAGATGGACGAGAAGCTCACCGCCGAAGAGGACGAGCGCGCCGTAGTCACCCAGTCCGAGGTACTTCATTTCGTCGTAGAGGATCGTGCGCGTCGCGCTCTCGCTGATGCCGATGTGCATCTTGGCTCGGGTCTGGCGGATGGCGTGCAATGTGAAAGCGTTGGCGCAGCGCATGAGCTCGATCTCCCGCTCCTCCTTGATTTCGCGGAGGGCACGCACAGCAGCGACCACCTTGGACGTATCGGCATCTTTAGAGTGGCTCGCGGTGCGGAGCCCGTCTGAGATGAACGTGCGCACCGCGCCGTCGACGATGAGCGCGCGGTCGCGCCCCACATCGCGCATGAGCACCGCGTACGGCGACTCGCTCTCGGCCCAGGGCAGCCAGCGCACATTCACTTCGCCGGAAATCTCTCGCTGGCGCGCCCGCGCCTCCTCGAACCGCGGCGTTAGGATGATAACCTCTGGCTTGTTATTGGTAGACGCGACGGCGACGAGGAACGGCCGCTCGCTCGGCGACCACGAGCCCGCCCCGAAGGCACCGAGGAGGTACTCTACGCTCGCGCCCGGCTCGGCAACCCATACGGCCGGGTGCGCCTTGTTCAGCTGAGCAACGAGGCGGTCCAGGCGGCCGGCATAAACTCCCTTCGGGACGGGCAGGAGGTCGATGCAGCGTTTCCAGAGGATGGAATCGAGGGGCGAGGACCCGTCCACTGAAGCCGAGGGGCGCGCAGGAGATGAAGGCCGCTCATCCGGCGGCATGGGGAATTCCAGCGTGGGCCATGCATATTCTGTGAAGAGGACGCAGAGAATGATGACGACCGGGAACCACAGCAGCGTCCAGTAGCTCGCTCGCGCTTGGCGCGGACTTAGCGAGGAGGGGAGGAGGGGCTCGCGGCGCGACGGCGCATAGCTGTCTAGCGGGGAGCGGAGGTTGCGCGGTGGTGGCGGTGCCGCCTGAACGGGCTGTGAGTTGTCGCCCATCGTTGATGATGTGATGCTGCGATGTTGTGATGTGGGATGCCGATCACGGCATGGTTCGGCGGAATGAAGACCGATCCACCATGACCGACGCAAGGCGAGCAATGGCTGTATATGCAACGGAGCTTGTGTCAGTTAGCAACATTCACCCTCACCATAGCTCAGTTGGTAGAGCGTCGGACTGTAATCTGATACCTAGCCTCTCGAAAGAGAGTATACATCCGCAGGTCCTGTGTTCGACTCACAGTGGTGAGATTATCTTTTGGCCCACTCAGTCGACCAGCAGACAGCAGGAACGCCGCAGGCACAAGGGCCGGGGGACATGCCCAACCATATCGTCAAGCACACTTCTCCACAACGACGGACCCCGCTCGGCTGGTCGGCCGCCCCGGCTCCCCCGCCTGACACGTGTCGACGGACTACTGCTCCCCGCACACCTCAGGGCTCGGCGGGCGCAGTGCCCCACCCTCGCTCGGGATGTCCGAGTGCGTGCGAGTGCCCGACTGCGTGCCCGACGACCCTGTTTCTCTTGGGCACGCCCTGATGTGATTTGCGTGCGTTCGAAATTTCGAACGATGTCCCGTCTGCCCAAATGGCATGCGATCCTTATCCTATTATCCAACCACCACCACGGCGATGGTCGGTCGGCGGATTCAGCTCGCCAGGCAGGGTCGGCGTTCTCGGCGACAGTCTGTCATAGTAGTCATGCGGGATTGGCCAAGGATGCGGCACCCAGACCACGGCAAACGCGTCACAGATTGGGACGGCAGACGTCGGGAATGCAGGGCAGTGGGGATGGGGTCCCGCTGTAGTGACAACGCAGCCGGTATCCGAAAGTGGCAGAGAGGGACTGCCACTTCGTGGGCGCAGATCCGGCTGCAGCCGGCTGAGATCTGTCTGCTGCGTCTGATTGACCACCGTACCTGCCGGGTGGCAGCGGGGCTGAGGCTGGAGCGTGAATCATCACCGATTCGGGAGGGTCAAAACACACCACACTCATGCGTCATGCAGAGACGTATTGCGTAGATCTTCGCCGACGCCAGTGCCTGAGTGGTATCGCCAAACAGCGGCGGGGTGAAACAGTGACAAGCGACGCCTTGCGCCTTGAGGCCCGAGGCACTGAAACGGGCCTACGTCTGCGATGTCGCGATGCCGCCGCCCATCAAGATCGCAGCGTTATAGCTTGTAGCCAGCTCGCAATGTTTTGCAGAGGTCCGCCACTATGCTTATTGCACAGAAGGCAGATGGAGGAATGGAGTGGAGAAGGAGCCGAGTGATCGAGTGAGAGGTTTGGTGGGTGCTGCGGAAAATCACTCGTCAGGGGATATACGACACGTGGCGCGCGCACGTGATCCGATACCGCCACAACAGTTCGCACCGCCACAGTGGCAAGAGGCCGCAATCGCAAGAGTGAAGTATGAGCATCGAAGAGGACAGTGATCGTGGGACTACCATTGTGATGAAGTGTGAGGTAGATGGGGGGGGGGGGGGGGGAAAGTGCCTCACTGGCCTCACACAGATGGAATCAAATCTCACGTGTCCGGCTATAGACTGCAAGGGGGATTGACAAGTGCCTGCCGAGGGACATGCGGGCGTACTTGCGGGGGAGCAGGGTAGAGAGTGCCCACAATTCCCACATGCTAGGAGTTTTGAGTGAGCCTGGGTGAGCCTGGGTGCATGTTGCCGATGCTGCCGACACCGAGTCACCCGCGCGACCCCGGCGGCCACCCATTCCACCCATCCTTCTTTCACAGCCCCCCCTTCCACAGCTTTGTCATTATTACACAAGGAGCATAGAGAGTCACTAACATTCTTTGTCCTCGTCTCGCGCGCACTTCTTCCAGCATCTCTTTTCGCATCACTCTCTTTATCTCTCCATCTCTTCATCTCTTCATCTCACCTGCCATCTACCCTTCCACAATTCAGCTGCTCCCTCGACATCTCAAGTGAGCCCCGCGTCCACCCCTACCGCCCTAAACCCCCCAGTCCCCTCCCCTCCCCACCCACACCCACCGCCCCCCTCCCCCCAATCCGCTGGCCGCCCAGTTCACCTGAATACGCCAACTTACTCAGCTTCCGCCACACGCCATTGCCTGCATAGCCTCACCTCGTTCCGTATCTTGCCAAACGCAGAACCAATGGCGCCGGTGCCGGTGGCAAGTCAAGATGCGTTCTCGCATTGGAGATCGCCTGTTGCGAACGTAAGTTTGTGCCAAGGCTGGTAGACTTCCGGGTGGCATGGGAGGCATGGCTGGCGTGGCTGGGGGTGTGGTATGGGGAGATGGAGAGAAGAGGGGAATAATAGTGCCTGGGTGGTGTATAGCCGCCCGGAGGCCGGTGATCCTTAGAGGGGCTTCACCCAAAAAAGTCTGGCGACATCGGGATTTCGCTTGGGCCATGGGCCATGAGCGCGACGCGGAGGGCGCGGGGGGCGCGGGCGGGCAACCACGGGCGGGACCCATTAGGCCCATTAGACACATTACACACCCATTACTCAGTCCACAAGGTCGGGTCATACCACACAAGGGGCTGCCACGCTCCGCCCTCGTTCTCGACCTCACTCAATCCACTTTATTCCACGCTGCCGCCCCTTGCACCTTGCTTTGTCCCCATCATCGCTGACACTCGACTTTTGGTCTTTCGTCAACTTTCCAAATATCGTCGCCTTCCATCACTCTCCCTCCCATCATAAACCCCCCTCCTCTGCGTCATCCGCCTCTTCTCTCAACGCCCTTTTCTTCCGGGCGGCTATCATCCGCCACCGGCTACGACGCGTCCACCCCCCCCCCCCCCCCCCCCCCCCCCCCCCCCCCCCCCCCCCCCCCGCCGCGAACTCTGAACCTTGCCCACCACCCATCAACTCCTCTTGACTTTTGTCGGCTGTCCGTTCCTCCGACACGATGCAGTCCGCCGAACTACCAAATGTCACCTCACCCCCAACATCAAGGTCTGACTTGATCCACCCCAGCTTCCTCCCCACCTGTGAAGTCGGAAGGGATGGTGGCGAGATGCACTCTCATGCCTTTGGTAAGTCGCAACTTGATGTTCTAGCGATGTGCCATCTTTTTGGCTCCTCATCGCTCCGACCACTTGTCGCCTTCCTTCCTTGCTTCTGACACCCGTCTTAGATCTTCTCTCCCTCGCAAGCGGAGCCTCCGCCGACGGTAGCCCCTCGGTCGGCACGGCCAAGCTGCACGGAGCGGAGCCCGCGTCCGTGCCCAACCCGTCTTATCTCACCTCTACGCGTCCTGCCATTGCCAATGGCCATCTTGGTACCAGCTCCTCGGCAAATCAGCCTACCAAGGCTCGCCGAATGAGTTCCTCGACCCATGTAACCTTGGGTCGCGGCAAGTTGGGCCTTACAGGAGACTCCAACCTGGTCAAGGACACGTGAGTGATCTTCATAATGGACCTGGAGAGCTGCATATTAATGACAGTCGTCCCACTCTGTCAACCTCGATGACCAGCGCGAGCCCTATCCCTGTCCGTCGCTCCTCTAACGCGGCAAATACTGGTGGTCTCCCAGCGCTGTACGACTTTGCCAAGGTGGACGGCCGCCGCCCGGCCCAATCGCGCACAACTTCCACTCGCCAGGCCCCCGTGCAGGCCTCTGTTGCTGCCTCGCTCCCCGCTCGGGGACTGACAGGGGGCGCACGTCAGCTCAACCCCCCACCCGTTGTCCAGACGGACGATATGGAGCTGGACATGTCATTTGACGGTGACGAGGACGACGACGACCAATCACGCAGCCGCAGTGGCAGCGCCGAGCTGGATATGGACATGGACGAGACTGACCAGAACGGCAACAAACTTGACTGGGAGAAGCTCGCTCTCGGGACGGGCTCTGGAGGCGTCAAAGGGAGAAGGAAGGGCATGATCTTCAAGTGCGAGACGTGTTCAAAGGAATACCGCCACCCGTCATGTCTAGTCAAGCATCGCTGGGAACACTCTCCCCATTGGCGGGACACGAACCAGATTAGCATGAGCAAGCATCAGCAGGTCCAGTTGCTCGAGGCGGCTGCCATCCTCTCCCACATCAACCCTGACAGCGGTCGCTCGCTCCCCACGGATAAGTCGCTGTGGCCCATGGCACTCTCTCCAGAGCCGAACCACGCCGTCCTACGGTCGGCCAAGTCGGCCACTCGTGACCTTCCATCTGTACGCTCTCCTCGCTCACACGCTTCACCTCTTTCTCCTGGATCCTTCCGCGACTTTGGCAACGTGCCGGCTGCCAATGAACGCAGGTCGAGTCCCGCATCGGACTCGACCTCTTCCATGGGTCACGATGCATCGCCGCACCCCAACTCTTTGGGCCTCGAGAACAGCCACACCAGCCCCATGGGCATCAGCAATCCCGGTCGCCGCACGTCTGTATCGTCTGTTGGTGGTCCTACGACACCAGCCTCGGTTGGCTCCCTTCCGGACGTAGGCGGTCTCCACTTCCACCCTGCCTCGACTCCTACAGGCGCCTCGCCCATCCCTAATCGAGCCCTGTCGCTGAACGCACGTATGCGTATGCCGGGTGGTGGTATGTTTGGAGGCCCCAGCGGCGGTGCTGTGTTCGGCTCGTCAAGTGGCGGCGGTCTGTTTGGAACTCCGGGCACGCGTGCGACCTCCTTCCGTCTTCCAGACTCGGATGTCCGCGGTGGTCGTGGTGGCAGTGCAGGGGACGCAGAGGAGCCAGGTCGTGCGCAGAGCTCATCTGAGGAGGCTGATGAGCGCCGGCGCGACGAGGAAAGCTTTGCTGTGGGTGAGATGGAACTATGATTGGCAGGGTCGGTGAGTTGTGAAGACCACCTCGCTTGGTCTTCCAGCGGCCGTGAGCTGCAGCTCTCTGCATCACTCCGTCTCGAAACTGGGCAGCCTTGGGACACCGACCGCGCACCCGGCAACGCCTACAGCAGGTGAGGTACATGGTACATTGCCGCCTCCGTACGCATGCTCACAGCCAGTTGCTGCAGTGGAAGTCCGCTGTGGCGTCTGGGGGCTGCGGGTGGGTGGAGGCAGAACTGTCTTCGCGATTATCTGAGCCATGTTTGTATTGGGTTACTATGAAGTCAAATATTAAGTGCGACCTACTTGCGTGTCGAGGCTGCCTTCCTCGTGAGTAAAGTACGGCGGAATCAGGTCAACAGCCGTCCGTCACGATAAGAAACTATTGATGCGCGTCATGTGCTACTGGATTGTGTGGCTGAGGCACATGAGATTTGGCGCAGGTGCCGGGAAATACACGCCACGCCGCGGCAAACAGACAAATCATTCACGCTTCCTGCACGCGGCAAGGTAGGGTTTCATCGACTCGTGCACTTGCCGCGGATCGAATCGACAATTCGGCCGGTTGACGCGCTCGGGTTTGGAGGAGGGAGATACGGGAGCCGCGGCTGAGGACAGAACCAAACATGACAACAGATCATCACGTGTATGAGGATCGCCGGCTGAGAGCAGCTGACCGGTGATGCCGGTCACATGTTCAGTTTATCACGTGCTGTGGTTGGTTTGTTTGGAGTTCGACTCGAGTTTGGAGTTCGACTCAAGTCAGAACTCTGCGCGGATGATCGCTGCTGAGTGCAGCAGGTACGGAGACGCGTGCCCGAGCTGTTTCTGCGCCTGCGCCACGAGCACCGCGGTGGACGTTCTCATGGCGCAACCGGCTGAGCAGTGATCTGTTGACTTTTAGGCGACAGGAGGCACTGATCCATATGGTGAGTGCTTCTGTCACCCTGTGGACGACGGTAGGCACTGCTTGATATGTTGAGTGCTCTGCTGGCATTTGGGCGAGAGGTTGGCGCTTGGCCTGTCCAGCCCCATGATCTCCAGCACGGAAGCCTGCTAAACCGAAACAACCCGCGCTCTGGCTGGACAGCCCCGCTAACCCGCTGAAGTGTGGACATGTTCTGAAAGTTCAGAGTCCCATGGCTATCAATAGACGCCGCGACACACCCAACCTTCCCGGAACCGATATGATGTAAGAATAACAGGACACAAAGTCATGCTTGTCTCACCGACTCGTAGCCCCGGAGGACACGACGCGTCCCGTCGCTTCCTCTCGCCTGCATGCACTGCATCATGTCCGGAATGGACCTTTTGTCTCACAATTTATCTATTCCCGTCCGGCATGGCGATCTTTCCGCACAATAAGCTGGGCATGGCGATCTCTCGCAATGACGAGGATGGCGCTCGCTGGCGCCACATGCTCGTCAACAAGACTTGCAAGCGGGATCGGCGGATCGGCGTTCCGCGGTGCTTGCTGATCCCGCCAAGTCGCTTGGCCGCAACGCGCGCAACACCCCGATAGTTGCGGCGCAGATCAGATTGTCCGCAGCCGAGCCAGCCGAGCGCCGTTGCGTCATCGCCACTCGGCTCGTCTCCGCATACCGCATACCGCACCGCCATCGCCGAGTTGCCGCACCCGTGACTCAAGTCCGCTACCGTGTCCTGGGCCGCGATGACTTGCACTACTACACTAGGCACGCGCCGATGTCTGGCTCGGTGGGTGGTCACGGCGGCGCCAGCAACTCTACCGACTGACGCGAGGGCGGTGCCGGAACCGACAGGTACCGAGATAAGGGGAATCTAACAAAAAGAAGCTTGCAGTTTAAATATCGCGATCCGCTCACCACGAGCCTTCACTCCACCTTTCCGCCTCCACGCCGCTCGCTTCCGCTTCATCTCGAGCTCCTTTCGCATCTCGCCTCAACTACGTTCGACACAACCCGCCCACCCCCACCATGGCCTTTGGCAAGGTTGCGGCGGCTGCCCTCGTCTTCGGCATCCTGTACGCCGCCATGTTCGTGTATATGTCCTGGATGTACGCGACCAAGCGGTTCAAGTGGAAGTCGCGCTTCACCATTCTCTTTCTGCACTGCGCGATCCGCGTCGCGTCGCAGGTGAGCCGCCCGCCTTCCGAGTCCCCGCGGCGTGCATCGCTGACGACAGGCGTGCGGCGTCGCCTTCGGCGTCCTCCTGTGGCGGAACACGGACGTCTTCGTCGCCTACCTCATCCTCGGCGCCGAGGGCTACTTCTCGCTCACAATTGCGTCGTACTATTTCCTACGGCACTACGAGCTGCGGAACTTCCACCGCTCGCGACTGGGCAAGCTCAAAGAGGAGAAGAGGACGTGGCAGCGCTCCTTGGAGATCTGGTCGTGGGCACCGCTCTGGGCGCCGTGGCGTTACACCAAGGACAACGTGATTATGATCGTCGACTCCTGGCTCATCCCCGCCAAGTGAGTGTCTGCTCTCGTCGAGCATACAGCCTCGGCTGAGCTCACAACCCACAACCCCAGAACTCTCTAACCCCAGCGCTCTCATCATTACTGGTGGCTCGCTGATGGTCGGCGCGATGGACGCCGAAGCGAACGGGTACACGCCCGAGCAGGCAGCGAAGCGGCTGCGGATGTCCAAAGGCTTCCGCACCGCCGGCCAGGCCGTCTTCCTGATCCTCACGCTGCTGTGGGTCGCCTTCGTCGCCAACGCGTACCGCAAAACGGTGCGGGCACACCTCGGCCGCCTCGCGCGCACCGCCTGCTTCACCTTCGGCACCATCGGGGTCTTTCTCATCGTACGTGGCGTCTTCGGCGTCCTCCAAAGCGCGATCTGGAAGCTCAGCTACTACAACGCGCACAACTACGACGCGAACGGGTTCACGACCGAGTTCGTCGCGGTCGAGAACGTGCTGGCTGTTATGCCAGAGTTTGTTGCGTACGTCCCAAAGTAGTCGTAGCTGACGGCAGGGCTGCACTCCTCAACGCGAGCTGGTGGGCAACGCGCAAGCGCGCCGAGGAGATCGAGGAGGGTGAGGGTGACGATGAGGGAGATGGCGAGGGGCGGATCGGACGCAATGGGCCGCACGAGTCTCCTGGTCATCAGGAGACCAAGAGCATCAATGTCTAGACCCCAAGGCCGCCAATCTTTGACGTAGCATGTACATTTGTCCATGCCTCCGTCCGTGGGCCTTGCTGTGTAGTTCTGTAACCATGTAACCAGTGCGCAATCGCTGGAACGGCTAAGAGTGGGCACTGTGCACATGCGCCACTGTTTGACTACGGAGCCCACGTCGGTAAATCAGATCGAGTCGTTGGCCGCTTGCCTCTATGATCACGGAATCTTGGCTGTTGACGAGTGGTGAGCGGCGACCGGAAGTAAGCATCCGGGGTTGCCATTCACCCCTAATTCCGTAAGAAGGCAATCGAGTCACCGTTCGCTTTCGAGTCGATCTAACCTGCTTAACTGCTTCTTCACCTTCCATTTGCTCCAGGTATTGTCCAATCCCCCTCCTTCCCGTTCCTCTTCCACCATGGCAGACGTTCTCCTCGCCAGCGTCGAGCCGCTCTCGCACCCCGACCGTGTACGCACAGTCGCGCATTACGCTCGCAGCAATGGCGTCGCCGACATCGTTGCTGATCTCGAATCTCGTGGGGGGTGGTATGAGCAGCGTATTGCCGCCACCCTCGCCTACGTCTCGAGAGACACAGCTTGGGCGAGCAGACATCTCACCGACCTCAATCCCTCCGTGCGGAGGTTGGCGCTCAAGCTGGCCCGCCACCTCCCCGACTCTGCCCTCGAAGACGCCCTGCGCGACGCTCCTAAAGTTGTTCGCCTTTCGCTTTACGGTCAACTCAAGGGTCGCCCGGTCCTCGCCGACGAGCTCGTGGAGTCGGTGCGCGCTGAGTGGGGTGATGACGAGGCTCGCCGCATCCTCTGCTGGTGCACGGAGCCAGTCGTTCGCCGTCTTCTTCCCTCCCTTCTCCCTGCCATCCACCGGGCGCGTGGATGGCGCTCACTTGCGAGGGAGCACCCACAGACACTCCACCAAGCCCTCGCCACCGATCTCAACGAAAGCCTCAAGGCCGGCATCTCGGCTTCTACCTGGTGGTCGCAGTACGACACGGCTTTCAACAGCCTTAAGAAGAGCGGAGCCACAGTGAAGGACACCCTCGACATCGTGGAGGCCCATAATCTGATTCTCGGCATTTCATATGACTATCTGACGATGCTCTTCCGTCACGAGCCTCAGCGCACCTTCCGCCTTTTACGAAAGCACCACCAACTCCATCGCCTCACCCACAGCGCGACCAGTTGTCGCCTGATGGTGCGCTCTGCACTTCCCTCTGTTCAAGAGCTGATCGAAGCGCTCAGGGAGTCGGGCGTAGTCTGGGTCAATCTGGCCTTCTTCAGATGCTTTCCGCCATCAAAGCGGGTTGAGCTCCTCGAGCTGCTCAAAGAGGGATGCAGCACTGCGTCTGTGCTGACTAGATACGGTTCCGAGAATCTCTTGCCCAGGCCTGATCTGGCCAATCTAGCGCGCAAAGCTATCGTCGAGTTCGAACAGGCAGCAGAGGGGACGAAGCCCCCGTATCATCTCCTCGCCTATCTTCCACCAGAGGAGGTGCGAGACGATTTCCTCAAGGGCACACGCCTCCCCGACCCCAGCGACCGCAGCAGTGCATGGCGGTGGTACATCCTCAACGCTGAGGTCGCGGGCTCGGAGGCTCTTACTGCGGCAGCGGTTGAGGCGGCGCCTCGACTGCGCAACGAGCAACAACCTGTCCGTGCAACCGCCCTGTCTGCTCTGGCGAGCGTCCCCGCCCGTTTGTGGAACGAGAACGCTCTGGAACATCTGAGGATCATCCTGAAGGATGCCACCGAGGCGCGAGACGCATCCTACGAACGGCATCATGTTATGAGGATGGCTGCCGCCGTTTTGAGCGCACACATGGACTCGGCTCCTCACGTCGCATGGGTGGAGGTCATTTACGACATGCTTATCAAGCGTGGCGAGAGCACTCCACTCCCAGAGCTCCAATCTCTTCGCCAAGGCCACGGGGTGAAGCTGTGGAATTTTTACAGGCCGTACATGGCGAAGGAAGCCGTGATCCACAAGTATTCCATCCTCTTTGAGTTCGCCAGGTCTCAGCGTGCAGACAGCTTCCCCGGACTATGGGATGCACTTTGGAAGGCCATTACCGGCAAGGGCAACAAAAGCACAGTCCGCTCCGCCATCGAATTGTGGCTCAAGCCGAAAAGTCTTCGTCGAGACCGTGTGGCAGATCTCATTGCCTTCGATCGGAGCTGTATCACCATCCCCGTTGTGGCCGAGATCATTGCAACCATTCGCACAGATCTTCTCGATTGCGCTTTGGGCCCGCCGCCGAACGGACTCTTCAAAAGCGCCGACGCGCTTCCATGGGTCTTTTATCCGTCCTCACACTCAGTGAGGCTGTGGACGCCAGCACAGGCGGCCAGGCTGCTCGCCAAGTATGAGAGATCCTTGAGCTCATCACGCGGGCTATGGGAAAAGAAGCGCATCATCCGGTACCTGAAGGACATTCCGGGCGGTCTGAAGCTCGTTCGAAGCCTGGCGACAGACAAACGCAACGAAGTGGACATCGTTGAGGCGAGTCTTGGCGTGCTATCGTCTTCGCCCGCCGATCTAGGACTTCTCTACGGCTTGGCTGGCGGTGATCGCGCGCGCGTAGCGATATATGCAGCTTACGGCTCGGCTAGCCGCACCCGGCCCTCAATTTTAGCGCCACATCTCACGGATCTCCTCACTCGCAAGGACGTGAAAGTGACATCGAAGAAGGAGGCCACCCGTCAGGCAGTATCGCTGCTTCCGCTCAACATCTCGATGCCGCTTCTTGTCAATCTCATGGCCTCGGAAGAGTTGCACCGCGACACCCGCATCGCTTGCTTCTCCGCAGTGAAGCCGATGCTCTCGGTTGAAGCCGCCTGGGATATCCTCTACAAGGCGGTGGATGCTGACGAGCCCTTTGTCAAGCAGGCACTCTGCGATGTTTCCACCCTTGACTTCACACATGAGTTGCGACGCCGCTACGCCCCGATCGTCATCCGGCTCGCCAAGGACGAGCACATGGACGTCAAGTGTCGGGCATTGCAGGCATTGGCCGCCTGGGCAATCTACAGTCCGGACGCGGGCTCCGCTCTTGTCAACAGCTCCACCAACATGAGCGCTCGCGAGAGTGAATGGAAGGCAGCGGTACAATCGCTTGTACAGTGGGGCGACACCGAGAGTCTCCTCAAAGCCACGCGGGCTCTTCTGGACCACGGAGACGAGTCCGACGACAAAGGCAGCGACCTGCCAGCCGTTCGTCGCCTCAAGACTCTCTGCGATAGCCTTCAACGAGGACCGCACGCCGCGGCCAGCTATGCCGTTGCGACCCTTGTGGCAGAGCACGAGGACTTTGTGCCGCACGCGGCTCGCCTGCGCGCGGCGCGGATCGACTACGACGACCCCGGCAAGGCTCTCGAGGACCTGCGCGACCTTGTCCGTCTCCTCTCCCATCGCCCGCTGATGGCGCTGCGACTCCGTCTCGAGATTCTCGACCACTGCGCCATCTCACCTGCTGGCATGGACACAATCGCTCGTGGCCTGATCGATGACGGAGGGACTGTGGCAGGCATCTTCGCCGTGGGACTCATTGCGCGCGAAGGGGGGAAGGAGAAATGGTCGGAGGGGCGGCGCGAGATGCTGCTGGAGCTGCGCCGTCACCCCGACGCCGACGTGCGCGACGAGGCGCGCCGAGCGCGGATGCAGTGACCAGGGGTTGAGGTGTGATGGGGTTTGCACAGGGCGTGCTGGTTAAGTGAATAGAAGAGGAGAGCGTTGAGTTCCCCAGAGTGTTGAGGCGGAAGACCTGTGGGAGCATTGAACATAACAACGCGGAGTGGACTTGTACAGCATGGAAGTATAGAAGCATGTATGTGTAAATCTGCTGTATCCACGACCAGGACGCACGCGACGCCAGATAACCCTATTCATGCAAGCGAAGTGACCATTTTTGAGGGGTGCACTCTGCTGGGAGACAAAGGCCCCCCGGCGGCGCGTGGCGACGCTTCGTCGCCTTGCGACCCGTGAGAATAGGAGTTGCCCCAGATACACTTCCGTCCTCGCGTGCAAGTGCGCCCTACACATGCTGGGTTTCTACGACGCAAGTCCCTCTCAGCGCAATCTGGCCGAGTAAACCGGAGTGACTGGCGAGTGCCTCACGGTCTGAAGTGGCACTTCTCTCAAGGATTTCCATGCGCCTCGCGAAGCACCAGATAACTAAGTGCGAGATCTGTAGCAGCGCATCCCTGAATAGCCATCCTGTACAATCATGCACTTGAATTTCATTGAATGCCCTCTAGTCTATTGGGCCTACATACATAAGATTCATCTAGTACTCGCGGGCGAAGCGGAGGTGGCGGCGAGCCGGGGCCGCCGAGGACTCAGCCGCGGGAGCGGTCTCGCCGTCGGCGGTGGGCTCAGGAGCGGCGGCGTCCGAAGAAGCAGCGCCAGATGGGGCAGCGTCGGATACCGAAGGGGTGGGCGCAGTGCCATTCACGGGACCGGTGGGCAGGGGCGCGGTGGCGTTGCCGCTCGACTCAGGCCAGGGCCAGGCAGACGCGGTGCCGTTGCCAGTGCCATTCGCCGACTGGCCGATGGGGGTGACGGTCGCGTTGGGGGTGGTGGTGGTCTCCTGGCCGGTAGTGTTGGTGTAGGTGAGGGGGAAGCCGAAGGTGCTGTTCTTTGCGGTGGGCATCACGCCGTTGGGGAGGGTGCCGTTGGCCGAGATGGAGGCGTTGGCGGCGGGGCAGGTGGCAGCGTACCAAGCCTCAAAAGAGGTGTCGGGCGCAACCTCCTGCTCGAGGAGCCAGGGGGCGCCGGTCTCGGCGATGGACACGGCGGCGTACACGCACTCGTTGCAGAGGTTGGCGGCGGGGTAGGTGCTAAGCTTGGCGCGCTCAGTCGAGTTGAACACGAGCTGGAGGACGTCGGTGACGGTCAGGTTCTTGCCGTGCCACTCCTCGAGGCCCTTGAGGAGCGAGGTGGCGCAGAAAGTGCTGTTCGCAGTGGAGTTACCGGCGGGGATGGTTGAGTTGGTGCCAGCGGTGCCGTTCATGGGGCCAGTGGGGGCGGGGGCGGTAGCGTTGGCACCCATGGGGCTAGCTGACGTCGAGGCAGTGACGCTCGGGACGGCAGCAGCACCTTCAGGAGGGGCGCCCTGCTGCTCCTGGCGCTTCATCATGGAGGCCGAGGGGGAAGCCATGGACGAGGCGCTGACAGGGCCGGAGGTGGCAGCGCTGGGAATCGCAGAAGACGCGGTGCCGGAGCCAGAGGTGCCGTTGGCGCCGCCCTCCTGGTACGGAGCGAAGGCCGTCGGGTCGTAGATCGGCGCCTCAGTGGTCTGGAGGCAAGCCGCCTCACGAGCGGCCGGGTAGAGCTGGGCAATAATCTGCACCGTCTCGTTGCTGATGCCGGCGCCCTGGAGGTCGACCTGGCACGAGTTCAGAACAGTCTCAGCGATCTGGGTGATAGTGGAGTTGGAGCATCCAGGGGCCGCGCACGCCTGCTGAAGGTAGACCTCAAGGCCGGGAATGATTGAGTTGGCGTTGCCAGTGGGGCGCGAACCGGCGGGTGCGGTTCCTTCAGGAACGGCACTCGACGAGATGACGGGGGAGGCCGTAACAACCACGTTGCTCGCGGAGTTCACGGCGGAGCTGAGAACGCTGGCCGCTGAGGTCACGGCTTCCTGACGGCGCACGGGGCCGGAGCTCGTGAACATGAGCGCCGTCGAAGCCTTGGAGGTCGCAGCAATGGCCGTGCCGGAGACACCGGGGCGCGGCCCCGCACCGGAGGGAACCTGGCCACTTAGAGCCTGCAAGAGGGTGGAGGCCTGCAGGCACTTTGCGGATTCGCCACCCAGGAAGAGGCCGATTACGCCCTGCTGGCACTGGGGGGAGAGGTTCCGAAGAATGCTGAGAGCACCGACACCGCCGGCACCGGAGCCGGATGACGGGCTGGTGCCATTGCCAGCGGAGGAGGCGGTGGCGCCGAGGGAAGACTGGACGGGAGTGGGAGGTGGAGAGACAGAGGCCGGGCCCGACCCTGCACTAGATGGCGAGGGCGCACTAGACTCGACAGCTGAGGACTGGTCCTGTGCGTAGACGGTCGTGGCAGCTGCAAGGGCTGCGATGGTCGTGAAGCGCATTGCGGAGCGTGGCTAATGGATGAGGAGTGGTTTTTGAGTGTGGCGCTTTCAAGTGGCGAGTGTGGCGGTCGTGAAGAGATGGGGTTCGTACACTCGGTCGTAAACTGCGGCCAAGTAGACAGAGAGGGCGTAGTCTTATATGCATGCCCATCCGCAGCACGGCGGTGCACTTTGCAGTGGCGACACTTTTCCCCGCAGCGTCGTCCACCGCTCTGGCGTCACCGGCGTCACCGGCGGAAGGCCGATCGTGTACGCAGCCCACGGCGGGAGGCGGAGAGACGGGGCCCGGGGGCGGGTTACCTGCCGGCGGCATATCGCTTAAGGCTTTGGGGTCTGAGCCAGCGGCGAAGCTTGTGGAGTTAGAGCCTGACGTTATGGAGTCGGTGGTTGGGGCAGAGCAGAGAATGATGATGCCCTAATGTGACGTGGTCGGCAGTCCACCTCCGATGTCACGTCCCTCAACTTTACGTCCACATGTGTACGCAGCCTGCGCTCTGGCTGCGAGGACCTCGGCGACAAGTTGCTGTGCAACGTCAAAGACTTTATTCTATACTTTATTCAGGGGGAGGGGGGGTCATTATTAACCTTGCTTGCTGACATTGCACCTCTTACACGTGCCCACTGACGTCATGTATACACGACTTCAACTTGCGTTTTACTCCGCGGAAGCGTCGCCGACGGAAGTTTCTGGGTGCAGCGGGATAGGAACCGCAGCTATGCATGAAACTTATTGCTGGTCAGAGCTCCCGTGGGAGACGAGGTTGAGGAGACGTGAGGCGTTTATTGTTACAGATAGAGATGATCAAGGCGAAACGCTCGTGGATCGATCAGTGCTTGGGAGTGAATGCTATGCTGAGGGCGTTAACTGCAAACCCTCGCCCCGGCTCGCTCCGTTGTCGTTCCCAGGACTCTGGGCGCCTCGAGTCTCGGACAAAATACGCATCCCCGGCATGAGGAGGACTTACCGGCTGAGCATGTGCGGAATCGCGCTAAGCTGGGGTCCGTAGCGCTGCGTGTTGTCATAGAACTCGTGAATCGGAATGGCGAGTAGCTTCATGTTCAGGGGCACGCCCACCATCTCTGTACGTGAGCCTACGCTGTGGAAAGGGAGGGAGTGGCGAAGTCAGCGGCATCTCGGGCTCCGGGCCGTGACATACGCTCAGGCATAGTGACGAGGTAGATCTTCTTGCATTCCTTGGGCTGGGAGACGTGTGCCGGTTTGTAAGGATACTGCTGTTCAGCACATACATGGACGACCACCATCATGGAGTGGAGCCATCGTGGAGGAAGGTGACGTTTCTCACGAAGAACCCGTCAAAGTTAGGACGGTACCAGACCGCGAGGAGGCAGTGGATATTCCAGTGAGGTCCCTCCGCACGCCACTGCTTGGTGCCGGCGCCAAGAAGATCATCCAGGTGGCGGATGAGTCCAGTCTCTTCGTCTTCCGAGGGGTCAAGATATCCGCCGGGGCTGAGGTTGAGGTGAGCGGTACGATCTTCTGGACTACCACAACGGCGACGCCGCAGACATACAGCTTGAAGAAGTCATTGGCGATCTGCGTGGTCAGAACGCAGGGGACGCCGTGATCCTGTGGTCAGCTTAGGATCTGGCCACGAGACCATGGGTCGACAAGGAAGGTGAGGATGTGAAGGGATCCTGTGGCACAGACTTACATGAACAAGGATGACAGCGTCAACCGAGCGGCGCATTCCGGTCTCGTCATACTGGTCCTGGAGACGCCGCATACGCTCAGCAACGGACGAGTCTTCCTCAGGCTGAGTCGTTGTGTTGCTGAGGTGAATCTGCTAGTCCAGCTGCATTGGATGCGACGCACTGGAAGGAGAACTTGTGAACGGGGAGAAGGTCAACTTTCTCCGCGGAGTGGTGCTTGATGGGCATTCTAACTCGAGGTGAAGTGAGCGGTCAGAAAGGATGAGACGCTATGTGAGCGGGTGAGATTCAGAGCCGTGTGAGTTGTGTGATGAGTGAGCTGAGATGAAGACGAGAGATGAAGAGTTGGAGATTGGAGAGCGATGTGAAGAATGAGAGATGGAGATGAGGACGGGTTGAGTCAACTGATATAATTCCCACGGCCTATGAATGCCATGCCTTCCTTGCCACTTGTGGTATCGCCATCTGGGTGATAGCGCCGATAGGGCTGGGAGCGTGTCGTGACGGATGCTCTGCTGTTCTGCTGACTGCGAGATTCTAAGTTGAGTGGGGAAGGAGAGGCGCGTCGCGTTCAGGTCACGTGTTTCGGCCAGCCCCGTCACAGTGCACAGTGGCTGCAGTGACCCTGGGTGGCAACACCAGTGACGCACATATGCACCCCGCATCGCTACCGTCACCACCCCCAGCTACTCACTTTATCAATCACCCATCACTTCAACATCATGTTCTGCCTTGGCGCTCGCGACAAGACGCAGCACATTCGCTTGCCTGAGGATGAGGATAGTGCCTCCGACCGCCTCCTTGAGGAAATCTACGCGCTCGATGAGAAGACAATTGCCCCACTCGCCCCCAACGAAGATGAGATGCAGGACCGCCTCAAAGAGTTGCGCAAGACTATCGCAGACGCCAAGTTGGACTGGTAGTATGTATCCAGAAACTTTCGAGGCAATCTGACGCCAGCGTTGTGCCAAGTCAGGATGAGCACATGAGCGAGTACACGGCCGACAGCGATAAGCGGCGTGACTGGATCTCGGGGTATGGCGTTCTCCAGCTGCGCTCATTCCAGATTTGATGGCTCCGCCGGCACTGCGCTTGTACCGAGTACCGACATCAAGGAGGACGCGCTCCTGTTCGTCGACAGTCGTTACTGGATTCTTGCCGAGAAGATGGTGCCCAAGAAGGGCTGGAAGGTGGTGCGCGTGGGTGCATCTGGAGGAAGTGGCGATGCCGCCGTGACTGGAGGTTGGACCGAATACGTTGCCAACACTCTTCCTGACGGTTCAAAGGTCGGCATCGATCCAAAGCTCATCAGTGCCGATCTTGCGCGCACTGTTGAGTCCCGCCTCGCTCCTGGGGGCACACGCCTTATGCCACACAAGGAGAACCTTGTAGACGCCGTTCACACGCCCACGCCACGCCCACTGGACCCGCTCTCGCACTATCCCTTCAGCCTCAGCGGGGAGAAGACGGACGCGAAGCTGAAGCGTATCCGCTCGCAGCTCGACAACTACGTTCACTCGGAGAAGTGGATATATCTCCTGCCTACTATCACCACGATCCCTTGGCTGCTCAACTATCGTGGCTCAGACGTCGAATACACGCCCGTGGCGTTCGCGTATTGCGTACTCACCCCAAGCGAGTGTGTGCTTTTCGTTGACAAGCGCAAGGTTCAGGACGATGAGGAGCTGCTTGAGGACTTCAAGAACGCCGGCGTTACGCTCAAGGGGTACGGCATCGACGAGGTGCAAAAGTTCGTGGAGGGTTCAGTCAAGGCAATGGGTGGGAAGAAAGTCCAGATTTTCGCGTCACGCAACACCTCTTGGGCCCTCGCGAAGGCGTGCGAGCCCGTGAGTGGTTTGCCACGCATTGCAGCTGACCACAGGCCCTCGTCAACACCATTGCATGCCCTGTGGACGAGGCCAAGGTGCTGAAGAATCCCGTAGAGCTGCAAAACTTCCGTAATGCCTACCTTCGAGATGGACGTGCCATGGTGAGTCAGGAATGTCCGCTTTCGGTGGCTGACATTAGGTACGCTGGATGGCTTGGATGGAAAACCGTCTCGTCAAGGAAGGCAAAGACATCGGCGAGTGGGCAGCTGCTATGGTTCTTGCGCGTTACCGGCGCCAGGAAGACATGTACGCCGGCCTAGCTTACGCGGACATCTCCGCGACGGGCCCGAATGCAGGTAAGCTCGAGCACTCTGAAACCATATTGACGGCAGCGTCCGGCCACTACGCGCCGACTCGCGGCAACGAGGCGCAGATCGATATCAACACGCCCTACGTGATGTAAGCTGGAGCGCTGACATTTCGCTAACGCCAGTGACTCCGGCCCTCAGTACCTCGGTACGCCAACTCTCTGAGGAGCTGTACTGACCGCAGACGCCACCATCGACACTACCCGCACTTTCTTCATGGGCAAGGATGCGTCAGATGACCTGAAGCGGCAGTATACACGCGTTCTGCAGGGTCATTTCGCGGTGTCGAACGCTACGTTCCCACTCGGCGCCGACGCGGCCGGCCTTTCGGCCTTCTCGAGGAAGTTCCTGTGGGAGGACGGGCTGGACTATGGACACGGGCTCGGCCACGGCGTGGCGAACTACGGTACGGTACACGAGGGGCCAACAGGTTTTGTTCACGGCTTCTCCTTCAAGCCAGGCCACGTTACTACGATCGAGCCCGGATTCTACCTGGAGGGCCAGTACGGGATGCGCATCGAAAGCACGTACATTTGCCGCGAGGTAGAGACAAAATACGAGTTCGGTACCAAGTGGCTCGGCTTCGAGTGCGTGACTCGTGTACCCATCGATAACCGACTCATCGACTGGAGCATTCTCACCAAGGAGGAGATTAAGACGCTCAACGAGCACAACAAGATGGTTGAGGAGGCGCTTGTTCCCCTGCTCGACGACGACCTGGATAAGGACGCGCGCGAGTGGGTGAAAAAGATGTGCAAGCCCCATTTTATTTGGCCGTGGACGGGCAAACAGTAGTAGCTGTACACGCATGTATCAGATGTGAACGACATAAGATCCGTCTCTCAGGTCAATCGTCCATCTATACTTCCTCGGTAAATTGTCGGATAAATATTCACAGAAGTTGACTTCACCTTGAGCTCGCGCGTCAACATTGCATCTTACGCTATCATACTACCATGGGCCTCTTCGACGATCATCTGTCATTCGCAACTCCAGCAGGGTCCTCAGCTCTTCCACCACCGGGGTCTCATCTCCTTGTGACGGACACATTAACGGCGAGCGCAAATGTACTCCTGTACCACCTGTTCATGAGCGCCAATGCCGCAAACGTTCCAGTTCGTCTCCCTCTCTTTCCTCATGGCCTCACACTTGTCTTCCTATTGCTCATACTTGCCCGCCATTCTCTCCTTGCATGGCATCCCTCCCATGCATAACGGACCATGCGTCGCGAGCTCACATCAGATCATTTGGGTCGACCTCCGCAGCGAGACATTGTCGTCGTTCGACACTGTCCTCCGCCGTCTCGGCTCACCGCTCAAGCGCGTCACATACATCGCACCTTCTCCCCTTCCTCCGTCTTTGCACCCTCAGTCCACTCCCAACGCCCCGCAACCACCCCTGTTTTCGCCTGAGCCAACTCTATCCCCAACTGTCGCATCCGTGCGGTCCGCCCTTTCCTCATCCCCCAAAGCTCTCGTCGTTCTGGACGGGCTTTCCGAGCTCCTCGATATGGGTTTCTCCGCCATCTCCATTTTCCAAGCAATTCGTGCCGTCCTCGCCGATGTGCGCACGTCAGGGGGATGCCTCATCTCAACGGCGCACGAGAACGAGGATCTTACGCGGCGGCTAATCCGCCTCGGGCCGTGGTGGCGCGTATCGGGGTTGACACCACGCTCAGGCGAGGTCAGCGGCGAGATCTCGGCTGTCCCAGTCCCCGCCGGTGTGGGGCCAGCAGTGAGCAGGGACAAGGCCGTTCAGTTCCGCCTCGAGCCCGCTGCTGTGCGCGCCTTCCCCAAAGGCACTGGGAGGGGATATCTGTAGTCCTATCTAGCATCTAGCCGCTTCTAAGCATCACATTATACTACCCCACACGCTCCTCATACACATTCCCGCCCTTGTTTACAGGTGCATGCCCTCGTCTTCGCTTGCGGTGGGAGCACCGTTGGCGACGCTCCCGTTCGTCTGTGCCGGAGACTGCGTTGGTGGCGGCTCGATGCCGTAGTGCGCCAGACTCTCAGCGCCCACCTTGTCAATCAACACCGAGCGGAGCATCTCGACGCGCTCGCTCTGGCTCGCGCTACTGTCAGCCGCGCGAACGGGTTACAAGACGCACATGACCCCCTCGTTCTCGTCCAACGCCGACCGCAGATCCGCGTCCTCTTCTTCAGCGAGAGCGGAACGCAGCTCGCCCTGCGTCGCAATGAGGTGGGAGAGCGAGTTACGGAGGCGCGCGATCTCTGCCATTAGCCCGGAGGAGTGGACGGGGAGCGCACCAGCCACGATTGTCCCGACGTCCAGCTGCGCCGCCTCGGCGGGCGTGAAGGGCTGAGGGTGCACCGGCTGGAAGGACATGGCGGAAGACGCTGTGGGTGGTTGTGAGGGTGAACGGAGGATGGGTTGCGGATCGAGGCTCGGCGTTGCGGGGATTGCGGGGTGGGGGACCACGGCGGACAATGCTGTGAGACGCATCGGCCAATTTAGGCAGTACAGCACTGTTCAAAACGAGACTTGGCCTTGGCTCTTGTACAGTGAGCTACCTGAACGCACAGTGGAGAAGGTCCGAAATATTGTCGAAGCGACCCGTGCCAGTGCCATCCTTCCAATGACTTGATCGGCGCCGTCTCCTGTGCTCCGAGTCCGCGACCCCACCGCCAAGACCTTATTTTTGCCTCATCACCTCCACGTTCCTCGTCGCGTCGACTTCATCACCGCACTCCTCATCATGTCAGAACATCTCGCGTCGTTTGCGACGCTCGGCGCGCAGGCCCTCGTGCCCATTTTTATCGGCTCGTTCCAGTCGCTGCGCATTCCAGCGCCCGTGCGCGCGCGTAAGCGTGCAGCGCGGCGCGCACGCGTCAAGCTCGGCGACGATGAAGACGACGACATCCTCGACGAGAACGAGGGCGAAATGCTCACGCTTGCGGATTCCGTGCTGTTTCCCATTCTTGGAAGCTGTGCGCTCCTTGGGATGTGGGCGCTCATCACGTACGTCGACCGCCGCATACTCGACCTCCTCCTCGGCTGCTATTGTGAGTGTCTGCCCGCCTTCCTCCCCGCTCGTTGCACGTCTACCGTATCGGTCGCCCGTCCTTCCTTGTGAGCACGCTGATCCAGTCTCCTTTGCCTCCGTCCTAGCCGTGCAGAGCACGTTCGACGGTGTGCTCAACTTCCTCCTGCGCGTGATCGGCGCTCCCGGCCCGACGTACCATCTCCGCGTGTCGTCCGGCATTAAGCGTGCGTGACTTTTTTCTCGACGACGCTGACAACAGAGATCGCACACATGCCATTCCGCCGCGCGTCGCTCATTGCTCTCCCTTTCGCTATCGGCCTCCCTGCCGCGTACATCGCCCTCGGCCGCCCCTACCTCATCAGCAACGTCCTCGCGCTCTGCCTTGCATCAGCCGCGCTCGCACTTCTCAGGCTCGACGGCTTCCCCACCGCTGTACTCCTCCTCACTCTCCTTTTGGCCTATGATGTGTTCTGGGTAAGTGCTGCCACTTTGCGCGATCCCTGGGGCTCTCCGCTCTCTCACCACCCCTCATAATAGCTCAGCGTCTGACGACAACCTTCCCTCGCTTGCTCGCTCACACCCAGGTCTTCTACACTCCCGTGATGGTCACCGTTGCCAAAGGCATCGATGCGCCCATGAAGCTTCTTGCGCCCAAGGCAGACAAGTCGTTCGCTATGCTCGGCCTCGGCGACGTCGTCATCCCCGGTCTCCTCATCGCCCTCTGCCTTCGCTTCGATTTGGCACGCCACGCGCGCCTCCGCCCGAAGGAGGACGTTGGGCCGCGCTCCTCTTTCGCCAAGCCCTACTTCTCCACTGCCATCGCCTCTTACATCTGCGGCTTGGGCGCCACTATCGCCGCCATGCTGCACTCAGGCAAGGCGCAGCCGGCTCTCCTCTACCTCTCCCCCGCGTGCATCATTGGCCCGCTCCTCACTGCTGCCGCTCTGGGTGAGGTGAAGGAGTGCTGGACCTGGCGCGACGAGGAGGAAGAGGAGAAGGACGAGACGATCGAGGCGGCCAGCGAGGTCGCCATCCTTGCCCGCCAGGAAGCCAAGGCAAAGGCTGCAGCTGCGGCTGCGACCGTCGACCCAGACGAGACCTCTGTGTCAAATGGCGCGGCGCCAGACCACTCCGCGCCCGATTCCGCTGCCCAGGATGACAGCTGGATGGACGGCACGGGGGTCGCGGGCGCTGAGGGCCCCAGAACTCGTTCTAAACGCAAGGGCGGCAAGCGCAAGTAATCACGGCTATGTAGACCCATGTGCATGAATAGACTATAACTACAGACTCCGGCGGTACTTGATGAACGCGACGAGGTTCTCGTACGCCTCCTCAGCACGAGCGCGAAGCATCGGATTCTTCCTCCTGTCGATCTTGCGCGAGTCGGCGCGCACACGTGCGACAATGTTGGTGAGTGCACCGACCATGTTGTGCGCGACGAACACGGGCTGGTCGTACTCGCGCCCCTCGTCGGCATAGATGTCGATGATGGCGTTGAGGAGAGCGACCATCATCTCGGCGCTCGGCTGGGACGTGAGGGCTGCGACGAGCCACTGCGCGACGGCAGCGTTCTCCTCCACAGGCACACCAGGCCTGGCAGCGAGGGACGCGAGGGTGTCGACGGCGCGGGCGGCCGCCTCCGGCCGCAGCACTGGGATCGCCTTGGTGATCATGTCCGTCGCGCCCTGCGGTGCGGATGCGGGGATAGTCTTGGACAGACCCCACGCACCAGCCAGCGCGCCCTCCATGAGCTCGAGACGCATCTCCTGCCCCTTGGCCTTGAGGGCGGCCGCGTCCTCGCCAGTGCCTTGCACGATGGCGAAGACGCCCTCCCACAGCGCGGCGGGGAGGAGCTGCGCGAGCTGCTCGCCACCCATGACGGCGGCGGACGTCGAAAGGAGGAGGTTGTTGAGCGCCTCAAGCGCGCGCAGGTGCACGACCGAGAGAGCGGCAGTCGTGGGCGGGTGCACGGAAGGATTGGGGCCGTGCGGTGGAAGGGAGAGGGGTGTGAGTTGTGCCAGGGTTACTAGGCGGGTGGGGAGGGAGAGGGTTGACAGGAGGTGGGGGAGGGTTGCGGCGGTGTTGACGCTCGGCACAGCGGAAGCCTTGCCGTTAGCCGCTGGGTCACGGCCTTTGGCAATCAGGTCCTCGTCGCCCATAGAGTCATCCTCGTCGTCATCTGCGGGTTAGCGACCGAATAATCCCAGGTTGCGATCACTCACCTCCCTCCTCGTCCATTGCCTCCTCCTCGGCGGTGTCCTCCAGTCCCGCGCAGATCGCCGTCAAGATCTCCAACCCCACACCGACAGTGCTAAGCATGCGCTCCATGCGCTCGAGCTTGATCTCAGCCTGCGACTTGTGGTCTACCTTCACGTCCTTGCCAAGCACCGGGCCATTCTTAGGCTGTTGTCAGCTGGATCCGGTTTGCTTGAACTTACAATCTCCGCCACGAGCTCGGTGACCCGCTGCGCAGCCTGGGCGAGGTTGACGTCCAGCAACCCATTTATCAACGGGAGGATCACCTCGTTGGTGAGTGGGGCGATGCCAACGCGGGCGTCGGCCGACGACCCAGGCTCGACGAGGTTGCGGAGGGCGCCGGCCACTAGCACACGGGTGAGGAGCGCGCGCCCGTCCGCGATTTCATCGTCCTCCTGGTCCATTGCCTTCTTCGCGCGCCCCTTGCCCTTTGCATTGTGCTCGGCTGGAGTGTGGTCGGCCTTGACGATGTTGACCAGCACGGGAAGAGCGTTCGTCTGGGAGAGCAGGGCAGACGAGAAAGGAGCATTGTCCGTCGTAAGGCAGAACAGTGCCTGCGCAGCCGCTAGTGCTACTCCCGGCGAGAGCTGGTCCTTGCCCTGCAGCGCCTTCACAAGGAGACCCTCGCATCGAGCTGCGTTGACTGCCTCGAGCGTCTTCCAGCTCGCATCTGCCAAGCTCCACACAAGCATGATCACGTTCTCGGTAAGGGCGAGAAGGTGGCCGCGGCGCTCAATCTCGTCCTCAGGCAGCTCCTTCGCCGGCCCGGCCAGAACGTTGTCGAGCGTGTTAGAGATCTGGGGTTAGCCAATTCCGCACAGCGAGCCTACCTTGCCCATGAGGGCGATGAGATGGGGCATGATTCCCTTGTTGAACATCTCGCCGCAAATCTCGTGTCCACCGTCAATCGCGAGGTTTCTGCTGTTAGCTTGTCAAGGAAGGTGCAGCTTACCGGAGCGTGCCGGACGCTTCGACCACGACGTCGTCCACACTGTCGCTGAGGCGCTCAATGAGCGCGCCGACGACGTTGCGGCTCTGGAACAGGCGGCGCATCGCCGCGTCCTCGTTGATGAGGTTCCCGATGGCAGCGCACGCCCATGTCCGGTCGGCCGCCTCAGGCGCCTTGAGCTGCTGTCAGCGCCGCACTTGGGTCAAACGTACCTTCTCGAGAACGGGAAGGAGCTGCTTCTCCTTGTCGGGGTTGGCCTTCCCGTCTGCGCGACCGCCACCGAGGTGTGCGTCGGGAACGCGGATCGGATTGTGCCGCTTAGCTGTCCTCTTCTTGACCTGCGCCTTGCCCATTGCTGTTGAGAATTGTTACAAGAGGCAAGAGGTGACCGTGATTTCCCCGCAATGCATGCCTGCTCGAAAATACTGAGAGCGGATGTCGAGGCCATGTCCGCGTCGCGTGCATACCGCGTGCTAGTAACATGCATCACGCGTGTCACGGCTTTTCCGGCTAAACAAAACAAATGGCCTCTAATAACCCAGATTAGCTGCGTGATACCCCAAATAACACAGGCGATAATCTAAGGGTCTGAGCGAATCCGAGAGCGTGGGCCATCGGTGGGGACGGCCCAAAGCGGCCGACGCCCTACGCGGACTAGGCCGACTGCGAAATATTGCGAAATGCGGTGGTGTGGACAATCCATCCGCTGCAACATTTGCATGCCATTCAAGCAACTGGCTGACATTAATTCACACAGACGCAGCACTAGGTCATGATGAGGATGAGAGCATCATGGGGGCCGAAAGAGTGGAGAAACGAGTCACAGGAACGCCCAGAAAACACGAGCGTGCACGAGCGACGGTCAGAGTGTGGGAAGCGTTGTGTGGAGCCCAAATACCCCCTCTGTTTTATTACTAGATTAGGGACGAGTGATTAGTCCGAGGTAAAGAACGGAGGCCAGTGCTGCGCCAAGCTTTGCTTGACTCAGGCACATAATAAGCTCTCTCAAACCCCGCCTCACCGTCCAGCACGTAGTAACTCACCCTTCCCTCCCATTCCTCTCCTCCGCCAGTTCCCTTCTCCCCCCCATCCATCCACCATCCCCCCTCCCCTCCCCGGTCGTTACCTCGTCCTCACTGTCCTTTCTCCATCTCTCTCCCACTCATTCTCCATCATCCACTAAACATCTCCACAGCTGAGACCTCTCCATTGTCCTCAATCCCACCTACCCTCCCCACCACACTCCACTCGTACCTCCTCCACCACCCCGACCAACCCACTAAGTGGCCCAAGCCACCCTCTGGCAGCAGCGAGCCATGGCCTCCCCAATCCGTCTCCCCCCTTCTCCCCCTCGGCGCAACTGGCGACAGCTGTCCCATCCAAACCTCACTGCCATTCATGACGACTCCGAAAACGTCGTCGAAATTCCTTCAGCCTCCTTTATCCCGACGCTTTCGCTTCCGCACGTCTCCGTCTCTGGCCTGCGTGCGGCCCTTCTCGGATATCTCGGTGAGGCCGAAATTGCCCTTCGCGAGCGCCTCGGTGCAGCAACCGACAACCATGGGCACTCCTCGGCCTCATCCCCCAGCCCCAGTTCCGAGGACGATACCGACTACGACACTTTGGATGAGCACGATTCGCCTGTGAATGCTCAGAGCTCGGCCCGCCTGGCTCTTGGCGAACAGGCACCGGGTCTCCGCCGCCGCGGTGGGGCAGAACCCAACTCTGGGCCATCTTCCTCCCGCGTCGCGGCTGCTGGAACCGACGCCGAGGTCGTACTGGACACGCTCCGTACGCTGCGTGAAGACGTTGCGCAATATGTTCCAGCAGGCTTCTCCATGCCGAAGCTTCCGCTGGAGGCCCAGCGCCAGTGGCTGCGTGAGCTCCCGCACCGTCTGCAGGACGTCGACTTGTCCGTACACGGCGACTCGTGGCCTGATCCGGTCTCGGCATCAAACCGTGCCATGCGCTCCGCTCGCCGTCGGGTGATTGAGCTGGTGCACGCCCTCTTGCCCCCAGACGACTGGCAGGGATGGGAGTCTCTTGGTTGGGAAGATGACGACGGTTCAGTGTGCACTCCGCGCCGCCCTGACCACACTCGCTCGTGCTCGTTGGACGAGCGGTTTGCCCGCACCACCGAGGCTAGCGATGAAGACGACGAGGACGAGCCAGAGTATCTCTTCCCTAACCGTACCCCCGCTCCTGCCCACGCCTTCAGGCGACACCGTCACCCACGGAGTAAGAGCTTGAGCGAGGCCGACTACGCCGACCGCAGCCCGCTCTTTAGCTGGCACCTCGGTCCTGAAGCCGCTGCGGTTGTGGACGATGAGGGCGACGATGGCAGTGTTATCGATGAGGTCCTCATGGCTGAACACGAGCAGCATGATGAGCTCCGCGACTGCGACAAGCACGGTACCCACCTCGTGCCCGACATGGGCCCAAGCATCGAGGAGGCCCTCGTTAGAAGCGAACAGGGGCACAAGCTCCTCACATACCAGGACCTTCCGTTCTGGTGGCGCAACAACCAGTACCTCCACACCGGGTAGTGAGTCATTGATGGCGCGATCATGTGCGAGACACGGGCACCACTAACCATCAGTCGGTTCATTCCTCTTGGTCGCAACGGCCCGATCCCGCTTATCAAGTCTGCGTTCCGGATGCACAACGAGACAATCAACATCCACTCGCACTTCATCCCCACACTGTTCATCTTGGGGGTAATCCCCTTCATTGTGTGGCGCACACCGCTGCCCGATGCCCATTGGATCGACACAGCTATGCTCATTTCATACCTCCTCGCCGCAATGTCCTGCCTCATCTCGTCGGCGGGGTGGCACGTTCTTTCTGGCTGCGCCAACAAGCGATGGTTCGAGTGGGGAGCGTGTGTCGACTACATCGGCATCTCGTGGCTGATCGCCATGTCCTTCAACACCGTCGTCTACAATGCCTTCTACTGCCGCGGACGAACGGTGTTTGCCTACACCTTCGTTAACGTTGCTTTCGGCGGTCTCGGCTCGTACCTGCCATTCCAAAAGTGGTTTAACCAAAGAAAGAACAAGCCTTGGCGCATTCTGTTCTTCCTCTGCCTCAACGTGGCCATGTTCGCGCCAATGGTCCAGCTCTTCCACGAGCACGGCCGCCAAATTGCGGGCAAGTTCGTGGCGCCGTTCTTCTACTCGGTCGCCATGTACTTGCTCGGGTTGTGCTTCTACGCCTTCCACTTCCCCGAGTGCGTGGCGCCGGGCAAGTTTGACCGCTTTGGTGCAAGCCACCAGCTGTGGCACCTGGCCATTGTCTCGGCAATCATCCTTCACTACCGCGCCATCTTCGTCGCTTTCGACGCAAGGTGGGCCCTCTCGTGCGCAGCGCCTAGCGCTGGCAGCCCCGTCCCCTTGGCCGTCTCGGCCTTCCTTTTCGGCAAATAGACTCCGATTCCTCATTCTTTCAATCCTCCGACCACGCATGCCATATCTAATCTAGCATTCAATCATTCCACGCCACGTAGTGGCCACATACAGCATCCAAGGGCAGTGCCCATAGGCCATGCATGTCGCATGACACGGCGGCGGAGTTGTGGCGAGCATCGCAGGAAGTTGGCAGTCCTAGTGGCCGACGTGAGGCGGCGATTGGAAGATTATACAGATTCAAGAGGTGACCGACCGAGCCAGACGGGAAGGGTCAACAACACGTGGCTTTGGATCCGCATTCGAGATCTACAGGGCGGGACCTGAACGTTTGCCGTCGGACAGACTGCCATGCTTGCCAGCGGAAAGGAATGCGGTGAGCAATACCCGCTGTCCGGCATCCCCGGCCATTCACGGACGTCTCTCGCTGGCCAACCGGGTCTTGCCGACGTGCACAAAGACCGCATTGAGCAAGGGCCGGGGGCGGAGGCGAGGAGGCGCGGAGGCGCAGAGGAGAATGCCTACAGAAGGTCAGGGAGGGAGAGGAGGACACCAAAGCCCAGGGTGGCCCCGGGGAGAAAGTTGACCAGATCGCGTCCGCCGGACCACCCACCAGGGCGCATCACATCAGCGAATGAGGCCCGCCTATCGCGTCGTGTGACCTGTATCATTTTGTTGGTCGTCTCACACAGCACAGACTCTTCGTCCCATAGCACGCAGCATGGAACTTTTCTACCCATCTCTCTCTCTCTCCTATCTTTTCCTAACTGACTATCAGCGACGAGGCCCTCCGCTCCGTGTCCTTCGGCACCGTCCTCGCTCTCCTCCTCACCCTCATTGACCGCGCCTAGCGCCATCTACACAGAAATCGACATCTCATCACACTCGCTCCGCTTTCATGATTGCCGCCGACTCCTCGCCCATCGTTTCGGGCGCGACGCCCGTGGCCGTGACCCGGGCCGCCTCGAACCTCTCGCACCGCAGCGGCGGCGAGACCGCCATCGACAGCGCCGATGACCTCCTCCACAAGATGGGGTACGAGCCCGAGCTCGTCCGCTCCCGCTCGACCCTCCAGGTCGCGTTTATGTCCTTCGTCCTCGCCTCGATCCCCTACGGCCTCGCCTCGTCAATGTACTACCCGCTGCAGGGTGGTGGTCCCGCCGTCGTGATCTGGGGCTGGGTGCTCGTGTCGCTCATCATTCTCTGTGTCGCCGCGTCCCTCGGCGAGATCACGTCCGTGTTCCCTACGGCCGGTGGCGTCTACTATCAGACTTTTATGCTTGCGCCCTCGAAATTCCGCCGCATCGCAGCGTACCTCTGCGGCTGGGCTTACGTTGTCGGAAACATCACCATCACGCTCGCCGTCCAGTTCGGCACGACGCTTTTCCTGATCGCCTGTATCAACGTCTTTGAGGTCGAGCCCGGAGTCGGTATCTGGCAGCCTGAGACGTACCAGGTCTACCTCCTTTTCGTGGCGATCACTATCCTCTGCGGCCTCATCACAATCTTCGGCAACCGCTGGCTTCCCCTTCTCGACACCTTTGCTATCATCTGGACCTTCATTGGTCTTATCTGCATTCTCGTGACCGTCCTCGCGGTCGCCAAGGGCGGCCGCCGCGACGGTGCCTTCGTCTTCGGTGGCTTCGAGCCCGAGACCACCGGCTCCGGCTGGCCTTCTGGCTGGTCGTTCATGGTCGGCCTCCTGCACGCCGCCTACGCCACGTCGTCCACGGGCATGATCATCTCGATGTGCGAGGAGGTCCAGTCCCCGGCTACTCAGGTACCCAAGGCCATGGTCGCGACTATTTGCATCAACCTCGTCGGCGGCCTCCTTTTCCTTGTTCCTCTCATGTTCGTTCTTCCCGACCTCGCCATGCTCGTCTCGATCCCGTCGGGCCAGCCCACGCCGACCATCATCAAGTCGGCTGTCGGCTCGTCCCTCGGTGCCATTCTCCTCCTTCTCCCCCTTCTCGTCCTCGCCCTCCTCTGTGGCACGGCGTGCACCACCGCCGCCTCGCGCTGCACCTGGGCGTTTGCTCGCGACGGTGCCATCCCCGGCTCCAAGTGGTGGAAGACCGTCAACCGCAGCCTCGACGTCCCCCTCAACTCGGTGTACCTCGTCCTCGTTGTCCAGATCCTCCTGGGCCTGATCTACTTCGGCTCCTCGACCGCCTTCAACGCCTTCTCGGGTGTCGGCGTTATCGCACTCACCATCTCGTACGCGGCGCCGATCCTCGTCTCGGTCATTGAGGGCCGCGCCCAGATCAACAAGCACGCCAAATTCAAGCTCGGCAACGGCCTCGGCTGGTTCTGCAACATCGTCGCCCTCGGCTGGTCCGCCCTCGCCGTCCCCCTCTTCTGCATGCCCGCCTACATCCCCGTCACCGCTCAGACCGTCAACTACGCCCCCGTCGTCTTTGTCGGTTTCACCACCATGGCCGCCATCTGGTATTGGGTTTGGGGCCGCAAGCACTACGAGGGGCCCCCCAAAGACGACCTCGAGGACTCCCTCGGCCCCTCGCTGCCCCACACCGAGGCGCTTGCCGCCGGTGTCGCCAAGAAGGACTTCTAAGTCCTCCGTGCTTTCCTATTTCAACAATACCATCCATTATAGTGTGGTTGTCGAGTCGGTTGTATACATCTTCAACAGGAACCGCGTGCAGCCGCTAGTAATTATGCACCAGGGTTAATAGAATGAGGACCGTGGCGGGAAGTGTGTGGGGGGGTTTGGTGGAGGGTGCTGTGGGCAAGCAAATACAGCGGCCCAGTCGCAATCTCCTGGTGAGCCTACAAGCTTTGACTTAGATTAACGAGCAGTGGAGGAGGTGGTTGCTTTTACATTAACTGTGCCCGCGTTTCACGTCCACTCGTCATCGCTCCGTACACCTCGCTAACCACTGAAACGTTTGCCGTACAGACGCACTGACGGAGACTATTGTCTACTCTGCGCGACTCGGTAGGCCTACGCCAGACGACCCCAGATACTGCCAACTGAGTCCCATGTAAACCCAATTTAACTTTTGGAGCCTCGCGGAGCCACTCGTAGACCTGCTTTTCAGTCACCCGGCACATTTGTCTCCTCAGCAGGCCTGGTCAAACCATTGAAAACAAGTGCGAGAATATGCTAAGCCCCTCCCAACAGCCTGTGAAAGTACTTTTGCATTCCGTCTCGTCGATTCGCAGCACTAGGCGGCCTCCGTGCTGGGGGAGGATAAAGGCTTCTATCAAGCTGCTTAAGCAAAGTAGAACGCCTGGTTCCTGCTGTCGCCGCCGGCGCACGACCAGATCTGGATCTGGGCGCCGGGCTCAGCGCGGCCCTCGTGGACGTCGAGGCAGAAGTTGCCGCCGTTCTGGGTCTTGATCTGCTGCCACTCCCACTGGCTGACACCGTCGCCGTTGCGCTGAGAGGCCGGCGAGTGGCGGTACCAGCGCTGGTTGTCGTTGGGTCCGCTCGCCCACAGCTGCGGGTTCTGGCCGTCGTAGTAGTTGCCCCAGGGGATGTCGGCGACGCGGCCCGCCTGGTTGAACCACAGGAGGCCGTCGCCGTCGTTGAAGGACACGGACGTGCTCTCGTCCCAGCACGACTTGAGCATGAGCTTGGAGCCGTCGGACGTGCCGCTCAGGCCGACGCAGAGGTCGCCGCGGAGAGCCGAGTGCAGGCGGCCATTGATCTGGGCGCGGGGCTCGAGAGCCGGAGCCTGGTGTCAGAAATGAGAGCACAGGACAGATAAAAGAGGACGTACTGCAGCGGCGGCGCCAGCGACGGCAAGAGTGGCGAGGATGGAGGTGAAGGCGACCATTGTAAAATTGGGTTGTTGAGCTCAGGAGTTGAGAGATCGAAGAGGAGTGGAAGTTGTTGATGAGAAGCAAAAGGCCACTTTCTCGCTCCTTCTTATAGCATTTCGACAGCTCGATAGCCGCAAGAGTCGGAGTGGCACTGCCGTCACCATCTTCCCGCCTCTGAACACTATCAAACTGCTGAGCAACCACTCAGGCGGTGCTAGACACCACGGACCCGCCACGGTGCTCGACTCACCCTATTGCGTCGTTAGGCGTCCCCAAGTTCGTGCGGCCTCAACGAACCGGCCACAGTGACGTGAGTGTGAGTGAGCATGGCACCATTGCCCCCCCTCTCCTGAAGGGACAGTCGTGACTCCGAGGCGGCCGGAGTGTTCCAACTAATCCTCAAGTCCCACTAATCAAAGGCGATGTTGAGTCAGTGCCAAGGCACCCCATCCACGCGCCGTTGCCTGTAAAGGTTAGATTCGTGCCAGAGATAACGGTATAACGGGATCTCGGATCGCGGACTACTGGAGCTTCGTTGATTCCGGAGCGTACAATTGACATCCAGTACCTTCACCGCGGAGCACAAAGGGCACGGAGCACACCGCAACTTTTCGGATCACACGGCGAGCAACGAGTTTCATCGTTCGACAGCACCGGTCACACCGCTCTTTGCGGAGCGCATTGCGGAGCGCTCAAGACGAAGCTTTAGAGTTGCTGTCGCTCATGCCACATGGGTTGCCAACCAGACGTACAGTACTACGCGGCACAGGCTAAGAGAGTCGGGCTGTGTAATGCGTGTGAGTGCTGAGAGCTAAGTGAATGAACAGATCGACGACAGCTACCCGAACGCCAAGTCCGGGTCTGCCGGGGCGGTAGTAGATTCATCGATCCACACTGACCAGGTCGGCGTGCGGTGCCTGCTCGCGCCTGACTTCAACCCCACATATGTGGCAAGAGGAGTGATCGCCCGTCGCAGCCATGATTCACCTAAGTGGTCCTTTGTTGTACGGTGTCGCAAGTAGCTTCAGTCGTCAGTGGCATCACATCGCCTCATGCCCCCAGCCCTCTCCCGTGTTGCTGGCTCAGATGCTGTCGTATCGCCGAGGTGCACGCCACACACGTTCACGTGTCGTTTCTCACTAGACGCGTCGGGCTGGTCAACATCATGCACGCTTGCTAGTCCAGCGGCCAGGAAACCGGGCCGGGTTTTGCGGCTTCGGGTTCGGGAAGGTTTGGACGATGGAACCGAAGGGGTGAGATCATGAGCGATGATAGGATAAGCGTGGCCCTGACGAGGCAGTGGGCGATAAAGACGGAGAGGAGCTGTGCGTACCTGTTCCTACGTCGCTTCATCTGTGCGACGCGGGGCGCGACGTTCATCGCCATGGTCACCGCAATAGCTTCCCACGAGCCACATGGCGAGGTGTCTTGTTGCTTGAAGCGGCATGACCCTGCGGAAGGACATGGCGCGTGGTCACTGCGGAGGCTGAGCTCTGGCGGTCAGCGATACAAGCCGCACGCCGCATCGCAAGATGTGTATCTGCTGTTCAAACCCACTCATTAAGTTGAGCGCTCGAGCATCTGACTTTCGTTTCAATACCACTACGTCCCGTCGCTGAATCAGTTTGAGATACAGCTGCGCGGAGATATGCGTGAGCTCCGTCGCAACGGAGATGCCCTCGTCCAGCCTACCCGCCAATGCGGCCGCTCATCGGCTGCCGTGAAGTACTCTTGGTTGCCCGTGGCCATGGGGGACGCGCATAGTAATCCGTCGCGTCCCCCAGCAGACAGAAATGGCAAGGCAACTGCCGGCTTACCATGAACTTAATGATCGGAGTTCACCCCGGCAATTCGCGGTTACGGCAGTCGGCGGACTTGTGCCGCTGGTGTCTGTGACGTACCTGGGTTCGTCGTCCCACACTTCGACTGCCTAGCCCTACGCTCTTGCATTCACTCCATCCCCCACGCATTTTGTGCATACCCGACCAAAATGTCCACGTCTCACTTCGCCGATGAGCCGAGTCAGCTTCCCCTCGACTACCTCCGGGGACTTATGTGCTTGAGCAAGGATGTGTCGGTCGACGAGCAGTATCGCGGTGAGTGCGGCGAGGAGTTCGGTGGGGAAGTGGTTGGGAGTTGAGAGGAGATTTTGTGAGCTCTAGGTGGGCTCTGAGAGCTTGAAGGAATCACATGGGGGACTGAATGGTCGCCGGGAGGGGTGAGACAGACCTCTCCGGGCATTTGACAGGAAGTCATGTGCCTCGGCTATGACACTGCTAACCCCCAGTTCTACACGTTCGCAACCCGGACCGATCGAAGGTCGCGCTTATCTCGGGCGGTGGGTCGGGTCATGAGCCTGCACACGCCGGGTTCGTAGGCTCGAACTCGCTCACTGCGGCGGTCGGCGGCAACATATTCGCATCTCCCAACACGGCGCAGGTTAGGCGCGCTCTCGACATCGTCAAGAATGACAAGGGGACCCTCGTCATCGTGAAGCGGTATACTGGCGATGTTCTGCACTTCGGTATGGCTGGCGAGAGCGCTCAGCAGAACGTCGAGTTCCTCATCGTCGGCGATGACGTTGCGGTGGGCAAAACCCAGGGGAAGATTGTTGGTCGCCGTGGGTTGGCTGGCACGACACTTGTGTACAAGGTTGCAGGCCACCTTGCGGCGCAGGGCGCCGACCTTGCTGAGGTCAAACGGATTGCGGAGCTCGTCGCCGAGAACTGCGGCACGATTGGCTCGTCCTTCGCTCACTGTCACGTACCCGGGACTGCCAAGGGCGAGGCGACGCTTAAGGACGGCGAGATTGAGATCGGGATGGGGATCCACAACGAGCCGGGCGTTAGCAAGACCACGCAGACAAGCAAGGCCAAACTCGTCGAGCACATGGTCGAGATGATCACAAGCACGAGCGACCCCGAGCGGTCGTTTGTTCCGTGGAAGGGTGGGGACAAGGCTGTTGTCATGCTTAACAACCTCGGCGGCCTGAGTGAGCTTGAGCTTGTGGGGCTCGTTCCGCACGTTCTCGCTGCGTTGGACAAGCGGAAGATCGAGGTTGTCCGCCTCTTCGTCGGCACGTTCATGAGCTCTCTCGACATGCCCGGCTTCAGCGTCACGGCGCTCCGTCTTCCTGAGACCGACGTCGACACTATCCTTGCCGGCATTGACGCTCCTTCCTCCGCGCCCGGTTGGCGCCCGGCCACCAAACCTGTGCTCAACCCAGAGCCCACACCAGCGTCTGCGGGCAAGACCGAAAAGGCAGAGTCGTCGGGTCTCACGGCCTCGGACGTGTTCATCAAGGCCATTCGCGCGGGCTGCGAGGATGTTATCGCCGCCGAGCCGGATATCACGCGGTACGATGTGATCGCAGGCGATGGCGACTGCGGCCTCACGCTCAAGGCGGGCGGTGAGGCAATTCTAGCAGCAATCGACGCGGGCAAGATCACGCCCAAGGACGTTGTCAACTCTATCCGCGCTGTCTCTGAGATTGTCGAGAACGACATGGGTGGCACGTCCGGTGCGCTGTACGCTATCTTCTTCTCGGCGCTCGCCAAGGCGCTCGCGTCCGCTCCCAAGGGCGAGGTGACGGCGGACACCTGGGCCAAGGCATCCAAGTCTGCGTTGGAGGCGCTGAACGGCTACACACGTGCGCGTCCGCCCTCACGTACGCTTATGGACCCGCTCGTCGCGTTCGTCGACGCTCTACCCAAGTCGGGGCTCGCAAAGGCGGCCGAGCAGGCAAAGGCTGCAGCTGAGGAGACCGCCAATCTTCAGGCTGCCGCGGGCCGTGCCGCATATGTCGACCAGGACGCTCTCAAGAAGGAGGCTGTCCCCGATCCGGGAGCCTGGGGTCTCGCCCTTCTCTTTAGCGGCTTTGCGCGCGCGGCGAGCTGGTGAACAGCGGGGATGAATGGCAAGTCTGTAGTGGATCGGGTGATGTACAGTTCCGTTCTTGGTATGCCCGGTGTCGAGGAAGGTTGACGGGATGATGGATCACCGGATCGCCCAGGCGAGGAAACCACCTTCCTCGTTCATCGCCCTCCGAGCCTGCGATATAGCTACTGCATTTTTCCCCCCTTCTCTTCTCATCTCTTCATCTCTTGATACCTCCATCTCTCCTCCACTTCGTTTTCTCACATCTGCTATAACACTTGCTCGTCTCCAACTCATCCTCTCACTCATTCAGACCGTTCTTACTCACCGTTCTGACTCGCCGTCTTCACTCTCGTCACCACCCGTTCCTCTCCTCACCTTTCACCCTCACCTTCCAGACAGATCAGTGACCAGTGGTTCGGTCCTGACGCACTATGTCCAAGCGCGGCCTGTCTCGCGAGGAGAAACGCACTCGACGTGAGCAAGCTGGCTCTCTGTGAACTGATAGCAGTCGTCGACCTGTTCCACGAAAGTGTATGGACCTTCCTCGCCGTCCCAACGTTGCTCGACACCTAACTTCAGGCTGAGTTCTTCACTCTCAAGGAGCTCGAGAAGGTTGCGCCTAGTGGGTGCTCACTTCTCCGCGCTAACAACAGAGCAGAAGGGCATCGGTACGTCGGACCAAAGTCATGGGGGAAGGGGACAGGAAATCTCACTCTTAGTCCAACAGAGCGTCAAGGAAATCCTCGACGAGCTCGTTTCGGACGGCCTCGTATCCGCTGACAAGATGTGAGCGCCTCCTCGGAGTCATTTCTAACCTCAGCGGAACGAGCAACTGTCAGCCCTTCCTTCCTCGTGTGCCCGGCACATATTTGCCCATCGTAAGGCGCAGCTGACCACAGACTTCTGGGCTTTTCCTAGCACCGCTGGCGCTACTGTTCGTTCTATCGATGGGGCGCGTGCCACCACTCACTGCAGAAACAAGCAGCACTCGACAAGGCCAACGCAGAAGCCGATGCCGTCGAGGCGTCTATCGCTTCAACCAAGGCAGCCATCAAGGCCGCCGCCAAGGGCCGCGAGGACACTGTGAGTTACTCAGATTCTCGGCTCATCTAGCCCGAACGCCAAAAACTTCTGGCCGAACTTACGGCCATTCGCAAGGATAGTGAGAGGCTCAAGAGCGAGCTCGCTGCCTTTGGCGCTGTCGACCCTGTCCGTTACACGCGCAAGAAGGAGGCCGTCGCAATTGCGCAAGCAGCCGCTCGCCGCTGGACTGGTAGGAAGGATATGTGTGGTTGAGCTCACCTTTACAGAGAACACGATGATTCTTTGGGCCCTGCTCAAGAACTCCGCCCCGGAGTGGGACGAGCAAGTCTTTCGTTCGATGCTGGGCATCAGTGGGTCCGCAGAATTCCCTGCTAATGCTCGCAGGCGATACTTGGGAAGACATTTAGATGTTAGCTTCAATCCAGTTACCGTCAGTCAGGATGACGCCGCCAAGATAGCGGCTTTGATAGATGCATGGTTCAACAAGCATATTGGTACACTGGGCTCTTCCCACAATCTAGGCCCGGAAGTAGTCGGGCTTGAAGAGCGCCGAGATAGACTCGCCATTGTGAGTCCGGCGGATCGACTCGGCGATGACTGGCGCGATGTCAATGGTGTCAAGCACGCCGCCACACGCCTCAACGCGGTCTGTCTGGTCGATCGAGTTGGTGACGACAAGCTTCTTGAGCGGCAGATCCCTAAGGTTCTCCATGGTCGCCTCAGAGAGGAGGCCGTGCGAGATAAGGGCGTAGACGGCGCTCGCTCCGGCCTTCTGGAGCACACCAGCGGCGAGGCGGACGGTGTGACCAGTGTCAATCATGTCGTCGATGAGGATGGCAACGCGACCCTTGACGTCACCAACAAGGAGCTCCATGGTGTCCCAGGCGTGGTTCTCCTCCTCGTCCTCGGCGCCGACAAGCGAGGCCGTGTCCGACCCAGTTGGTGTGGGAGGGACTGTGGGAAGCGAGATGTCCTTGATGTCACGCCTGCGCTTGCGGTTAATGAGGGCGAAGTCAAGGTTGAGCTGGTCGGCGAGGGCCGTGGCGCTGGTGTTAGATTGTGGCTTAGGGCTCGGAATGCCAACGGTCTGTAGATCCTCTGCAGATCCCAGGACGGATCTGCAGATCACAGGTTCACTCACCGCTTGGCACCACCAGCGTCGGGGGAGACGATGATGGCGTTGCGCCAGCCCGGAATCTCGGCCTTGATGTACTGCATCATGCTGGGCTCGGAGAAGAGGTTGTCGACGGGGATGTCAAAGAAGCCCTGGATCTGCGAGGCGTGCAGGTCGAGCGTGATGACGTGGTCGCAGCCGGCGACGGTAAGAAGGTTGGCAACAAGCCTGTCGGTTAGCGCCAACCGACGAGGGTACAGAAGGGCGCGAGCGGGGCGTTGGCCAAGCTCAAGTGACGCCTACAGTCACATGGTTCGGCCTCGTGAAAGCCTCACTCACTTGGCGGTGATGGGCGCGCGCGACTTGTTCTTCTTATCCTGGCGCGCGTACGGGTAGCAAGGGATAACGGCCGTAATGCGCTTGGCGCTCGCAGTCTTGCACGCCGACACCATGACGAGAAGCTCCATCAGGTGGTCGTTGATGTCGGGCGGCGAGGGCGACTGAAGGATGAACACGTCCTCCTCGCGCACGCTCTGGTGGATCTGGACCGACGTCTCCAGCGAGACGAACTTGGACACATGGCAAGGCGTGAGGGTGATGCCGAGACTGGATCGGAGAAGAGCGGAGGTGTGCACGGTAAGTGGTGAGTCGACATGGCACGAGCGTCAGCACGCGTCCGACTTTTCCGTTGCGTTGTGTTTGTGGCGCACGGCCCGCTTCCCAGTGTCTCAAAAGTCATCCGCAGCAATCCTCGAGCGGACGACAATTGGGATACGGGGATTGGCGAGTTTCGCCGCCGCAGAATTCCGCTGCTCCACCTGTTCAAAATGATAGACGTACCGGTCAGCCACAGCCTTAGCGAGCTTGGGGTGGGCGTTGCCTGCAGTGTGAGCTGCGTCTCTCAGCGGGAGTCTCACCCGAGAGGAGGCGGATGTGGTTGCCCTTGTTGTGCATGGCTGCTAGTGGGAAGAATGATTTGGGGGGGGGGGGGGGGGGGGGGGGGGGGGGGGGGGGGGGGGGGGGGGGGGGGGGGGGGGGGGGGGGGGGGGTGTAGGGTGGGCAGGCGGGGCTGCTTTTAGGGAGAGGGCGGAGTGCGGGCGATTCAAGTCGAGTCGGGTGATGCACAGGTGTCTCGCGACAGTCGGTCGACAAGAAGGCGAGTCGGGGAGGTTTGGGCGCCGTAAGGCAGAGCGGTGGTGGGGACAACGACAAAAGTCGGAGGGGAGGATGCCTTGGCCACTCGAATGGAGACGTTCCCGGCGACTCTCGGCCCAACATTTCTGCAATCACTTGACGAGCTGTGATGACACGCAATTTTCTACTACACGTGTACTTTACCTCCACTCCACCGATATGACGACTGATAAGACCGCATCAGCGTCTGGACTTTTGGACCGTGGCTATACACAATCACGCTCTCCCAGCGCCCATTCATCGCACTAGCATCATGTCGGCTCAGTACGCCTGTAAGTCGAGCTATTATGCGCTAGGGGGCTTGCGCTGATTTTCAGTCCGCTCGCAGAAGACCACAGGTCTCGTCTCCAGCCCATCATGGGAGATCGGATCCAGCATCGCGACGTATGTCACGCCGGACAATTCGCGCTAACGAGCAGGGCGGACAGCGCTGCGCGCGCCGTGGTATACTCGCCGAACGGTGAATATGTCGCGTACGCGCTGCCGGAGTCGTAAGTTTTCCCCCCTTTGTTTGTGTGCACAGCTCACCTCCAGGGTCTCGCTGTGTCGCGCTGCTGATGGACTGGAGGGCAAGGCCGTGACGATCGCGCAGGCCGGCGTGATCGCGCTCACCTTCTCTCCTGCGTCCTCGACGCTCTTCACCTTTGAGCGGCCGGTCAAGTCCGAAACCGAGATGTACAAGAACGTCAAGGCGTGGAGTGTGGAGACCGGCGAGCAGATCGGAGGATGGTACCACAAGACCGGGGACAACTGGTGCGTGTCTCTGGGAGTAAGACTAACAATAGGGAGCCGATCGTGACACCTGACGAGGAACACCTGTTCCGTCCCACTGGGAATGACGTCCTTGTGTACTCGCCCATGCTCGCACTCCGCCCCGCCACGCGCCTCAAGTTTGACGGTCAAGTACGCGGTGTTTTCATCTCGCGACCATCCCAGCTGTCCGTGCCCCACGGTAAGCCTCTCCGGCAGTACCCCGAGGCAGCAGTTGCCATCTGGATTGGCGAGCGTAAAGGCGCGCCCGCGTACGTTTCGTTGTATCCCGTGTCCTCCCTCATTGGCAAGGGCGCGGCCAACGGTGACTCGGACAAGACGGAGAACCGGGACATCCACCCCACTGTGGCGCGCAAGGCCTTCTACAAGGCTGACAAGCTCACCGTCAAGTGGAACAACGCTGGCACAATGGTGAGAATCATTCGAGAGATGATGCTCACCTCAGTGTCTGTTCCTCACGCACACCGACGTCGACAACACAGGCAAGTCGTACTATGGCGAGACGAACCTTTATCTCGTGGCACTGGATGGGTCATTTGATGGCATGATCGACCTCGACAAGGAAGGCCCGATCTACGACTTCGCTTGGAACCCCACAAGCCGCGACTTCGCCGTGTGCTACGGCTACATGCCGGCGCGTACACAATTGTACGACCACAAGGCCAAGGCCATCCACAACTTTGGCAACAACCACCGCAACTTTGTCTCGTACCAGCCGCAGGGGCGCCTCCTGCTCTCGGCAGGCTTTGGCAATCTTGCGGGTGGTGTTGACGTGTGGGAGATTTCGACCCGCAAGAAGGTGGCCGAGTTTAAGGCCTCAAACTCGTCTCATTGCGAGTGGTCGCCTTGTGGTCACTACATCTTAACGGCCACTCTTTCGCCGCGCCTGCGCGTCGACAACGGTGTGAAGATCTGGTGGGCTAACGGCCAACTCCTTCACATCCATCCGCAGGACGACCTGTATGGCGCCACGTTCCGCCCCTCGCTCGTTGAGACTCTTCCCGAATTCCCTTCGGTGATCCCCAAGGCGCCTGAGCCGAACGCGTCTGTCGTCCAGTTCCGCCCCAAGGGCGAGGTCGACTCGGATTCGGGACCCTCAAAGCCCGTTGCCGCCTACCGTCCCCCAGGCGCGCGCGGCTCGGCCGCCTCCTTGGCGTATGCGCGCGAGGACGACTCGGCGCCATCTTCCGGTGCGTCGACGCCCATCTTCCGTGGTGGCAAGCCTGCCGGCCGGTACATTCCTGGTGCTTCCATTCCCGGCGCGTCGGTGCCTGGCGGTCCCGGGTCGGACAAGAAGAAGAAGCCCAAGAACAAGAAGAAGGCGGTGCCCGAGCCAGAGGAGGTTGCCGCCGAGATCGCCAAGGTCGACATCAAGCAGGATGAGGACGCCGCACAGAAGAAGATCCGCAATCTGACCAAGAAGCTGAAGGCGATCGACGACCTGAAGGCGCGCGTGGCCAAGGGTGAGCAGCTCGAGAAGACGCAGATGCAGAAGGTCGAGACCGAGGCGTCCGTCAGAGAGGAGATCCGCGCGCTCGGCGGTGACGCGTGAGCACAGCGAGCCACCCCCGGCCGAGTCGCTGCGCATGCAGTTGTTGGCGCGCAGCACATGCACGCGACGCCTGTCCGAGTTTGATAGTTAGTAGAGCATGACATACTGGTCTCAGACCGCATCTGGCATCTATGCATTGCATTGTCGCCGCTCGATCGCGCACGAGAGCTAGACTAAGATGCAGCGCCTACTTCTTCTTCGCCTTGACTGGCGCAGGTGCGCCGCCGTTGGCGGCGGCCTCCTTGGCGAGCTGCTTGGCCTGCTGTCAGCGTGTGTTGTGCTCGGGTGGAACAGGAAGCGCGAGAGGTTGGCGCCAGCCACCCCGGTATCTCTCAAACGCGACGCTTAAAGCGGCTCACTGCGCTCGGTGCATGTATTCACTCACAGCAATCTTCTCCTGGAGCGCCTTAGCATCAGCCTCCTTCCGCTTCGTAGGATCGCCCGACTGCTTCTTCTGGGCCGAGCTGGCGTGAGCGACGTGAATGTGGTGGAGGCATGGGGTGCGGAGGCAGGAAGGCAAATACAAGGAGACGACCCGCCTTCGCGGCGTCCGCCTGCCTTCGCTTGCTTATTCCGTGTTCGGATGTGACGGACTCACGCGTTCTTGGCCTGGTTCTTGGCGCGGTCACGCTCACGCTGGTCGCCGCGGGTCATGGTTGCTGGAGGGGACAGGAGACGGGTGGTTTGATCGGAACTGTGCAAGTGGGACGAAAACGGTCACGTGATTCAAACATTGCGGAAGGAGATTTGATGGGTGGCACATGGAGTTGTTTGGTTCTGCGATCTGTCGGAGCTGTCGTGTCAATCTCCCGCAGATCTTTCAATATCTACGGCCTCTGGAGGTCCCCAAGACACAGTCGCTTACAAAGCTTACCAGAAGGTGACAGTTAATGATGCGGAATGATTTTGTCAAGACATGCTAATGATGTGTCGACGTCTGAATCTGAGTTTTAGTCCTTGCCTCACTTGTATTAGGTGGAAAAGTGCCGGCATCTGTCACGACTGCTAGCTACCACCCCGCTTCGGACATCATAACATTCATGGATCTTACATACACGCTTACACTTCCCACTCCGCTTCCTGCACACCCCGCGGTCGCCCAACATGCCCCATGCTTGTACCGACCTGCACGAGCGTCTCCATCCCCTTCTGGCTCGTGCGCAACAGGTCCTCGTCAAACTTGAGCCCGGACGACTGCGGCACAACGAGAATGCACGTGCTCCCGCCATACTGGAACCAGCCGAGCTCTTCGCCCTTGCGTACCCGGTCGCCAGGTTTCTTTGACCAACAGATCGAGCCGACAAGCATGGCGCCTACGGCGACGAAGGCCATGGGCACGCGCGCGCTCAAGCCCATGTCCGCGTGAATCAGCATCACGCTGCGCTTATTCAGTGTGAAGACGTTCAGGTCTTCGTTGACTGCTTGAGGGTTGACGGCTGCTGTCAGAACTAAACGGTCGCGACTCACTGTATAGCTCGCCGGCGATATCTTTCACACAAACAATCTCGCCGTCGACGGGGCTGTGGAAACGGTGGTAATCTTGTGGCGCAAGCCGCGCCACGGCTACGGAGGCGGGCGAGCGGGCAACACTGTCGAACTGGTGATCGTCCTTGTCGTCGCCATACAGGAGGCAGGAGATGGTGAACTTTCGGCCCTTGATCCTGTTGTCAGCTGCTACCCGCGCAATCGGACTACCAGAGAGTCTTGGCGGCCTCGACCGTCGCGAACACGCTGAGTCGGCAGTCTGCCGGGCACACTACCACACTCTGGTCGTCGGGACAGGCGACTGGGCGCGCGTCCGCCTTGAGCCGGCGTGCGAAGAAGTGGTTGAAAGTCGGGTACTTTGTGAGGTCGGGTTCGAGGAGCTCATCCAGCGGAATGGCATAAGCGTTAATGAACGCCTGGATGTGTGGAAGCACGCCCGGACCCGTAGCGTCATACTGCTCGCCCTCTGTCGTCAGCATCCTCTGTAAGGCGCGAACACACGTTTCAAGGATTGGGTGATGAGCAGCTGCTCTACGGCACGGTATGCGACAGCTTGAGACTGGGGTCAGTCTCCACCAGATCGTGGGTGAATTGGAGCGCAGTAAGGACAGAGTACGCACTGCCGAGACGAAGAGCAGGTGCATGCCCACGCGCACATCTGGTCTCAGTTAGGCAAATTCGAGCATCGGACGCACAAAGAGGCATGCTCTCGAACACCTTGCGCCCGGTCTGGCGGTCGACTACGAAGTTGCCCATGTGCTCGCGAGCAAAAAGGCGGTCTACCGTTTCGGCGGAGGGAAAGAAGTGCTTGAGCCAGCTCTTGTCGGCGATAGTAGGGGTGGCAGCATGGACGGCCTCTTTGCGAATCTCGGAGGCTGCATTCAGCACAATCTCCGCGCAGCCTAAGAGCTGGCCGCAGCATCGAAGGTATGAGAATAACTCACGCGCTAGTTGGTCCGGCTGGGCGCCCGCGAACCGCGCCGGATCGCTACTCGCTACGATATGCGACAGGCTATCGCACAGAGGTTGGTAGTCGTGGTCAGCCGCTCTGGGCGCGTCGACTCTGGGGCTGTCGGCGGGGTTCAGGAACATCTCGGCGGAGGCGTCGAGGCCGTCAAGTGCGGGCCCGGCGGGCTTCGATGCGGAGGGGTAGAATGGTGCGCCAGTTGTGGGATCGTCCATTGCGAAGGGATGGAGATGAGTGAGAGATCAGAAGAAAGTGGGCACGGACGAGGGCGTCGATCATGGCGTCATAATATTGCGAGGCTTGAATATATCGGCGGAGATTGGCATGAGTCCGGGTCTCCCACATCGGCTGCTGGATCCTCTGAAAGCGCGCTGCGACGGCTCATGGGCGGTGTAGCGGGGGCGAAGGTGCTGAAGTGATTCGAGACATGCAGAACTACCGTCACCTTGAAGGTGAGGCTGGCTCCGGTTAGTCACTGCGGAATGACTTCTCGCTGTCTGTCAACCTCACCCCAGACCCTGGCGGATACCTGACATCCTAACAGCGCGTGGCTAGCACCACAAGACGGGATTTGCCGCGTGCAAGAGCTCCAAGACCCTCATGCTGCCGAGGTAGTTCTGAGCCGCTTTGAGGGCGAGGGTAAGGACGTTTCACACCTTGCAGAATCCTCAGCTTCCACAAAAGCAGTCGACAAGGTAGGCATCCAGCCTCAGGTCCGAGAGAGGAGGAGAGCCCAAAAATGGCATGAAACTGCATTATCATAGAGCTGAGTCATATTCCAAGAGCGTGCCGCACACGCACCATCTCGTCGTCGGCGAGCGCTTTGAAGAACTCCTGCGACAGCACGCGCCCGCGCGGCGCCCAATCAGGCACATCGGGAGCCTCGAGCACCGCGCTATCGCCAAAGTCGATGAGCCGCAACCCAGTGGAAGATGTCATCCAGTGCTTGGGCTTGGAGGTGCGGTGCACCACGCCAGCGGCGTGTAGGGCGGCGTAGGCGGCGATGATGGCTTGTCTGATCTCAGCGTACTTTGGTTGCGGACTTACTGTTCGGACACTGACAGAGCGCCCACGACGACCTCATGTCCGACCGGCTCGAGGAGCGCCACGAGGTGTCCGCCGCCAGCGAAGAGGCCATGGAAGTGCGGGACGACGGGTATAATCAGCCGCTGGACGTAGAGCCATGCCTCCCAGGCCACCTCCTCGCGCACGGCTGGCGAAGCATGCGCGATTTTGGCGACGACCTCCACCCCTTCTCCGACGGCAGCAGTCGCTGCGAATGCCGAGAACACGCGGCCGTACGGCAAAGAGGTGTGAAGCGAGACCTCAACGGGATCGGAGGGTGGCGGTGGTGGAAATGTTTCAGTAACGAGGTCGCCAGGAGCAACGGGGTCCACGCGCACCGGGCCACTCGGGGTATGGAGGAGAAGCTGTTGTCAGCCCTACAAGGATGGTACTCACGCTCCGGCTGCGCAGCTCGCACTCAGGTGTAGGTGGAGGTGCAGGCCCCGTGGTCACTGTTGAGGACGGGTCGGTGGAGGAGTGGGGGAGGGGCGGGGAGGAAAGCGTAGTGACGCTTGTGAGAGATCCGTCGCGCACGTCTGCGACTTGACTCGTGCTAACCTCAATGTGATCAGAGTTCATGACGATGGTGAACTAGAGAGGAGATTGTTGTCAGGCGGTGATGTGTCTGTCGGGTGACGTAGTGTAAGCTCGGGAACCTGCATCCGATATTCAAGTTATCGGGAATACCACGTCCAAATTGATACGGTCCAAGCGCTGCCTGGGTGCAGTCGGCAAGGCTGCAGGCCTTGCATTGCAGTTATTATGATGGCGGCTGTGACGTCTCGGTATGTTGATGACGAGGCTGCAATGTCTCATAAGCAAAACCTACGCCCGGTTTCAGCGCGGCCGTAGAACATCTGGACGAGCTAGCGAGCTTGCGACCTTGCGAGGGCACGTACCGCGCCCTCCAGTAGGCAACCCACGTTCATCCATGCGCCTTCGTTGTCGACGGTGCCCGCCTGCTAAACGTGACGTATCCCGAGGTTTTCGCGCAAATGCTCAGGTTTCCTGGTGCTGCGATGCCGAATGCGTCGCTCCGATTTGGGCGTAGCTCTCCCACCACACCTCCCATCTCACCCTCCAGCCAACCAGACCAGCCACTGATAGGCCATCCCCTCGCAGAGCTCCTCACGCTCAGCTGGTCAAGTCACGTCGCCCCACGAGAAACGAGGACCCAGGCAGTGGGCGCGGGTGCGGGTTGCGGGTGGGCGCATCGGCAGATCTTCGGATCGGGGCGTGTCAACAACACTACGGATTATCCTCGGATGACGTCGGGCCGGCGTCCCCCCCCTTGCAGCTTCATCCTCACGAGCTGCGGGAGTACTGCACATGTTGTACTTAACCCAGCACCTGCCGCCGCTATCCCAGAACTGCGGCGTGCGACCACATCCGTCTATCTCACTCTTCTATGGGCATCTCGACCTCAACACAGGAAAGCGCTCCCAGAACCTCCACCTCCACCCCGACCTCGACTATCCCTCCCTCACCTGTCCTTACCCCCGTCCTTCCGCCCGCGCGCACTGCTTCGGCCCCACCGCTGCCACCGACCGAAATGACTGCCGAGCCACAGGGGAACGCGGCGCTAGACCGCTCCTTCCTCGAAGTGGACGTTGACGAGCTCCTCTGCCAGCTCACGACCGAGGAGAAGATCAGCCTGCTCGCAGGCAAGAATTGGTGGGAGTGAGTTTTGCGTTGGTAGGGGAACAGCGCTGACGGCCAGAACCGTGTCAATCCCCCGCCTCAATGTGCCAAGTATCAAGGTCACTGATGGGCCAAACGGCGCGCGTGGCTCGTCGTTTTTCAAGATGAGTGAGTGCGATGCGATGGTGACATGAAGAGTTCGGCGATTAGCCGGCTGTTGAATGCCGAGTTCGCCCCATCACATATCACAAGCCACCGCCTCTTCCATCACTAACGCCCAGCCAAGGCCAGCGCGATCCCTTCTGAGACCTGCCTGGCCTCGTCATTCTCGACGGAGCTCGTAGGCAAGGCCGGCGCGCTCCTGGCGGAGGAAGCCAAAGCGCGCGGCGCCGTCTGCCTCCTGGCGCCGACGATCAACATCCAACGCTCACCGCTGGGCGGCCGCGCCTTCGAGTCGTTCTCCGAAGACCCGACGCTTTCGGGCCACCTGGCGGCGGCTTACGTCAACGGCCTGCAGACGTCGGGCGTCAGTGCGTGCATCAAGCACTTTGTCTGCAACGACCAGGAGCACGAGCGTAACGGCGAGGACAGCATCATCGCCGAGCGCGCCCTCCGCGAAATCTACCTGCGCCCGTTCCAGATTGCGCAGCGCGAGGCGGGCCCGTGGGCTATGATGACGTCGTACAACAAGGTCAACGGGACGCATGTGAGCGAGAACAAGCGCCTCCTGCAGGATCTCCTTAGAAAGGAGTGGGGATACGACGGCCTCCTCGTCTCCGACTGGTACGGGACGTACTCCGTGTCGGACAGCATCAACGCGGGGCTGAGCCTCGAGATGCCGGGCCCGACGATCTGGCGCCAGCCTCGTATGGTCCAGCATCTTCTTACGTCGCACAAGCTGGAGATGCGCACAATCGACGCTCGTGCGCGCGAAGTGCTCGCGTGGTGCCAGAAACTCGCCCAGCTCAACCCCGAGCTCGTGTATCGCCCGCCGATGCCCGAGCGCACGCGCGACAGTGACTCGGAGCGCGCGTCCGACGCGGCCATCCTCCGCCGCCTGGCGGGCGAGGGCGTAGTGCTGCTCAAGAACGACGGCGTCCTTCCCATCCGCCAAGGGCGTGTGGCCGTCATCGGCCCGAATGCCAAGACGCGCGTCATTTCGGGCGGCGGCAGCGCCGCCCTTAGACCCCTTTGGACGGTGAATGCGTGGGAGGGGCTCAACGACGGCAAGCCGGCCGGCGTCGACCTCTCGTACTCGCTCGGACTGCAGGGCGCCAAGTTCCTGCCGATGCTCGACGAGTGCTTCACCACGCTCGACGGCAAGCGGGGCTTCGAGCTGCTGCACTACGCCACGAACGCCAAGGGGGAGGTCGCGCAGCAGCCCACCGTCACGGACACGCACGACGTCAGCGACATGTTCCTCGCCGACTTCCGGCACCCGGGCCTCGGGGCGCACTACGTCACCGAGGTGCGCGCGAGATTCACCTCCCCCATCACCGGCCGCTACGAGTTCGGCCTCTCCGTCACCGGCCAGGGATGGCTGTACATTGACGAGGAGCTGGTCATCGACAACGCGACCAAGCAGACGATGGGCTCGAAGTACTTCGGCAACGGCACGGTCGAGGAGAAGGGTTCGGTCGCCGTCGAGAAGGGCAAGACGTACACGCTGCGGGTGGTGCACGACTCGCGCCTGCCCCCGTCTCGCGCTGTGTCCGGCACGCCGTTCATCGTCAAGGGTATCCGCATCGGCGCGTTCCCGCTCATCGACGCGCAGCAGGCGATGGATGACGCTGTGGCCGCTGCGCGTGCGGCCGACGCTGTGGTGTTTGTTGCCGGCCTCAACGCCGACTACGAGAGCGAGGGCTACGACCGCCCCACCCTCAGCCTGCCGCTCACCTCGGATGAGCTCATCACGCGCATAGCCGAGGCCAACCCGAACACGGTGGTGGTGGTGCAAGCCGGCTCGGCGGTGAGCATGCCGTGGGCGAGCAAGGTCAAGGGCATCATGCAGGCGTGGTACGGCGGCAACGAGGCGGGCAACGGCATCGCCGACGTCGTGTACGGCAAGCGCAACCCGTCGGGGCGCCTGCCCCTCTCCTTCCCGGTCAAGGAGAGCGACATCCCCTCCGCGCTCAACTTCAAGAGCGCGCGCACGCGCGTGCACTACGACGAGGGCATCTGGGTCGGCTACAAGCACTACAATGCGCGCGGTATCGCGCCGCTCTTCCCCTTCGGTCACGGGCTGAGCTACACGACGTTCGAGTACTCGGACCTGGCGATTGACGTGAAGAAGGGCGACGAGTGGCGCGCGACCGCGCGCGCAACCGTCACGAACACGGGCACCGTCAAGGGCGACCACAGCGTGCACTTTTACACCGCGCCGCCGCCCGAGTCGCCCACGGGCCTCCGCCATCCCGAGGTCACCCTGCAGGGCTTCGCGAAGGTGTACGACCTCGCGCCTGGCAAGAGCGCCACGGTTGAGGTGCAGCTTGACAAGTACGCCATCTCTCACTGGGACGAGTACGACAACACGTGGAAGGCAGAGGTGGGCGATTGGGCCCTCAAGATCGGCCAGGACGCACAGACCATGGTCGCCGAGGTGCCGTTCACCGTCAGCAGCGAGATGGCATGGGCCAAGTTGTAACATATAATGAGACTGAAGACCTGGTTGCGTAAAATGTGTATGAGTGAGAATGCATTTGCCAGTGTGAGTGGCGGACTGGTGGAGGTATTAGTAGGAACCAAACAAATTATTTTCGCACCAGCAAGTCGTCAGCCAGCGGCTGGCCATCAGCCACAATCCACGCGTGTTCCGCATGACTAAATCACTCACATCAATCGAACGTGTCAGGGCAGTCAGTATTCTTCATATTCGTAGGCCATACATTGGCGCAGGTGAACCAAGCCCGCACAGGACGAGTACAATCACGTGACCGGCACGTGCGCCTGCGCTCATATCGAGCTATCGACGCGCGCTGCCGATGAGTCGATGCGATCGAGTCTCCGTGCGTGATTGAAGCTCACAGCGGCCGGATCGCGTCATCCCAGGCCGAGAAGCAAGGGTGCATTGTGGAGCGTGAGATTGTGTTGGCCCTCGTCAGCCGTGCTTGTTCCTGCGCGGTTCGCGTGGAGCGGTGGGCGTGGGGCGTGGGATGTTGGATGTGGAGCTATGAGGGACATAGGAAGCGCGGCCAATCTAGATTTGAGGGAGCGATATGTGATAGATGATCGCGATGCGAAATGCAGATGCGTGAGATGTGCGGAATCGGGGTGAAGACGGTTGAGGCCCGCTGGATTCCCAGCTTCCAGATGTCCAGATGCCTATGTATGTCCATGTCCAGGGTGCGCGATATGCCACGTTAAGCAGATATCTCTTCTGAGGATCCGAGAGCCGGGTGAGATCGAATCGATCAGATCAGCTGACTACTGCGGCCTTATCGTTATCCACCGGCTGCCCACTCGACCCCATTCCTGGGGCGCGTCACTCGCCCCTGCCCATGCCGCCCTTGCCGCATGCCTCGCACAGCTGGTCCGGCGCCTCAAGCTTGCTTCTGGTGGCGCAGGCACCCGCATGGTCGCTAAGAGCGAGCAGCAAGCGTATGGCGGAGGAAGGCAGGGGGATTCCGAATGCAGTTGAGCGGATCCGCGTGGAGAGCAGGGGAGCGGTGCCGGAGGCGGCGAGGCGGCGGAAGTGACGGTGCGGAGGTGACTACGGGCCTGCGGGCCTGCGGGCTAGAAGTGCCGATGTGGCGCTCGGTGGCGTGTGGAGGGGTGGTGGGGTGCGCGGGGTGGTGGCATTGTGGCGTGCGGAAGGGGCGCCGGAGAGGGACGAGAAGGGAGTTGCTTGGCATCCCGGCGTCGAGCGGAGGCGTCGATGCTTCTCTTCGTGCCCTCGGTTTGCAACAATGCCCTTGGTCGTCGTTGTGGACATCTGCATCCGTGGAGGGCGAGTGAGTAACGCTTACGACTAGCGTCCGCGTGAGGATGAGTGGACCCCGTCACGCTATCGCACTGTCACTAAAACTCTGCTCATCTGAAATGTGGTGCGTGGAAGCTGAGGATGCTGAGCAGTGGGAGGGAGAAGGAGGACGAGTGGGAGAGAGAAAGAGTGAGAGAGAAAGAGAGAAAGAGAGAGAAACGACGACGATGAGGAGGAGGAGGAGGACGACGACGACGACAATGGCGTCAATGAGTGGCCTGTGCGTTACGATTCAACCATCCTGTGTCCTATACCTGAGAGTCTGTGCGGAGACGATCCCTGGCTGCTGGCTGGCCGCTGGATGGCTTCCCATCCCACCACCTTGAACGGCTTCCCACTCGCTCTCTCGGCTCTCTCGGCCCACTCGCGGCCATTGGCGGCGACGAGCACAGATGCAACAGCGACATCCACCAGGGCCCAGATGTGGGCCACAAGTCAAGCGCCACTCCACCGTGCCACTTATCCAGCTTGCGCGACTTGAACTGAGAGAGTTGCGCACGCCCTTCTGTCCAATCTGCAGCATCTCTTGCGTGCTGCCTGCTGCGTATCGCTCATCGCTCATGCTGCTCAAGCCGAGCAAGTCGAGCACAGCGTCCCCTCCGAGCACTCTGCGCCCTTCCACGCCATCTTCCTCCCCCCCCTCCCCCCCAAGCCCCTGACGCACCACCATCCCTCCCCCCTCTCCTCCCCCCCTCAGCCTCGCCCCCACCGCGCCTCCCTCCCTCCATCCTCCCCTCTTCTTGGACCCTCCCCACCGTCGACTTGACGTCGACTCTCGCCATCAAACTTTCCTTCTTCTCCATTGTCCCTCATCTTAAAAAGCTCACACACGCCGCAGCGCGGCGCCAGCTTGCCACTCATTTAAAGGCGCCGCGCAGCGGCGCATTCCTCCCTTCCCCTCCTCCTCCTCCCCCACACTCCTTACCATGACTTGGCCGAGCTGGCTCGCATGTCTCTGCGACCTCTGGCAGTCAAATCCTGTAAGTGTTCCGCGCGTCTCAGCTATCTCCGAGAGGTTCAACAACCTTTTTAGGACTCAGAACAAGTACAATGCTGACCAGCAGGAGAAGCAGGGCATCCTCGAGTGCTCACCATCGTCAGGTCCCTTCCTCTCACCCCCGATCTCGACCCAGCCGCAGTTTCGCACTCGCCCAATCGAGTACCTCTACAGTTTGCTCGCACCAGCACAGCCCCCGCCTTATGGCACGGGGCAGCTGCACCACGACGCGGCGAGCATCAGTTCGGCACCCTCCATCATCGAGCAGGCCGATGCCCGGCACAAGGAGCGCAAGGAGCGCCAACGCATCGAGGCCGAAAGTCGAGACAAGACCAATGCCGCTAGGAACAAGATTACTAGCGCCTACGGCAGGTGAGACTGATCCCACATATCTCTCGAGATTCAAGCTGACATCAGTCGCATGCTCAAGGTCGGCCTCGTGGCTCATCACTCGGTGCCTCCAACACCCCGCAGCCCCGATATCACCGAGACCTCCCCCCTTTGCGTCCCATCACCCTCACATCCCGTTTCGGACGAGGCCCATGCCACACCCTTGCAAGGCCGCGTGGACCCACGCTCACCTACACACCTGAGCTATGGCACCTTTGGGACGTTTGTACCTCCAACGCCCACCACCGAATCCGGATATCCCGGTCTCGGGATCGGCTTCCCCGTCGGTGCTCCGCCTGCGGCGCCCAAGATGCGCCGGCCAGTGCGGCCCCTCAATGGCCTCACCGTCCAGGTGCCGGCTGTGCCCCTCGAGAGCGTGCGCCGACACGTCGCCGAGATGCTCTTCAACATTCGGGGAGACGACACGGACGAGTCGTCGCGCCCCACCTCTCCACTCATGCGCACCGACAGCCGCTACTCGATTGACAGCCGGCGCAGCCGTCCCTCCATTGACTCGCCCACCTCCCTCCGCTTCCCCGGCGTCGTTGTCACCCCTGCCGACAGCGAGGACACGTCCGCTGTCACTTCGGCCAATACCTCCCACATCGCACTCACCCCCACCACTCCCAAAACACCCGCCACGCCGGCCTCCGGCCCATATTTCGCCAACCACCACCACCACCCCAGCACCGTACCACCCCTCGCCACCGCAAAGTACCGGCGCCACTCGAACGAGACTCCGCTCGGGCGCGCGTACCGCCTCTCACGGGATGAGACGCCTCGCCCGCGCCGCATTGAACGTACGCGCTCTGATACGCCGCCGCGCGGCAGACAGCGTGCGCGCGGCGGCCCCCGTCCTCGTCGGGACTCGATTTCCACACACACCGAGGACACCGAGGACGGCGTCGTGTACAAGCAGATCGGGCTGAGCGGCCTGCCCGGCCGTAAGCGTGTTGTCCACCGTAAGAAGGCACGCTTCGAGGAGTAGCAAAGACGATCTAAGATGAGATGATCGGGGAAGCGAGAAAGAAGTCAATCAGCAGCCAAAGAAGAAACAAGCAAAAACATCATCATCATGTGTGTCCGCTTCTCAGACGTATCCCTAGCCTTGTGAGACATAACCATTCACACATCCACCACTTTCCGCTCAGCGCAATGCCCCAGGCATGTAGATTACGCCCGATGCAGGACGCCGCTTGTAGTATTGACATGCATAGCTCTCCGTGTAATACAGGTGCGAGGGGATGAGGCAGTGATGGTATGATGGGGACATCACGCTGCGGCATTAGTAATTCTACCGGAATCGGCGACGCGATGGCCCAGGCTGAGAGTCGAGATCCTCTTCGTCGGGATCGACGAACGAGTCGGGTATAATCGTCTCCGCTCCACGTTGCTGGGTGCGGCCCTGTGATCGAGACTGCGTCAGTGCACGCTTCCACCAGTCAGCTCACTGGACGGCGCTCCTCCTCGCTCTCGACCTCGTCTTCCTCCGCGACGGCTCGTTGCTCCTGCGACATACCAGGCTGGCTGTCATCCACCTCGTCGTCCTCGTTCCCACGCTGACTCCTGCGCCGCTTCGCCGCCCGAGCGAAGTCGTCCTGCACGCGGCTGACCGCCTTCTCACCAATCGGCGTCGGACGCACTTCTTCAAAGCTCGTCTTGCACTCGAGGCAAGCCGTGCGTCGCTCCAGCACCATGTCGTAGCAGTAGCCGTGGTAGTGTGCCTCGCACGCCTGGTGCGCACATGCGACGCCCTGCCATCAGCTTCCATCATTCCTTCTCTCACCGTCATGACAATGCGGTTGCAGCGGCGGCACACGCGCACATAGTCGTCGTACTCGCCGCGGAGGTAATCAGCGAGTTCGAGCATAGCGCGCGGCGCGAGCGAGTACCGCCCTCGTCTGGGGTCAGCGCCAACATGGAAGAACATACTCTGAGGTGGCGAGCCACCCGCGCGCCACGAGTGCCTTGAGCAGCGCCTGCGCGGCGCTCTGCGTCATCTGCCCGTTCAGGTCTTTCACGAGGCCGACGGCGTGCCGCGACCCCACACTATTGGCTGGGTAGCTCTCGACGATCGCCTCGATCACGGCGCGCACATAACTGATTTCGAGTGGGGACAAGTCCGTCGCCTGCTGCGCGATCTCGCCGGCGCCCTCCGTGTTCACGAGCGCCGTCCACTTCCGGCCCGAGGTTTCGTCCGCGCCCCGCTTCAGCCCGAGGCCCAGCGGCTCGAGCAGCGACGTGAGCTCCTCGAGAAAGGCGTTCAAGCCCTGCTCGTTACTACGGTGCGTCGGCTGGAAGTCTTGGTCAGAGGCTGGTGTCAGCAAGCCCGGAGGAAGGCGGGGAGAGAAGGGAGGGGAGGAGACTCACCCTGGACAGCCTTGATGGTGCGCCGGTACATCTCGAGCAACCGATCGTCGGTCATCGCGCGGCGCGAGAGCAGCATCTGGTTGAACGCGCGATGGAGGTCTGTTGCGGCGACATTGGGCATGCTGAGCGAGATGAAGAGAGTGGTCGCGAATACCGCACCATCAACGGCCAACAACCGACGCGTCGCGCTCATTACACCGCGACAATAACAATTTCAGGCACGGACCGCGTACAGTGTCACGTGACCCAAAGTCGGCAGTGGAGGTCAAGAGGATTTCGAGAGTTGCTGCTGCAGACGCACAAATATCGTCATCTGCGCCAGTATCGCCCATCTCACCAGCTCACCATGGGCGAGACCATCACGAAGCGCATCCACGTCGGCGGCCTCATTCCCACTATAACGGCCGAGCACCTCCGCGACCGCTTCCGAAGCTTTGGCACCGTCACGGCCGTGGAGGAGATAGGGCTGAACGCCCTCGGTGAGTGCCAACGGGAAGAAGCTGACCCCAGGCGATCCCCGCCCCTTTGCGTATCTCACGCTGGAGACTACGCCTGCCCAGTTCCGGAAATGTAAGCCTCGCCGCCGCGCAGCTCACCCCAGGCCTGAACATCATGTCTGGCGCGACTTGGCGCGGCACCACGCTCCGCCTCGCCGAGGCCAAGCCCCGCTTCGACGTCCGGTGAGCCTGCCCCCGGCACCACTGACCCCAGGTTGGAGAAGGAGCGCACCCGCGACCCAAAGAAGGAGGCGCGGCGCGCCTCGCGGCGCCTCAAGCGCGCGATCGCCGTCGTAGGGGGCAAGGAGGCGCAGGACATGCGCCTCGTCTCGCGCGACAAGGTCGCGCGCCGCGCCACGTCTACTTTCTGGGTTGAGGCGGACGGGCACCTCATTAGGCCCATTGCGATACGTCCTTCCCACCCGATTCCCACACCCGCCTCGGTTACACGGAAGAATGACGGCGCGCCGCCGCCGAAGCGGGCGCGTATCCGTGTCATCGACACGCGTCGCTGGGGCCCGACACATGTGACTGAGCAGGAGATGGCTGGGCCAGTGGAGCGTGGGGAACAGTGGGAGTTTGTTGAGGGCGACGAGGAGGTGGATGAGGACGGGCGGGTGCGCCTTGGCGCGTGGATCCGCGCGGGAGAGGAGGAGGAGGTGCGTGTCCGCCGGCCGCTGGAGTTCAGCGACGCCGAGATGGAGAGCGACATCGAGGCGGACTCGCCTCTTTTCCCAGCCCACACCCGCTCGGCATCGCCTCTGTTCCCGTCCAAGGAGCGGTCTGCCAGTCCGCTCTTCCCGACCCGCGACGCTGAGCGTTCCGCATCGCCACTGTTCCCGACCCGCGAGGAGGAAGCGGAACCGGCCCACCCAGCCCCCTCCTCCCCTCCTTTCCCGGTTCACGACCGTGTTGCATGGCTCAAGGACGAAGAGAAGCACACGCTGGATCGGTCGTCTCGTGCTACTACGCCCTCGCCATCCCCCGCGCGCGTTGCAGAGGCCGTGGCCTTGGCGGAGCAGCAGGAAGAAGCAGCCGACGAGGTGCGCCTTGATGCACCCAAGGCCGAGGTCGAGGAAAACCGGGCGGAGCGCTCGCCAACACCCGAGATCTCGCCGCTCAAGGCGGTGGAGGGCGCCGTTATGGCGGCCCGCGAGCGTGCTGAGCTGGGAGAGAAGGTTGAGGCTGAGCGGCCTGTGCGCTCGCCGACACCAGAGATATCGCCTCGCAAGGCCGCCTTGGCTTTGCCTGAGGAGGTGAAGGCGCAGGCGGCGAGCGAGCGCGGCACCGCGCTGAGTGTGCTCACCTCGCTGCTCGGCGAGGCGCCGACGGTCCGCAAGGCGCGCCGTGAGTGGATAGCGTACGAAGAGGAAAGTGACGACGACGATTTCAGCGCCCTCAAGCCGCAGGCTTATGAGAGCTCGAGCGATACCGAGATCGCACCGGTCGAGCGCGCTCGCGCGCCGTCCCCCAAGACGCCGGACGTCGCGCTCCGCGCGCGCTGGCTCGAGGAGCAGGACCTCGAGCTTGAGGAGGGCGACGAGCCTGCCACAGTCTCCAATGACCTGCTTGAGGACTTGGTGATGCGGCTGCGTGGCGGAGCTGCCAGCGACGATGAGAAGTCGGACGACTCAGACGACAGCGAGGACTCGGACTCGGACTCAGACGACAGCTCAGATGGCTCTGATAGCGACGACTCTAGCGACTCCTCGGATTCCAGCGATTCATCGGACTCGAGTGAATCAGGAGATAGTGCCAACTCTGACTCCTCGGATGAGGCTGCCGGGTCTTCCTCCCCCGCCGGCCCCGCCCGTTTGAAGGACCTCTTCGCACCCACATCGGGGGGCTTCTCGCTCCTCGGCGTCGCCCCTGATCTCGAAATCGATGAGACCATCGTGCTGCAGCCCACGGCGGAGGAACCCGAGCTGGCGCCTCTCGCCGCCGCCCCGCGCTCGACCTTCGACGCGAGCCCAGACATCCCTCTCTTCTTCCCCCTCCCCGTGCGCCCGGGGCGCCGCGGCGAGGCGCGGAGTGTGCTCGCGCCTGAGGAGGAGGGTGATGTCAACGGAGAGGCTGAGGCAGAAGAGGGAGAGGGACGGGGCGTCCAGAGGCATTGGGGCCAGGCGCAGGAGACGACCAAGCCTAAGGCCACGCGTACTCCACGGCTTGTCGCATCTGAGTCGGACGCCGAGGTACAGGAGAGGTGGAAGAGGCGGCGTCTGGAGTTGACGCAGGCGTGGAAACGCCGGCATCGCGAGGCTGTCAAACACAGTCGCCGGAGGGGCGGGGATGATGTCGAGTAAGCGATAGACGAGGGGCGCATGCATCGCTTGTCAACTAAATGTGCGCGCAGTGGGCCGATGTCACGGCGCTTTTAAGCAACGTTTCTCACTGACTCTCCTCACCACCACCATGTCTCATGTCCCAAAGGTACCTCCAACCAGTAGACTTGCTGACACAAGAATCTCAACATCTCGTGGACTGGCGATGCGCCACTAACATTCTCAACGCTGCACCTCATCCCGATCCCCGATGCACCGACGACGTCGTCAGCGCCGCTCGATGTGCGCAACTTTCTCAACCCCTCTCCCAATACAGACGTATTGGACCTTACACTGGTGCCCACGGCGCCTCCCGCCACCCCTGCCGCGGGCAAGTATCCCAAGCCGCCCCTCTGGCACATATACTACCAGCCAAACGTGCCGCGGGGCAGCGCAGGCTCAATGTCGACACTGGTAGACTTCACGAGCGTGAGTGCTCCGCTTCACCCGGCGTGGGGGACAAAACTGACGTGCAGATGTTAACTGTCGGTCAGCCGCATGGCCAGGCGCATCTCGAGGCGCCGGGGCGCGGCACATTTCCCCTCGCGCTGTGCGTGCACGTCATCGGGCGCGCACCCGAGGCCGCCGAGCGCGCTGCGGGCGTTGTGCGCGAAGCGTGGGTGCGCTCGCACCGCTTAAACCGCCTCGGCAGTCAGGCAGTGCCGCACTGGTTTGGGCTGTATGCCGGCCTGGCGGAGATGGACGGCGTTCAGACGCCCGTGTACGCTGGTCTCGTGGCGGCGAGTGGAGCGGATGCGGAGCGGTGAGTTCCGTGTACAAGGGGGCGGGGGCGTGAGGAGTATAAGAGAAGCACACAAAGGCGAATCTGACACCAGCGACGCGATCGTCACAGCCTATAAGCAGATCCACGATCTTGGCGTGATCCACCGCGCGGCGCGGCCGCATAACTGGCACTTTGGTCATGGCGTCGCGATCGCCGAATGGGGACGCGCGTACGTGCGCCGACGCGGTTTTGGGTTCGTGCGCGAGACGGACGGGCTTGGCATCGACTGGGTCGTGGATGAGATCGAGTTTGAGCGGATGCGTGCCGCCGAGAACAAGCGCATAAAGAGCTTCTTCACAGAGCAGCCGTGGTAGATGGCTCGAGAAAGGAAGAGCGGGATAGTCAATGCACTGCGTGCTCTCGAGATGTGACAGCACGTGCAGCTCGGCAGATGCGAGCACGGTTGGTGCGAGGCTGACGTGAGCTGTGGATAAGTCTCGTGTAAGTTGATAGGCGAGTCGAACCCGTGCCAGCTTTAGCGTCGGTGAGTCACTCCGCCATCTCATAGCGCTCACATAGGTGCAGGAGCGAGTGACTGGCCAGATATTCTCGGTCTGATATTTATAAGCCGCCGTCATGATGAACTCGGGACCGTGCCGTGCCTGTCCGGCAGGTCCGGCATCTAAGATGGGGTGGTGGCGCTGGATTTACCCGAGTCACACCAAGGAGATGCTGCCCAGCAGTCCAGCTGCACCCTCGACCGCCTCTCTCGGCCGTTTGTCAGCGGGGCATGTATTCTTTCGCTGCCGCGGCTGGCATTGCACACTCAGTCTCTATTTACTTGCTCAAGAATTCGACGGACTCTGTGGATCTATTGGATATCCATCACACCAACCTCCGCCACGACGCAGCGCCGCCCCGCGCCACTATGTCGTCGCCATACCCCGACCCCGACTTGAAACCAGTCTCGCAGCGCACCTCGCTCGCGACCCTCACGAATCCCTTGCCTGACGGGTGCAGCTATGGCTCGATACCGTCGAAGGATGCCAGTCCTGCCGAGCGTGTGATCTGGGTGGAGTTTCCGCCAGATAGCCGCGACAACCCATTCTACTTCTCGACGAAAAGAAAAGTCGGCATCACACTGTGCGCCCTCATCTACTGCTGGTACTGCTGTAAGTTCCCGTTGACGACTTTGTCCACCGGCTCTTCTCGCTGGTGCGATGGGCGCGCAGCTACAAGTTTTGAAGTTCGGTCACCTCCGCCGTCCCCCTTGTCCGCCTCAAGGTCACCCCGCCCTCACCCCACCCCCGCTCCCACCCTGACCCCGCGCTGACCCCAGCCATCACGGCCTCGGCATTTTCGATCCAGTCCGGCGCCATGTGCGAGGACCTCAACTGCCCGCATCTCGGCGCTGAGGCCGGCATCGCGCTCTACGCGTGGGGCGCCGGCATCATGCCGCTCTTCGTCGCCCCCGTATCAGAGGAGTTCGGGCGGCGACCTGTCTACCTTGTGGCGCTGTTCTTCCTCCTCGTCTTTCATGTCCTGCAGGCCGTGGCGCAGAACACGGCCACGGCGCTCGTCGCGCGCTTCCTCGCAGGCGTCGCTGGCTCGGTCGGCACCTCCGTTGTTGGCGGCACCGTCGCGGACATCTTCACGCCAGCGCACCGTGGTCTGCCGATGATGCTCACCGGTTTCATCCTCTACTTCGCCACAGGTATCGGCGGCACGATTTTCGCGTACGTCACGACGCGGTTAGGATGGCGCTGGACGTGGTGGATCATTGTCATATCCCTCGGCGCATGCGTCCCCCTTTTCGTGCTGGTTATGCCTGAGACTCGATCGTCCATCATACTGCGCAGACGGGCAAAGAAGCTGCGCACCGAGCGAGGCCTTTCCGACGGCGGACGATACCTATCTCACCCAGAGATTGAGAAGGTCCGCTTCCTCACCGCGCTCAAAACGTCGCTCACCCGCCCCCTCATCTTTCTCGTCACGGAGCCCATCGTCATGTTCTTCTCCCTCTGGGTTGCTCTCGCCTGGAGCGTCATGTATGTCCAAGTCGCTGGCCTGCCATACATGATGCGCACGCTATACGGATTCAACACAGAGCAGGTCGGCCTTGTGTACCTAACAGCATGGTGGGTTGAAGGTCTGAGCGAGCTGACGGCAGCCTGGGCGCGTGCTTTGGATATCTTGGAGGATACGCGCAAGAGTACCTGTACAGGCGTTACGCACCAACCAAGGGCGTCGAGGCGCGTCTCTTTACGCCCATGGTCGCGGGCGTGCTTTTCGCACTGGGCTGCTTTATCACTGGCGCGACGGCGCGGTCTGAGATTCACTGGATCGCTAGCGCGATCGGCCAGGTGGTCGTGATCAGTAAGTCCCCCTGTACTTTTCAGCTGACAACAGCCGCCGTAATGATCATCTACGTGACTGCCTTCACCTACGTCTCCGAGTGTTACGGGACGTACGCCTCGTCGGCCATGGCCTCCCAGTCGTGCCTCCGAAACATGGTTGGTGGCGGCATCGCCTTTGGCACGACATCCATGTTCAAGGGAATGAGTGTGCGATGGGCGCTCATCCTCATGGGCGGCATTGCTGCGCTACTCGCTCTCGTGCCGTTCGTCGCGTTCTTCTATGGGCCGGCGATCCGGCAACGCAGCCCCTACTCTCGCGAGCTGATGCGGCAGGAGCGGGAGGCGCTCGACGCTGAGCGCGTGCAGCGAGAATTGCGGGGTATGGACATGACGGGGGCAGAGGATATCGAGGGCGAGGTGTACGAAAAAGAGCGAGAGTAGTGTACATTAGATATAGCGCATCGTGCATGGAGCATATTGTTTGGTTGACAGATTTTATAACATACATGAAGCCGCGATCTCCGACTAACAAGGCACTGGCAAAGACACACAATATCCACACATAAACACACACAACGCCACACACCCAAACAAACACAACCCTCTCCTTGTGACCCACATCTGCATCTGTTAAGTACAAGAACACATCATGCCCGCACCCATTCGCCACCTACCCGCTACTTGCCACACAGGCCGCCATGTCGATCGTCATAACGGAAGCTACCGACTTCTTGCCAGACTACGAGTACAAGCCCGTTGTGCAACACCCAAGCCCCAAGCGCAAGCCCTACTGCGGGTACAAGCCTCGCCCCAAGTACAAGATTCGGGAGCCACCCCCCTATCCCGACTTCAAGGTCTATGTCGAGCCCAAGCCAAACACCACATGGCGCAAAGCCAAGCTTGTGTATCACCGCGTGACACGGGTGTTCCGCAGGAGCGGCACCACCGCGCCACCCAACAGCCCATCACGAGGTCCCATCAACCCGTATCCCCTCGTCTGAGGGGTCACGATACAGTACCGTAATGCGTGGGTCTGGATGTATTTGAGGAAGAATGTGTACGCATCCTATGACTACTCCCAACTTGCCCACAGGCGCAGCGAGTCACATCAGAGCCACACGAAGCGCAAAATCAAAGTGCTGAAAACTTGTGGTGACGAAATGTGGTCATGCCGACCTATTCAGCGCACTAAGGACGAAAGAGCGGAGTGCAGGACTCGGACACATTCAGAAATGGGGCGAAGCCACCAGCTGGCATCCCACATGGGTTTGCCGCCGCCTCGATGAGTTTTGCATCTCGTCTGAAAGGTCATAAAAGAGCGAGGCATCGCTGCGCTGCATATTATTGTGAGCAACTTTGTCGAGGTTTGGGGGGCTATCGGTGCGGTCCTCGAAGTTTGTTAGGGTCAGTGGGAGCTGCGCTTATGTTGAGCCCGATATTGCGCGCGATTTTTCTCCGCTTGCTTCGCTTGTAAGCAAAGCACAGACGTGACCGGTTAGTTCGGTCCATGATTGCTATGTGGAAACAGGAAAAGGGTTTCCTATATGTTTCCAACCTCCGAACTCGGACGGCGTGACCACTTCAGCGCGCCCATCAGCGCCGGATCGCGTCTTCATGACGCTCACCCGGCGCGTGACGCCGACCCGGACAGCGGTTTTCCTCTGCCCGGCTTGGCGAACGTGTAAAGGACTCATCCTTGGCCTCTGGTATGGGCAGCGGCGTGGCATCGTCATCCTCTCGGTCTTCGGTAATCAGGATTAGCAGTTCTGGCAGTTCGAATGGAAGAGCCCTTGTGCACACTTATCAAACCTTATCAAAACTACTAGATGTTCCTTTATGCCAGTCGTGTTGGCTGTCCTGGCGGGAGAGATCCTTGAGGGGGACGGGTGTGCACGAAGTTCCTCAAACACAGCCGTCTACAGTAAAGGCGGCTAGTCGTACCGGGTCGGAGCCGTTGAGCGCTCAAGGGAACGCGTCGGCTGAGCGGAACCTGCCGCGCGGTTGAGCGGAAGCGGTGGCTTCCTAGCGGCAATGTCATTGGTCCCATGCAGAAGATAGCCGCTAGACGCAAGTGCGTTCTGAATCGGGCGAGAGGCGTCATTGACACGTTGCCGTGGCGGGTGGTGCGTGCCAACGCCATGGGAAGGTGGGGTGGCGGGTGGGGGAGGGAAGCGGAGGTTCGTTTAGCAGGTGTGCGAGATGTCGCGCCACCATTCCTATTAGGCTGTTCTTAGTTTCCCACGGCGCGTCTCACTGGTCAACTTGCCGACGGCGCCGACTTCAGTTGACGTTCCAGGGCGCCCTTCATGGCGTCGGAGGAATGGATTGCGGCCAACGCGTCGCGCTCCCAAGTGAGAGCAAGTCAAAGTCCTTTAACCGGTGGGCGGGATCGGCGGATCATCTATGCCACGCTGCCATGCCGCACCACTCCATCATGCATAATCACGATTCTAATCGCAGCAGGCGTCCATGCAGGTGCGCGGTTGAAGCTCTGCAATTGACAAGCGAGAGGCTAATCTGTCCCCACCCCCCTACGAAATAGCATCGGTGGAACGGTTCACGCCTTGAACAAGACCGCGTTAGTCGAGAACAAAAGACACGTCGGGTACCAACTTGCCCGACAAAATCTCACAGCGGCAACCATTACCGTCTGTTACCAGAACGGAAATCGGACGCAAGATCGAGTCCGGCCCACCCGGGGAAAGCACGGTTGGCATGGCAGAGCCTCCACCGACTTGAGCGGTGACGCGCCGGCGGTGGCCGCCGCAGCCTGGTCTCGATCGTGTATCTGGCCGCGAAGCACCAATCAACGGGGCTGCCGGGCTGCGTCTGGACGCCGGGCGTGTCTTGTCCGCAGTGTTGCAGTGGGTGGCGGCCCGTGGCGGTGCGTGGCTGTGGGTGGGCAGGTGTCTGTCCATGCGACTCACGTGAGACGGCTAAACTGGGGTGGAGGGGGTGAGGGGTGTGGCGCATGCACAGACGGCTGTAATCCTAAATCGGAGGTTGCTCTTTCCCGGATACGCGGCGCTGATAGGCCGGAGGCAAACGGACATGCAGGGATGATGGAATGTTGATTGTGATGAGATGGAGCTTTACCCTGTATCGGGATCAGCAGAGGCGGGGGGACCGCAAAGTAAAGGCTTAGCGGGGTAAAATTACCCACCCGGGCCAGACCTTGTCCGACTCGTGCTCCACATCCACCCATTTGCACCTGCCAGCTGCCACGCCAGGACATTTGATTGCTGCGTATACGCGGGTGGCGGCCGCCGCACCGAGCCAGCCAAGATCCCACAGAGCATAACGTCAGACGAGGGTGGGGGGCCGCCGGGCAGTCGGCGGCATGCACAGGTCCGCGCAACCAAACACACCTCCCTCATCCCAGGCCCCACACGGCGGCATCCTGCCGCAGTAGTCCTGACGATGTTCGGTTCTTGGGCAGCCGTCGTACCCCACAGTTGACACATCGGGCCTGCTGCCCATCCTATCAGCAACCATACTCATTGTGCCCCGCTTATCCCTACCCGGGGACCCAGTGGAGCGTCAAGCGGGGCCCGTCGATCGCTTGGAGGTCGCCGTGCGCGTGAGATGCAGTTGCAGTTGCAGGCTGGTGGGCAGCCTGAGCTGTGGAGTACAAAATGCCAGAGTCTCACAGGACTTGTCCCTTGTCCCCACCCAACTGCGCCAGCCTCGTACAGCGAGTCTTCCGCCTCACACTCGCTCACCACTTGTTTCGCCACTTTTCAACATCATGAACGACCGCTCCTCCACCCCGGAGAAGAACGGCCACCATGTCGAGCACATGGCTGGTGCTGAGCACGCCCATTTCGACCCCTCCAAGAGTATCGAGGGCCACCACCATCTCACCAGGAACATCGACGAGGGCTTCGACCCGTTGGTTCTGAAGCGCATTATCCGCAAGGTTGACCTGCGTCTCATTCCTATTCTTTCCGCCATGTACTGCATCTCGCTCATCGACCGCACCAACTTGTCGCTCGCCCGTGCTGCCAACAACAAGGCCATGGACACCAGGCTCCAGCTCTCCATTGGCGATCGCTACACTATGGCGACCGTCATGTTTTTCCCGCCCTACATTCTTCTCGAAATGCCCTCCCAGATCGGTCTGCGCAAGTTCGGCGCCCGCTGGTGGCTTGGCACTAGTGTCATTCTTTGGGGTATCGTTATGATCGGCATGGGCTTTGTCACCACTTGGAACCAGCTCACCGCGGTCCGTGCTATTCTCGGTGTTTTCGAGGCCACCCTCTTCCCCGGTGCGGCTTACCTCATCGCCTGTTGGTACCCGCGCAAGGAGATGGCTGTCCGCAATGTCGCCTTCTACGTCATCTCCATTGTCGTTTCTGGTCTCTCCGCCACTCTCGCTTACGGCCTTTCCACGCTTCACTTGCGCAACGGTCTCGAGGGTTGGCAGTGGATCTTCGTCATTGAAGGCATCATCACCGTCGGCATCGGTCTTCTCGGTTACCTGCTCATCACCGACTTCCCCGACAAGGCCAAGGTGAGCTTTAATACCACAAGAACTTCGCTGACGTCAGTTCCTGACCGATGATGAGCGCGATATCATTCAGCTCCGTATCGAGCGTGACCGCGGAGACGCCGTCGCCGACACCCTCAACTGGAAGAAGTTCACCAAGTACATCTGCGAGCCTCGTCTCTGGATCTACGGCTACATGTTCGGCTCGTCCACTGTCGGCTCGTACTCGCTCGCCTACTTCCTTCCTCAGATTCTCGCCACCATGGGCTTCGTAAGTTTAATCTCTTACAACACCACTGACCTGCAGACCAATGTTCAGGCGCAGCTTCTCGTGGCTCCCCCATACGTGTGGGCCGCGATTCCCGCTCTTTCGTCCGCTTTCCTCGCAGACAATGTCCGCAACTGCCGTTCTGTCGCCGTCGCATTCAACGCCACTTGCGTCATTGTCGGCACCGCCATGTACTCGCAGCTGCCCCTCTCGCAGAAGGCTGCGCGCTACGCGGGCGTCTTCATCGCTCTCGGCGGATGCAACTCCAACGTCCCTCTCATCCTATCGTGGGCCCAGACCTCTATCCGTTCGCAGTCCAAGCGTGGCTTCACCTCTGCCCTCATTGTTGCTTGGGGCGGTATCGGTGGTATCATCGCCTCGGTTGCCTTCATCCAGAAGGAGGCTAAGGACGGCTACCCCACTGGTGTCTTCCTTACGATCGGCATGAACGCCGCTGTCGTCGCTTGCGCTGTTGGCCTCAACCTCTTCTACAACTGGCAGAACAAGCGCGCTGCACGTGGCGAGGTCATCCTCGAGGGTGAGCCTGAGTTCCGCTACCAGGGTTAAGAGGTGAGGTGCAGGGAGCGTGTACGAGAGGAGAGGGATCGTGGAACAATAGTACGAGATACGGGCATGGGGATAGTTGTTACATTGTCGCGGAGTGTGGGATAGCGGTAGTACTGAGTATGAAGCCTAGTTCCTCGGCAATTGCACTGCACACCTGTTATCTCGGAACCCGATCGGGTTCCAGCAGCCGAAAAGGGTTCACTGCCGGAGCAGCCGCGCGGCAGATGGCCACATGGGACACCGTGTACACGCCAAGATATGGCCATGCCAAGCCTCTTCCGAGACACCACTCGTCCTGTGATGGTGTCAGCTTGAGTTTGTCAACCGGGGGTCATCTGGGGTTGGTCAGCAACCGCCTCCATCCGACATTTGCGACGATGGTAATAGTGGGCAGCTCGCACGCGCCTCTTTCCACGGTGCGGGGTGGTGGGCAACGCGGCGTTCGGTGTCCTAGACACCTAATAATTCGTGCCGAGGTTATACAGGTGTTATTGATGTGCGGTTTGAATGTTATCAATCAGCTGTTGGTCTCACATTTGAGCCATCTGGGACAACAGGTATTGAGAGCCGTAGGAATCCGCGTTGTATCAGGTGTTACATGCGCGAGAGTCTTCGCGGCGACCTCAGGCATGGGGCGCCCGGGTCGATTGTTGTTCAGCTGCTGGAAGTAAATTTCCGTGTTGAGTGCCCGAGGGAGAAAGCGCCGTTCGAATCTGTGACGAGTTCGTCCACTATGCATTCCCATCGACTTAATCTAGGCGGCTGGATGACATTTCGGGCTCATCAGCGGCTTTGAAGGGCGCTGGACATGTATTCATTTATGTGCCGATCCTGCCTGTGTACAGCAAGCACCGGGCTGCCCGGATAGGAAAGAACACTAAAGATGCTGCACACGGTCATCTTGCCTCAAGGTATATATGCTTGATCATCGTCGTGCGCTTGTCTCTGTAGGACTGGGCGAAGGGCCTTCCGCTCTGATGGTGACCGGCTTCGGCCAACGCCGATCTACCATCAGGCCGGCTACACCCTCCGTGTCCCGGTTGGTGCAGCGCGTCCGTTTCGTTTTCGACTTTACTCCTTTCACCATGTCGCGCAGCCCCTCTCCAACACCCTCCTCCTCAACTTCTTCATCCTCGTCTTCCTCTTCTTCCTCCTCCTCCTCGTCCTCTTCTTCCTCCTCTTCCTCTTCGTCCCGCTGGTCCACTGCGCCAGCGCCATCTGAGACCCCCCATCCTTCCACTAATCCTGGGCCACCTCCAACCGCCGCCCCACCCCGCACGATGCCGCCTGTCACACCCGCTACCTCCCTCGAGGAGATCCGACGCAAGGTCGGGCCCATGGACCCCGCGCACCGCATGGACTGGGCTATCCTCGACCTAGGATACAAGCCGGTCAGCAAACGGACCATCAACATCTCCGACCTGGATGTGCACGTCTGGGGCTTGGATCTGATTGAGCGCAGCACGCTGCCCATCGCCATGATTGTAAGTTTCCCGACGGGTATCTTGAGGCTCACGACAGGTGCTGTCTCACGGGTGGGCCAACAAGGCGCGCGACATGGAGCCGATGGCCAGCGGACTGATCGGCGAGATCCGCCGGCTTGAGGCCGAAAGTGGGCGCCGCAAGACGCGCGACGTGATTGTCGCCACGCTTGTAAGTGGCATTGTGGCAGCGCCACGCTGCCACAGTCAGATCGGCGGGGATAGACTGACGTCAGGATCAGCGCAACCACGGCGAGCGCCGCAGAATCCGGACGAAGGAGAAGTTCGAGACCAACCCAGCGAGGCTGTGAGCCGGTTATCCTTTGGATTGCTGACAGCAGGATCTCGGCTGCTGCAAACATCATGGGCGGCGCCATGGACCACGAGTACATCATGAACCTGCTCCCGGCCTACCTCTTCCCCCGCAGCGAGCGTGTCGTTGAGGAGTACATGTGCGCTGGCTTCTCCATGGGTGGCCACGTCACTTGGCGTATGGTACGCGAAGACCCTCGGGTCAAGATTGCCGTTCCGATCTGCTCGTTGCCTGGCGAGGCGCTGGGCCCGCTGCTGATGAAGCGTGCCGAGATGCTGCCCGACCAGACGTATCTCCCGCCCTCAGTCGAGAAGTTCTTCTTGGAGCGGAGCGCCCCAGGGACATATGCTGGGAAGAAGATTCTCGCGTTGCATGGCGACCTTGATGCCCTCATGCCGTGGCAGTGGGCTGAAGATGAGTGGCAGCGTGTTGCGGGTGAGTGCTCGCCCGGCGAGAGCGAGCGGTGGGTCGATCCCGACTACGGGCACGTTGTGAGCCAGGAAATGGTCAGGCGGACCGCTGAGTGGTTCTGGCGCTGGGGGCTGAGCTCCGCGTAGATATGGCCGGTAGTTAGACTAGATTTGCATCATCTCTCTGTTTGTGCGTTCTTTTAGCTCCTATTTCTCACTCCCGACTCAAGATCGCAGTGCAAGTGCGAAATGCATGCAGCTAATCTTCTGAACAATACAAATATCCCATCCCCTGTACCCAGCCCCGCCACCCTGCAACCCCCTGTCCTCTACCTAGAGGATAAACCTGAAGTGCACACTTTTGTCGCCCAGCTCAGCCTGGTCATCAATTTCAGGCCCGCCCTTCTCGAAGCCACCGACCGCGGCGCGCTTGCGGTTCTGCCACGCGAGGTACACGATGTTGGCCGCAGCAAAGAGGCCCATGCCAACGCAAAGCCCGAGAAGGATGGACGTGCCACGCTTGTAGTGAGGCGCTTCGGTGGTGGGGAAGAGCCAGGTGGAGAGGATGCCACCACAGTTGGTAATGATGAAGCCGCAAACGATACCAGTGACGCGGCGGTAGAAAGGGGCGAGGTTGTTGGGCATCCAGGTGGACGTGAGGGGTGCCGAGACATATGCGCCCATAACCTGGAAGAACAGTGAGGCGTAGCGAACCTTAGGGTTCCTCGAGCCGAGGTACAGAGCGTAGCCGATGAGGGAGAGGCAGGCGGAGAAGATGATGAAGGGGCCGCGGAGGTGCCAACGGTCAGAGTAGAAGCAGACAATGAGGGAGAGGGCGGTCGAGCAGACGTAGGGGGGGACCGAGTAAAGCTGGGTCATGATGCCCTTGTGCCCGAGGCCCTGCACAATCGAAGGGGAGAAGTAGGCCATGGAGAATAGCGCAGTGCCAGAGCAGAAGAGGGCGCCACACACCAGCCACATCTGCGGGGCACCCAGGATGCCAATGACGCTGCGCGCGGTGAGCTTCTCGTGGACCTCGGCAGGCGGGCGGTCAATGTCAAGCGCCTGGAGGACAGCCTGGCGCTCCTCCGGGCTGAGGTAGCCGACGTCGGAGGGGTCGCGGGGGAGGATCCAGAAGCAGGCAAAGGCGTAGACGACAGTAATGAGACCTTCAATGATAAAAATCCACGCCCAGCCACGCTTGCCACCGAGGCCATCCATGTTGACGATACCGGCAGCGAGAAGGCCTGAGAAGGCGCCGGCTAGCGAGGTCGCGCTGAAGAAAATGGCAGTGCGCTTGCCCAAGCGTGTGCGAGTGTAGAAAGATGACAAGTAGGTGATGCAGCAAGGCAGGACGGCGCCTTCGGCCGCACCCAGGAAGAAGCGACAGGCGAGCAGACCGGCGTAGTTGTGCACGAAGCCCTGGAAGGTCGTCACGATACCCCACGCAAGCATGAGGGCCGGCATGAGGATGTGTGGTCCGCTGAGTGTAAGCTTCCATGCCCAGGATGAAAACAACATCAAAACACTCACACTTTACGGATGAGGAGCGTGAGGGGCAGCTCGGCAGCGATGTAGGGCACATATGTGACGGTGAGAGCAATGCTGTACTGGTGGTTGGTGAGCTTGAGGTCCTGCATAAGGCCAGCGGCTTTCGCGTTGCCGATATTCGCCCGATCCAGGAAGGAAAGGAAATAGATAAGCGTGACGGCCGGTAGGAAAAGACAGTCGAGCTTGAACATGGCACGGCGGAAGGCTTCCTTGTCGGGCTCGGGAAGCTCTTCGCGCATGCCGACCTCCTTGCCCGAGTCAGAGTGCTCGGCGTGCACTACATCGGCGCTGTACTTTGGCTTGTCGTCGATCACAGTCATCGTGTGTTTTGTGAGTGGTGAGAGGTGAATGGGGGCTTAGTATCTGCCTGGCGAGGCTGATATATGGCTTTGGGCTCGGTTGCCCGAGGGGCTAGGCGTTGCGCGCATCCGTGTCAGAGTCAGTGCAGTAATTACGGGGCAGATACGGGGCATGGCGGGGCCGCCGGGCGTGAGAGTCGGCCTCCACAGGCGCAGGCGCGGGCGCTGCGTAGGGGCCGGCCGGTCCGTACCTTCCGAGGAGAGAGGATGAGCGGTGTCCGAGGATTGAGATGAAGAAACGTCGAGGCACGGTATGGAGGCGGGCCGAAGCGGGGTTTGGTCGATGTGGTTGGCTAACTCGGCGGCGGCTACCCTGAAGCGCCCTCGTGCCAGACATGTGACGCGGGGTATGGGGTGCGGGGACGGCCCGATCATGTCCCGGGTAAAGGCCGGGTTCAACACTCACGACGACTCGGACACCTCTCGCCCGTCCACCGAGCTTCTCTCGCCACCCTCGCCTCATGCGGTGGTAATGCAATGCTCCTGGTTCAGGTCCCCGACCACGGGCCCTCGTCGTGGAGACTGTGACGAACAGCCAATGTCGATGGCCGGAAGTGACGACACGAGGCGCTTGAGATCGCCCAATCCCGAGAAATCGCCGCAGGCAGTTCCATGCTGTTCCGTCCTGCGATGCAGGCCCGACGCCTATCCCCCTTATCGCTTAGCTGCTCCTCTGTCTCGATCTCTGCTCGATTGTACAGGATGTCGGTGTCCAATGTCGCTGATAGCGGCCCGCCCTACACGCGGCCCGGGCGCTTGAATTCTGTAAAACTCCGCTTCGGCGAATGAAGTCTGCCATGAGCTTGGGTAACGTGCGGGCAGCAGAGCTTTTGACCGCTTGCCCGATATCACACCTCGCGTCTCCATCAGATGGTCTCTGTTGCTCGACGCCCGCAGCGCTGAGCATACACCGAACGTGAGCGGGGAATTTGGGAACGCTCGGGCTTGCTTGGAACAGAGGTATGTTCTGCGGTAAAGCGCAAGCCAATCCTGTCCTCTCCCCCCCCCCTTCCCCCACTTTCTCCCTCCTCCCATCCCCCCTCCCCCCACCCAAGCGGTCACTGAATGGTTGAAGAAGATCGTTTAAGCCGGAATTTGTGAGTGGTCATTCCGATGTGTCCCCGAGGAACGTGGCGCGTGGCACTCGGGCGCTCTCTATACCCAAGGGGATCGGCCCCAACACAGAGCTGCCACTCACCGCCCGTCTGTGATGATCTCGTCGCCTCTATTCCAGACTTGACTGGTGTCTGCTGGCTCTTAATTGGGGCCTAGATCTCACTGAGAAATTGCCATCACTCTTTCAGCCTCATTCCCGCCAGCTGGGTATTTTTGGACAACTGCAAACTTGCCAACTTGCAAGTCTGTGGGTATCAGAGTGCCTGCATGCTCTCCAGATGAGACTGCAAGTAGATTCATGTCTTACTTTCGTCGGCATTATGTTCACAAAACTTCCCTCATTGTCGCCTTCGCAATTCGCTCTCTTGCAATGTGGAAGCTTGTGCTCGTACCACCGCAGACCTCCTCTGATCATTCCCCGCCACGTCTGACACCTCTATCCCCACTGTCATCTCACAAATTTCACCGCGAGCACGAACAACACAAGCTCGAGATACTAGGGAAGCAAGTCAGAATGTCCATCCACATTAAAGGGGTATTGAGAAAAGGTATACCAACAGGGTATCCACCGACCCATTCGGTATCACGAGCGTGGGCATCAATTATGATGCCCTTAGGCGACAAGCTCGGCGCCCAGCGCCGCCGAAACGATCATGTGCCCTACTCGAGCGACATACTGTCCCACATCGCCGAGCACGCCACGCTCGACATCGCCCTCGCCCTCGACAGAGCTCAAACCGCCCCTCTGGGCATCGGCCGCGGCTGCTGACGCCTTCGGGTTGGCAAGGCTGGTGAGCGACACCGTGGCGTTGCGAGAGGCCGAGGCCGAGGCGGACATCGTGCTGTTCAGGGAAGAAGTGGACGTGGCGTTGCGAGAAAGAGTCGAGGAGGATGTGGTGCTCGTGGTCGTCGATGTTGTGGTGCTGCTTGACGTTGTAGTCGTAGTGGAGGAGGTGGTGGTCGGCGTCGGCTCAGGCTCCTTGGTTGTCGTAGTCGTCGGCTCAGGGTCGGGCTGCTTGCCGTCGTCCCACTCCCACGAAAGCTGGAAAACGCCTTGGTCCTCGCTCGCGAACCGGCGGAACAGCTGCGGTCAGAATTTGCGGATGGGAAAGGAGCTTAGTCCGAGATCGACGCACACCCGGAGTCAGGTCGAGGTCGCCGAAGGCACACGTCGGGCACTCGTCCACTACCGTTACGCCCCTGGCGTCAGTGTGGTTATTGAGCGTCCTCACCCAACGGTGACGCCGTTGGCCGTGATAGTGAGCGACTTGCCGCACTGCGGGCCGGGGTAGCCATGTCCGTACTGCGCGGAGTTCAAGGCGACGATGTACGCTTCGTTGTTGCCATAACCACCTGTCGTCAGCCCAGCCAGGAAAAGGAGACGCACCGCACGCCAGCTGGCCCACGGAAGCGTCGTAGAATGTTGCTTGGCCAGAAAAACGTTTCCAAAGCGTGCGGTCTTCGTGCTTCGATGCGAGGGCGCGCCGCGCGTGCGCCTTGTTGGCTACGGAGCGGCGGTGGGGCTCGGCGGAGACCCCGAGGGCGAGGAGGGCGACAAGGGGTGCGAGGACCATTTCGCTTTTGGGAGAGGCTGAAAGGCGCCGGAGACACGGAGCTGGAGGAGAAAGAAGAAGTCAGAAGAGATAGTGTGGGACCGAGTAGCGACAGAAGTGAAAAGAGGGTGGTAAGCACGGGCCGTCGCGATCTGGGGTTGATGCGGCACCAGCACTGGGGACACTTTACTCGTAAGGTCAGCGATGCGGGATGCGGGATGGAGGGAGATGTAAGTGGAGATCAGTAGATGTCTACATCTACAGATGTCTGCTGTTGGCCACGACGGCGGATCCTGCATGCCAAGAGTGAGACACTTATTCGTGTGAGCGCTGGCTGGGCAGGGAGTGATGAGGAAGAGGTGGGATGGGTGGGCGACGCCCACGCCACCGCTCCCGAACCCGAGTCTGGGTCTGAGAGATGTGGGTAGGGAGCATGGAATGGTCGTGTTGGATGCGATGGAGGCGTTGGTCAGGGCCAGCCTCGTGGACAGATGGGCCGGAGCGGGCTTGGCATCACAACTGCTGTTTTGAGGTCAGCATCCGGATGACAGTGGCGGCCGTGACAGACGCAAGTATGAATTCGATGGCATGCGTTGGCAACTGGTGACCAGCACCGGATCCAACTGGGAGGCGGAATGATGCATGAACCGGATTCATGAATCAAAGTCCGCAGCTGTTTTTCAAGCCGAGCGAAAACAGTAGCCATCACAAGGGCTGGATTATCGTAGGAATCCACCCACTCGTTGTCTTCTTAGCGGTTCATGTCGTTCCTGCGTGTTGGTGGCGCCTGCGGCTCGCTCCCGTTGCCCACGAGCCACATATCTGGAACGGTGAACCTCAGCGCTTTATCATCTCAGCACCCTTTGCCTCTTACATCTCACACGCTTGGGGCGTTTCGCTGCTTGTATGCAACGTTCTCGATGCGTAGCCTCCCGTCCTTCTCGTTCTTGGCACGAAAAAACATCTCACGCCCGAGCCTCGTCAATCTTTGCTAACGAAACATCCTCAATTCATGTTTCGCTTCGATGGTGCCGAAGCAACTCCTACTTCAATTCCAAGCTTGTGACTTGACGTCCAGTGACACGGCGCGACGCGTCCTGGGTCGGCATGTCCCGGACCCTTCCAACCCTCACGCACCTGGTGATCCGTGCAGCGGCTGAACAGACAACGGTGGGCAGATCTCTCGCTTCAGTCGTCTGCGCTCATGCTCGCGGTCGCGTTCCAGCATGGCACAGCGATCCAGCGAGCTGTGCGATTCCTTGCTGACAAAAGTGACGCCCTCTCCCGCTAATGCAATGCAGTCGTAAAGTCGCGTGTCGCGTTCATCACCGCTCAGAACCGCAGTCGCAGACCCTGAGGTAATGGATCAAGGCACGCCCCGCCCACGTGCCGTGGGCGCCCCACGGCCGCCGTTCGGAGGCGAACCCCGCTCGCTTGCAAGCGTAGTGATGATGACGGCCGTGGTGGGCAGCTCCTCCTTACGAGCGACGAGATGCAGTGAAATGAGTGGTGTCGAGATGAATAATAGACGACGAGTGGACTGAGCAGTGAATGGCGGCCGTTGTTTGTTTCAGAGCAGCGTTTACATTCGTTGAATGGGCTTTGGGGAGCGATAATTTGGTTCCGTGATGGAGGTATGGAGAGGTCCTTGCACCGCAGTCCACGCGCCGCTCACTCACTTTCACTCATCTTCCAACTCGTCCATCTCCTCCATCTCCTCTGTCCGCATCGCCACTTCTCGACAGCTCTCGCCGCAGCGCGACTCTTTCTGCGTGGCTTACAGCGCATCCCATCAGCAGCTCGTCGCGCCGCTTGCCACCGAGCTCGAGTTTTCACCCTTCCTTCCTCCACTCCTCCACCGACTTCCGAGTGTTCCGGAGACCTTGCTCGGCGTCGTATCCGTGCCGCCTTTTCCCCCCCAGCTAGGCAGCATCCCCTATAACCTCACATCGCCACCTCTTGTGCATCTCCCCCCTCCGGTACTCTCCACGCCATTATCATCAACGAGAACCGTCATTCTCCCATCGTCAACCCACGTGCTCCCGCAGGGGTCACTCACCCTTACCCCTAGGCTCACGCCGCCTCCGTCTCCTTAAGAGCCAGCTGGACACGGCTTTACTCCTCACAACCATCAACTACCTCCCGCTCGATGTCGAACCCGACGCGCCGAGCCGGCGCGAAGAAGAAGGCCGTGTGGCGTCGCCCTCTTGTAATCTTCGCCGTCCTCATCTTCCTCGTTCTGGCTGGGACGGTTGTCGTTCTCTCGACCGTCAAGGCGTACTTTGGCGTCGACCCCGCTGCTTTCTTGTCCGAAGACGAAGTGCCATGGCGGCCTGAAGACGTGATCGCCCCGCTCCGTGACCCCGCACCAGCCCCTGACGCTTCGGCCGAAGAATCGAACGCCAAGGCCAAGCGTGCTGAAGAAGACTTTGGCAAGATCCTCGACGGCGATGTCGCAGACACCGACGATGCACCGGCTGGCGCGGACATGGGCACTGAGCCGCAGACCGAGACCGACTCCGAGGTTGAGTGGGGACTGGACGGCAAGGGCACAGGTGGCTACTGGATGCGCCAAGACTGGGAGGGCAAGGTCGAGGATACTCATTCGTGGGAGCGTCTCTACAATGTCACCACAAGGTGAGAGAGACAGCGGAGCGAAGCTAACGCGCAGGGATGGCGAGAAGATTCCCCGTATCATCCACCAGACCTGGAAGTCGGACGTGCTGCCCGATAAGTGGCGCAAGAGCTTCCGCGAGTGTCGCGAAGGCATGCCTGACTACGAGTACATGCTCTGGACCGATGAGCTCTCGCTTCAGTTCATCAAAGAGAAGTACCCTGCCCAACTGCAGATGTACGAGAGTTATCCGCACGCGATCCAGCGTGCCGACGCTATCCGCTACTTTATCCTCCACCACTTTGGTGGCATCTACATGGATCTTGACATTGGGTGCCGTCGCCGCATGGACCCACTCCTCCAGGGCGACTGGGAGGTTGTGCTCCCCGTGACCAAGCCGGTTGGTGTGAGCAACGACCTGATCTTCTCGTCTAAGGGGAGCGCCTTCATGGACGACACCGTGCACGGCCTTGCAGCCTTCAACCACTTCTACGTCATGCACTACCCGACGGTCATGTTCTCCACCGGGCCAATGTTCCTCTCCGCCCAGCTCGGGATATACAGCAACGCGCACCCCGTCACCAGCAGCAACCCCGTGCGCCAGGTCCGCGTCCTCCCCAAGTCGCTGTATGGCAAGAACGTGCCGCAGGCCGATGTGCCTCACTCGTTCTTCTCGCACTTCTACGGGTCGAGCTGGCACGCCAATGACGCAGGCTTCATCACGTGGCTGGGCAAGTGGGGCAAGGGGCTCATGTACGTCGGCGCCGTTGTGCTCGTCGTCATGGTTCTGCGCCTCATTTGGACCAGAATGCGCCGCAAGAGCGGCCCACAGTACATGATGCTGCCAGTGTTTGAGGATGGGCGTGGCACTCCTACCTCCAGCGCACCTCTCTCGCCAGTGTCGGACACGCCCCCCGCGCTGGGCGACGCTCTCCGCCGCGCAGGCAACATGATCCTTGCGGCGCCCGCAGCGCTGGCCCACGGCTCCCGCCGCCAAAAGGGGTGGCTCTACTTTGTGCCGTGGAAGCAGGCGCCAACAGGAAACCGTCGGCGGACTGCTAGCGAAGCGAGTCAGCTTCCGCGTCGACCACACAGCGTGTCGAACAGCCTTTCCCTTGCGCCTGTCGCATACAGCGATCACCCGCATGCGCCCCCACCACCGCCATACGATGCGGAGATGGACGCAGTTGATGCGTTCCTCAAAGACAACGGACACGAGGATGAGGCGAGCAGCCAAGCTTCGGGCTCGGCAAGCGGATCGACGGGGGCGCGGCAGCGCGACGAGTGGCGAGAGGGAAAGTGGGGCGACTGGCGCCAGGACTAGGACTAGGACACTAGCGCATGTATTTGTATGGTGCTCTCCAAGCTGCGTGGTGGGGTCGTACGAGGCAAGAGCTGCAGGGAACAGGGATGAGGTGAGCAGAGTCGGACGATGAGGGTCGTCTTGGCAGTTGCAGGCAGAGCCAAAGGAAGGACAGAAGTTGGCGGCATGATATGCATTGCGTTGGGATCATGCACGAAGAGCACTCCCAGAGATCTTGAATGAGCAGACTTGAAGCGGCATCGTGAAGGCGCAGAGGACTGGGGCGGAATTGATGTGACGTTGGGTGGACCAAAAGTTGTGAGCACCTCCACCAAAGCCCAACTTGTCAACACCAACTTCTTCATCGCTTTCGCCTGCGACTCACACCACCATGCCAAGCTTCACCCGCCGCGTCCGGCCAGGCGTGACGCCGACTCTGGCCTCGTCTGGTCCATCTTCCACGACCAATCCTACGCACACGACCCCCTCCCCAACGCCGGCTTCATGGTCTTCTCTGCCCGGCACCAAGCCCTACCCCTCCGCGCCCCTCCGCTTCGTCTCCACCGGCCTTCCGTCCCTTGACGATGTGCTCGGCTCGCTGCCCCTTGGTGCTGTTCTCACCCTCCTCGCGCCAGACCCGCATACGCAGTGGGCTCGCCTTGTTGCGCGGCACGTCGCGGCCGCGGGGCTGCTGGACGGACAGCGGGTAGTCGTGCTTTCGAGGGATGGGGGAGACTGGGTCGCGGGCTTGCCGTGGGTTGAGGGCGAGTCGGGACTTGAGAGCGAGTCTGAGACTGAGGCGATGGAAGACGATGGGAGAACGAAGATTGCGTGGCGATATGAGAGGATGGGCAAATTCCGGACGAGTGTTGGTGAGCCTTGCTTCCTTCCCACGTCGCCCTCCCTCTTACTGACTCTAGGCTCCTCGCGCCTCGCGGCCAACACAACCCTTCCCGCCTCGATGCGGGCACAGCTCGAAGCCAGCGGGACCATCTCCTACGTCGACCCCGGTGACAGCCTGACCTCGGCACTCGAGGCGGTCGCTGCCGCGCTAGAGGCCGCTCCAAAGGATCAGGTCGTGCGCGTCGTCGTCCCAGACCTCGGATCGCGAGACTGGCCTCTCTTGAGCGCGGCGGAGATCGTTCGCTTCCTTCTTGGCCTGCGTGTGCTCCTCCGTCCCCGCCCCGCCGTGGCGGTCGTGACCTTCCCTCCATCCCTCTCAACCTCTCCTCCCGCCTCATCCCCGTCCTTCTCGTCTTCTGAGTCCTCCACCTCTTCCCCTGCCACATCTTCTTCTTCTTGGATCACGTCCCTCGCCCACGCCTCGGACGCCTGCCTCACCCTTCAAGGCTTCGGCACCTCTCCAGGCCACTTCCGCTCCTTCGCACCCCTCCACGGCCTTCTCACGCCTCATGCCCTGCCCAGTGCACACCACCTCTTGTCTCCGGCGTGCCGACACAGCACGCTGCTGGGCGTCAAAGACGGCGGGGAGCAGAACCTCGGATTCCGGCTCAAGAGGAAGAAGTTCGTCGTCGAGAGCGTACATCTTGGCATTGAGGGCGGGACGAGCGAGCGGCGGACAGCGCCCGTCGAGAAGCCCGCGGAGAAGATGGCTGAGGCGGAAGGTGTGGAGGGTGTGGAAGGTGTGGAAGGTGTGAAAAGTGTGCTGAAGACTGGCTCCTCTGGTTCAGGCGCGGCGGCGAAATCCGTGGCGACGGAAAAGCAGCTGGAAGAGAAGACGGAGAAGCCCAAGAAGCCGCGGGCACGGGTGCGCTTCGGTGGTGATGAGGTTGCTGTCACTCTTGACAAGCATGATGACCACCCCCACCCCCACTCCCACTCCCACTCCCACTCCCACTCCCATAGTCATACCAAGCCTAGGGTCGAGATCCGGCATGACCGCCCGGATCTGTACGAGTTCTAACTCTACTACATCTGCATTGCATGCTGTGATACAACAGCGCTCATGGTACAACTCTCTGCGTTTTCCGTCACTGCTGCGCCTGCGAAAATTGCGGGGGGAGTGGCGGGGTCTCAGTCGCTGCGTCTGCGTCCGTGTCCACTCGTCGCCTGCGCGAGCTTGCGCATGGCACGAATCATATCCTTGGCCTCATGGTACGCGTCACCGTCATTGGCCTTCTCCACAGCCCGAAGCACCATAGCCTTTGCATCCTCGCCAGCCTGAGCCGTTTGGCGGGGTCGTGTCTCAGCGTCTGCCATCAGCCCAGCCTTCTACATGGCCCACAGTAGGTCATGGCTCCTGCAAACGCGCCCTCGAGTGCCGCACGCGAGCTCGCACCACTGGTTGACACACTCGTGACAAGGTCTTCAAAAATATTCTGCGTCAGAGTTGCTTCCACGCACGCACGACACGCGTTTCAAACAGCCGACGAAGCGTCTGCGTGTCCCGCGTGTTGGATATACCGTCCAGTGCCGCCGAGATCCGCTCCATCCTGCAATCAGCCTAGCTTGTTCTTAAGATTCATGACACACGTGTCGTCAGTCGTGTGCGTCGCGATTCGCTCACGCGCCTCGTTCTCAAGACGCGACAGCTCACGCAGAGTCTCTCCGCGGACGCCTTCGTCTCAGGTGAGCTACGAAACGGGGGGGGACCAACCGTCGTCATCGTCGAAGCTGCCTTCGGGATCAAGGGAGCCGCTGTAGCCATCAGCTTCCTTCCCTTCCAATCCATCACCAACGTGAAATCACATCCCACCTCCCCTCTTAGACTCACTCTGAGCCATCATGGCTGTCCCTAATGTTGGTTTTGGTTTTGGCTTGTCGTTTGCGCGCGAGAGGTGAGGGGCTGCGCGCGAGTTTGCGTTTGGCTGGGGTCAGCTCAGCCGACTATGGGACCTCCGAGGCATAGTGTGTGTTCAAGTTGTTATGAAAGCCTGAAACTTGAGTCGCTCTGATTAGTCTTGAAAGTAAGTAACTGTCGTACTGAGAAAAGAGTAAAAGTGAACAAGGCGTTGTCGCGGCGAGGAAGGTGAAAACAACATGGTCCTCACCTCATGCAGATGGACCACCTCCACCTCGGAGCAGGTGCGGGATCAAAGTTCAGGTACAGACGCGTCTCAAAGTCAATGTCGACGCGTTTGCCACCTTCCGACAATGGCCAACTCCGCAACACCATGCCCAGCGCACCCCTCTTCGAGCCCGGCGACATCTTCGCCTTCCCCCCTCCCTCTCCGAATGAGGAGGATGATCTCGAAGCCTTGATCGCGGACGAGGAGGCGCAGCGCGCGGCCGCCAAAGACCTGGCCGGCTTGGAGTGCCAGAGCGCCGAGGAGGTCGCCCGAATTGCTGACAGGAAAGCGGCCGAGGAGGAGGAGAAGCGGCGGCGCGCAGCGGCGGCAGCTAGGCGACGGGCTGCTATGCTTGCTGCGTTTACGCAGGACGACGAGCTGGAGACGCAGGCTCAGTCACAACCTCGGCAGCACTCCCCCGTCCCCCTTCCCCCACGGGCCCAGTCTCGAAGCCAAGCGGCAGCCGAGAGCCAGGCCTCTGCCTCGAGCCATCGCGAGTTCGAACCCGAATTTGCCTTCGACTTTGGCGAGCGTGAGCTGGATCCCATCTCCTTGCTGACCGCAGCTTCGCGCCGCTCGCCGTCTCCTCCTCGCGTGATCTTTGACACAGCCGGACGGCCACTCCGCGCCGTGCGTGCTGCAACCGCCTCAGGATCGACCGTGCAATTCAAGCGTCGACCCAAACCTCGTGTGCCCACTGACCTCGCACACGCGGGCCAGAAAGAGGCCTTCGACCTCCTCACCACGCCGCTGCATGTGCTCAAGGCGCAGGCGGATGAGATCCGCAGCGAAGAGAAGGCTCGGGAGATGGGGCGTGCGGAAACGGCCAGGCCGGCTGTCAAGGCTGGCCTGTGGGTCGACAAGTACCGGCCTACAAAGTTCTCTGATCTTCTCGGCGAGGATGTAAGGACGGTTCGAGTTTCGCGAGCTGATTGTAGCGCATTCACCGCGACGTCATGTCCTGGCTCAAGGAGTGGGATCGGTGTGTGTTTAAGCGCGCGGTGAAGAAGAAAAAGCGAAAGCTCGACGAAGATACGAACACGTTCTACCACGACCCTCTGGATCGACCACGGGAACGAGTGAGCTTTCATTGTGACTGAGAGACTCACGCAGATCCTCCTGCTCTCGGGACCGCCGGGATATGGGAAGACGACGCTTGCGCATGTCGTTGCTAAACACGCAGGCTACCGCACTCTTGAGATCAACGCCAGCGATGACCGTAACGCTGCGACCGTCACCACGCGCATTCAGAATGCGCTTGACGCAGGGGCGGGAATCACGTCTGACCGGCCGACATGTGTCATCATCGACGAGATCGACGGTGCGACTGGCGGCGGCGACCACGTCAGTCTACTCTTGACAAAGAGCTGACTGCAGAGCTTCGTACGCTCCCTCATCAAGCTGATTCAGGACGTGCCGGCGCGTAAGAAGAGTAAGCTGCTGAACGGAGGGCCGCGCTCACACCAGCCAACACCCCAGCCAGGCCTCTGCGGCGCCCCATCATCTGCATCTGCAACGACCTATACGCGTCTGCGCTGCGCCCACTGCGCCAACATGCGCGGATCGTACGCTTCAACAAAAGCCCGAGCCAATTCCTTGTCGAGCGCCTCCGTCAAATCTGTGACCGAGAGCGGCTCAAAGCCGATCTTCGCGTGCTCACTCTACTCGTGGACCTTGCAGGTGCCGATGTCCGCAGCTGCTTGAATACGTTGCAGGTGGGTAACTGGTTTCCACGTTAGGTCCACGCCTGCCTTCCTTCGGAATTTCCGCCACACCGCCACTTGGGACCTGAAGCTGAGCTGACACCAGTTCATCAAGTCACGCTCACCTGTGGTCACGACAGACGCCATCAAATCATCCTCGGTCGGAGCCAAGGACTCTGGGACGACTCTCAACACAGTGTGGAATGCACTGTTTGTGCCGATGGCCGCAAAGCAGCGCCGCAAGGAGTTGGGCGCAGCTGACGATGGACGATACGTCGACCGCCTTGCATTCCTCCTCCAGGCGTGTGGAGACTACGACCGGGTCGTGCAAGGCTGCTTTGAACACTACACCCATCTCAAACCACTCGACACAAGCTTTGCCAACATTTGCCGGTTGCACGACTGGGTCGGCTACTATGATCACTTATCAAACCACATCGGCGAGAACATGGACTTTGAGCTCATGGCATACCTCCCATACGCGGTCGTGCCCTGGTATTCGCACTTTGCGTCTCCGTCGAATGCCAAGCGCCCCACAGAATGGCCAAAGGCTGATTACGAGGCGAGTCAAATGGGCTTGATCACGGTCGTCCCGCGATCAGCTGACCTCGGTCATGAACCTTAGCACTGACGCTAACAGGCATACCTCGTTCGTGTGGGCAACGAAGAAATCGCGACGAGTTTCAAAGCGGCGATTACACCGAACCTCCGGTCTTTGTTCTCGAGCTCAAGCACGCTCACCGAGCTCATTCCGCTGCTCATGCGCATCATCTCACCACCTCTGAAACCGGTAAGTCACTGCTTGCCGCGCACATGTCAAATGGGCCCCGGGGGGCTTGTGACAGCGCTTGCTTGCCGGCGGGGTCGCTGGTCGGCATGACCGGCTACCTAATTGTCGACTCTCCCCGTACCCCTTCTGTGCCAGGGTCGGCACGGTGCCTAACAGCAGGTGAATGCCAACATCGTGAAAGCGTCTGAACGTGCCGTTCTCGCGCGCCTCGTTGAGCTCCTGATCCCCTTGGGCTTCCGCTTCTGGCAGGACAAGACGGAGGACGGGCAGCCGCAGATGCGTCTTGAACCGTGAGTTATAGCCGAGTTGTGCCATGGGTCCCCGATGGACCCCGCCCCCGCACAATCACGTGCCCTGACACTAGTGCGATTGATGTGTTTGTCACCTACGATGGCAAGCGCGCTGGGGACATTGTCGCGTCGCGGTTCGCGGTGCGGCAGCTGATTGCGCAGGCGGTGAGTATATGTTCACGATCACGAGAAGTCTAACACAGCAGATGGATGCCGAGGTGGCACGCCGCCGCGGGCATGCTGAGGACAGCACGGCCACGTCGACTGCTCAAGCGCTCGCTGAGCAGTACGGCGCTGCCAAGACCGGAGCAAAAGCGAAGACAGATGAAGCAGCAGCAGCAGCAGCAGCGGCGCCGACGGACTTCTTTGGCCGTGTTCGGCTGCCGGCGGCACCTGTTGGAAAATCGGGGACCGATGATGTGGACATTGGTGAGTGACTTGCACGAGCCACGAGGGAGATTACGACGAAGGGCATGGTAGATCTCGGCGCTTTGACCTATTCGCCCATTCCTCACATTATTTTCCATTTTTCCAACTCTTGACGTGAGGACGCAACCGCTGACGCCTGCCACAGAGTTGGAGCCTGTTCTACCGATGACGAAATTCCGTGCAGTGTACCGCTTCAACGAGGGGTCGAGCAGTGCAGTGCGGACCAACGTCAAGATGAGCGCTTTGATGTGAAGTGGATCTGAGGGGGGAGGCACAAGAGGGGGGAGATGGAGACGGAGATGCATGTTGTGTGCCTGTGACGAG